TAGCTTTCTTTGGCTTTATCATTTCGTTAAATTTCAACAAGAAATAAAGGGCTGCGTTCACATTCTTCGTATTTTGTTAGGTGACAAATTATTTTTACAGGATTTGTTGTTATTCCAGGAACATGTTTTCGCTCAGTTTCAGCTTTATCTCATCAATAAAGGAGTGGATGAGTAGTAGTTGAGCAGTTGAGTCAGTAGTAATTCAATGAGTGGATTTTAAATAACGGTCGTAATTCGTATACCTTTGTTCAATTTACATAAATGAAGAGAAACACTTTTATTGAGTAATTTCTGGATTTCTGGATTGAGTAATTTCTGGATTTCTGGAATAGTCATTTATGTCCAAATGCTCGTATTTTATATTCACCACCTATGAATTGGTTTCAGTAACCATAAACAGCGGAATCGTCCTAGCGTCTTTGGTAGGTTGTTCACAATCTGAGTCATTGTCGGCATTTGTGGTATGTCAGCAGTAAGAAGACAGAATTTTTCATGGAAAGCAATAAATAGAGCAAAGCGAAATTGAACGTAGCATCTTCTGTTGAGGAAAACAGTAATGAATCGGGAAAAAACTAAGATTTTAGAATTTTAAAAGAGTTGAGCAGAGCTAGATTTGAATAAATGTCACTAACTAAAGAGGGAAAAGTTTTAAAGTGGTAAGTAATAATTAATTAAGGAATAAATGATTAAAAGAAATAATCCTGAACAGACAAAAAATTTCATTTAATATAATAATGCATAAAGGATACTGGTACGTTTCCGTTTCGCCGGCGCAAATCTCGCCAAGCAGACTTTGTTGGCGACAACATACAGTATACACATAAAAAATGTTAACGAATGTTAGTTCTAAGAATTTTTTTATTCTGAAGGCATAAGCATTTTATTATGGTTTAAAATTTTGTAACCTGCCAATAAATGAAGACAATAAATTTGTGAAAAGACATTAATTGAAGAATTTACTATGCTTTCATGGTTCAACATCCTGATTCGCCGGTTCGTATCACGTGACCCAAGTGATCTCATCTCACCCAAACTACGCTACAAAAATCTAATTCTCTCAGTAATTATCTATATTAATTTCAAGTTAAATTTTAATATGGAATGCAAGTTTAAATGCAAGAATTATTTCAATTCGTACGGATAGCTTATTCAGAAATTATATAAAACCGTAGTGCTTTACTTCGCAAGTGCATTCTCATTAGAACTGATGAATCTAAGTCTTGATTTTGCCTTTTCTATATTTTCGCTTTCAGGTGAGCGGTGTGATTGCATTCTAATTGACTGAATTACTGCGAATCGTCTTAAGGCATAAAATTTAACTATCTTGTAAAAATTCTATGTAATTATATGCCAGTATTGAAAGAAACAATCAATCTGATAAAAAATAGTTGTGACTTGTTGACTTGTTTTGAAAATGAGGTGTAAAAGGTTACCAACGAAGATATTCCGTTTGGCATCAGTTGTATCATTATTGGCGACTTTATCGTTTGCGCCGGCAAAACGGAAAAGTACCTGGATTACGTAATGGATAACAGAAATCTAATCGGAAACCACTTCAATATTCCAGAATATTTAGTGCATACTAAATGCCACCAGAAAAGGTACAAATTGAATAAAATAGGCTTAGATGCATGGGACAATTTATGTCGTCAAGGAAGAAAAAATTAGACACGCGGTTAAAGTTTCGATAAGCTTCCTACAGGCAATCCGTGACTGCATAATATATATTTCAGTGAGAATTTCCATAAAAAATTAACAAAATTATATTTGCCAAGACAGAGAATTTGATATTAGTATTACAGTCATATAATTTATTATTTCCGTAACATATAGCCCACCAGCGGCCGAACTGTAAAGTCCCTGAGTACTGGTAGTTCGGTCTGAGGTTCGAATCCCGGCGAAACACTAGGCTACGTGGACGTTTTCGTGGTTTTCCACATGTATAACGTGTATACGAGCCAGTTTCCTTTAGAAAGTCCTCCAGGAAAGAACACTCCCATCAGGCAGATACCCTTCGAGTGCTTTGCCATAATTAAATAAACCACATCATAATAAATAAGAATAACTGAATCGTAATATCAATACCTTGATTTTCTGTTTTAAAGCTTGATTATTTTTAGAATTCTACAAGTATTTAAAAGTGTCATGACACTCTTAGAGGGGCAAATGCTATATTTTAAAGGTTCTTTGAAAGAAAATGAAGATCATGCAGACCTCTGAAGGCCATCAAAAAGAAAAATAAAGAAAGAAATTGAATGATTTTTGACATATTTCTAGAATTTACGCATATTTACTTTTAATTTATCCTTGGATATATGGTATATTTGTTTTTTTTACTGTTAAAAAATTTGTTAACTTAATGATATCGATGAAGGCATTGCGTTTTCTATATCAGCTGCTATGAATTACAGAGATCATTTTTCGCGAAAAATTTAAAACAGAATTATAAGAGGAAATTTTACCTACCTGCAAAATACCTTATAATTGGAATAAGTGCTGTTGCGCAATAAAATCAGGGAAAAACTGCCTTCTTCTTTGCATCCCGATACCAAGGTTATAGACAGCATAATTTTAAAGATAACATCTCTATCACGAGTATTCGATAGTATCTACCAGTAAATTTTCGATACCAATGTTTACTTTTATGGAAAGCTCGTGAATTCTGAAATTCAAATGAGAAGAATGGGAAGCTTAATTTTGATAAACAAAGATAAAAGTTAAAAGAATGAAACGAAATATAATGACTATAGTCGAACAAGGTCGATCGAGTTTTCATATTTAATGTCATTACAGAACCATTTTGAATGATTAATTGTATTAGGAGTTGGATTTAAACTTTTTTAGTCATTGGCTAGTTCAATGTTTATTCAACTGATTATGCCAAACCACGCCAAGGCTATCTTAGAGCTCCTAGAAAGGCTGACTTGTTAGCCATTTTATAGCTACTTTTTAAGATTTATATGCCAATTTTTTTCACAACGCACATAACACTGGCTGGGGTTATGCTACTACAGACTCAAAAGGCCGTCTGCTCGAGGATTACATCTCCTCACAAAACCTCGTAGGGCATAACACACTCAACGCTCCACCAACGTTTGACACATTATTCGCACAAGGCTGGCCAGACCTCACGATGTCTACCTCATCAGCAAAACATCTAGTCCAAGCCTGGACGGTGGCAGATGAAATCAGCCTATCAGACCATAGATATATTACCTTCAATATTGACAATGCCACTTCCGTCACCATCGTCAGAAGATATAACCTTCCGGGCAGGAAAATTCGCCCATTTACACGAGACATTCGCACAAAACTCAAGTCCCTAGAAACCCTGCTGGATCACGCTTATACACAAGAGCACATGGAAACGCTCGCAAACAAAATAATGGAAACCATCCAGGCCACGTGTGAAATACATCTTCCAGTCAGAACCTCAAAACGACTGCATACTCTAAACTGGTGGTCAGGAGAACTGCGCACACAGCAGCGCAAATGCCGAGCTCTAAGGAGACGCCTCAAGCAGGAACGGCGAAATAATCAAGCCACAAACACCCTTTCAACATTTCAAAAGAACGAGCTGTCTATAAACGCATGATTATACAGGCCAAGATAAATGCATGGAGGAACTTCTGCACAACAACCACAAATACATACGGAATACATCATAAAATTGCAACAGGAAAACTTTTCAAACCGACGCACTTTCATCTCCTCTCCACAACAAATATATCGGATAACCTCACTACAGATACGTTGGAAAGAGTTATGGACACAGTCTTTAGTCAGGACAATGCGGCGGATGACACTGTTCAGCATGCAGCAATAAGGAATAGCGACACCAATACAACAGCTCCAGCAGATGCAGAATTCAATCACCTTGAAATCAAACAAATATTACGCAAACTCTGAAAGAAAGCTCCCGGCCCAGACGGGATTAATTACGCCATTACAAAAGTCGCCATGACGGCACATCTCACGTTCTTCGTAGTTTACTTCAATAAACTTCTGGTCACAGGTACCTTTCCCAGAGCTTTTAAGGTCGGCCAGGTGGTCTTCTTTCTAAAGAGAAACCGAGACCCCACAGATCCTGGATCATATTTGCCGATATGTCTACTCGCAGCCTTGGGGAAAATGTATGAAAAGCTACTTATGAACCGGCTAAGACACCACCTACACCAAATGCAATATCTCAGCTCAAGGCAGTACGGATTTCGAACAGGATCCTCGACACTGAACGCACTGCATGACATCAAAGAATCAATTTTGCATAACAGAAACAATGGCCTCCATACAGCATTGATAAGTATCGACCTTCGGAGCGCTTTCGATTCTCTATGGTGGCCGGCCATCAAGCATGCACTACGCCAGGCAAACTGTCCATCCAACATCTACCATACACTGTGCCACTATCTCACAGAACGCCGCTTAATAGTAATCCATAACAGCGGAATCATCCAAAAAGATCAAACAAGAGGCTGCCCACAGGGCTCATGTGCCGGACCACATTTATGGAACATCACGTTCAATAACGTCCTTACAACATCATGGCCCTCGCACACAAAAATATTCGCTTATGCCGACGACGCCGCACTTGTGGTCAGCGGGAAAACAAGAGAAGTATTGCAGACACACTCTAACGAAGTCTGCAGACAATTCCAGTCACTATGCAACTCCCAAAAACTGCAAATAGCAGAGAAGAAATCAAAAATACTTCTCATTCCTAAAAACGGAGGCTCTCTGACACGCCGCCCAAGGATCACTATCAACGATCAAAGGATACCCATCGTAAGATCCCTGAAGTATCTAGGGCTCACATTTGATGAAAAAATGACGTGAATACCCCACATATTAGACATCAAACAGCGTACGACCATCATCGCAAAACAACTACGTCGACATCAAGGCTTTCAATGGGGATTAAACCCCACATACAAAAGACACTGTACCTTACAGTAGTTGAGAAAATAGCATCCTACAGCGCAGCGATATGGGCCTACCCCATGCAAGGCAGAAAGATAAGGCACCTATCTACAGTACAAAGACCTTTCGCCCTTAATATTACTAAAGCTTATCGCCCGACATCATCATCCGCATTAAACGCAGTAGCAGGATTGCTTCCTCTACACATACGTATCGAAGAAGAAGCCGCACGGCAGCTCGTCAAACAACTGAAACGTCCAGTAACCTTTGACGACGAGCTTTTTCTACCAGAGGATTTCGAACCACAGGCCACACACCTGCACATTCATCCTAGCACGAAGGGCAGAGGCGTCCGAATCAAGGGTATCACTACGGTATTGGAACAACCGTCAGATATCACAGTGTATACTGACGGCTCTAAAATTGACAACAAAGTGGGCAGAGCCTTCATTGCCTTGTGTCCACCAATAATAATACACAAATGGCAAGGAGTCCTTAGGGACTTTAATAGTATTTTCCAAAGTGAAGCTATAGCCATGGAACAGACCATACAATACCTACAACAAAAACAAATTAGGGAAGCAACCATTCAGACAGACAGTCTATCCGTTTTACACGCCATTAATAATGCGGAACATTCATCACCCACCATAGCATCCATACAACAAAGATTGCGAGAGAACAATGAACAGTCCTACATGCTGGAATGGACTAAGGCACATGTAGGAGATTACGGAAATGAGATGGCAGACAGTCTAGCTAAGGACGCGGCTCTAGGTGGAACTTCAGGTCCAGTCAACATCCCCTGGCCCATTTCCCACCTCAAAAAATCCTTGAGACTCCACGCTACGTCTAAATGGCAGGAAGAATGGGACCAAGGAGAGACAGGACGCAGAACTTACTATCACCTATCATATGTTGATCCGGGAAGGACTATAAGTAATCCACAGCTCATACGCTACATTACGGGGCATGGTCCCTTCCCGGAGTACTTTGCAAAACGCGGCATCAGTGAGACGGATATATGCAGCTGCGGAGAAGTGGGAACTCCGGAACACTATGTCACAACATGTCCACTAACAACTGGACTACATATACCCATCCCGCAGACCAATCGCCAAGCGTTCTGTAAATTTCTTATAAAGCAACGTCATTTCATATACAAACTAACAAAAGTAATGGATAAACTCTCTGCGCTTGGCACAGATCTGTGTCAAACAGCCTAAAGGTGTGCAGCAGCATACAAACATACTATTCAGGTCGATGCAAAACAAGACAGAGTATATTTCGTGCTATTTCTAACATGCACAATTATTACAATGTACATATATTGAGTACACATTGAGTTATTGTGAGTATATTAGTGTATAAATGGTCAGTATAAAACCATGTATATATAATAAAAAGTCAACTGTGCTATGTATCTCAGCTAAATGTATAATATATCAGTATTATGTATATTTCAGTATAGTGTATGTAATATATAGTATAATATATATAGCAGCATAGTGTATAATGTATCAGTATAGTGTATAATGTAACAGTATAGTGTATAATGTATCAGTATAATGTATAATGTATCAGTATAGTGTATGTAACGTATAATGTATGCATAATTTACATGTCATAAGTTCTGATGTAAGACATACGAACCATTGCAACACGATATTGCCCTTGGATCACATGTAAATCTTAATATAATTTCCTATATCTAAAATATTCCCATGCACATAATCAAATTAATGTAATGTTGTAAGGATCTTAAGTTTTACTAACGTTTATTTTATTTTAAATCTTTACTATCACTTCTTATTTTCTACTTCCGGCCAGAATTATAAGGTTTTTATGCAAAGTTTGTCTGGCGAACGCCAAGTATTTAAGTTGTGGCTTTTTGCCAAGCGAGAGAGAGGAAGCAGTGAGTCGAAGCAGGCCGCTTACCTTAGAAGTTTTACGCAGTTGCTGTTTGCCTTCCAGGCCAGAGGTTTTAATCCTCTTGATAAATTTTAAACGTATTGTAGTGTTCACAGTTCTCTGTACTACATACGCTTCCTGTTAATATAAGGCCAATCTTCCACGTTTATTATTCTAAAGTTAAATTAGAGTTTAGTTTTATTTTTATACTTTTACGTTTTGACCCCAAGTAGCGGGTCGGTGTATTCCGAAGTACGGAAGTCATTGTAAATAGAGAAAAATAAAGGGTTTTGTATACCCTTCTTGTGTATCCTGTTTACTTCCCACAGTTTTGAACATAGCTTTAGTAAGCTCTCTGTTCCGAGTCAGGTCCTTGCATGTTCCCGAAGAAGGTTAGAAGGAACATTGACCCTGATAATGTAATATGCATATTTTAAATGTATTTGTCTTTGTATATGTAATATTATGTACTGTGTACCTTATTTGTAATACGCCATCATACGTAATATGTACCTCATCTGTAACATGCTGTATGAACCAAAATATTATCGTATGGCAATGTACTATCTGCCAAGGCCCTTGTATGGCACTGTATTTTAAATCGGTGACTGGTGTCAGGGGTTCATGTGGCCCCTCACCCTTCCCCATACTTATATGTCTTTCTGTATTCTCTAACACCCCATATGTATCATGCAGTGTCATAGAATGTTATGCCATTAGTTTTACGTAGTAACATATGGTACTCCAACAAAGTGTAATAAATATCATGATGCTAATATTGGACACATTATTGATTTGTATATCTTTATGTATTCTCTATCACCCAAAATGTATCATGTAGTATCATATAACGTTATGCCATTAGTTTTATGTAGGAACATGGTATCGTCCATACAATCCTGTTGTCACACAAAGTAATGCGTGGTAATGGAAGTATCTTTTATGTATCATGTGGTATTGTGTAGTATAATTTAGTATTATGTGGTATTATGTTGCATTATTTTATGTAGTATTATGTTGTACTATGATATGTCTATTGTGTATTATGCTAGGTTATACTCTCTTCGGCGTATTTTTATGCAGTAATAAATTCATCATGCCTGTTAAGTAGTTTCAAATAGTAACATAGTCTCAACGGAATCGCCTGTTATTTAGTACATATCATGTACTAAGTTATTCTATGTATGTGGCATCATATAATCATGTAATTATACAGTATAAATGTATTGGTAGAATAATGTAGAATCATGCTGTATTATAGTATCACTAGTATTATCTACCATGTTGCATTATGCCTTGCGTGGTGTCATACAGCATATTATTTTTGGGTATCATTCGCATCATATGGTATCAGGCATAATAAGTTATCCTGTATAATGTATATCATTCAAAGTTACTTTTCATATAGCTTTATATCTTTATACCATATATAATGCAGCAATATGTTATATCGTGCAAATCATTATTATTTTAATTATTGCATCTCTTAGTCTCTTATATCATGTAATATGTAGTCCTTTTGCAGTATGTAGCCTTTAACCTCTATGTAGTATGTGGTCTGTAGTCCCTATGTAGTATATAGTCATGTCTTCAAGATTCATGTTATATATAGTTTTCATGTATCGTGTGGTATGCAACAGTCTAAATGTTATACTTATACAACTAACCAATGTCAGTACCATTGAGTATTGAGTATCATCTAATGACAGGTAATCCAGTAATTTCACAGTAATATTTCACTTAATATCACATATGATGTATTATTGAATATCTCATATAATACTATACTGCATATGTATGTCACTTACAGCACTAATTCTGGCAAAGTACTTATCTGCCATGGCCCTTGTTTGGCATTTTTTTTAATTTAAATTTTATTTTTATTTTAATTCATTTTTTTTATTTATTTATTTCTATTACATGACATTCAAAATATATGCTGGGTCTCGGCGACTGTTCTGGGGATTTCGTGCGGCCCCCTCCCTTTCCCATACCATCTTGGGTTACTTTAGATAAAGGGGGACGCGGTGCTATACCAATTAACCGCTATGGTAGAGAGATGGTGTTCGCGTCCTCCGTCACTAAACTAAACTATTCAGCGCCTTTCGCTAAAACTCTATTAATTTATACAACTTTCGATACCCTTTTAACCGTAACTCAATTTTTTTCTGTAATTTTTTAAATCCTCAAAATTTTTATACGATTGAACTAATTTTGAAACGTTTAAAGGCACTTACGTATTAACGCAACCAGCTTGGTGCATTGAGGCGATTTCTGGGGGGGGGGAGGATGCGTCAAATTTATTTATTAGGCTCTACCACCCAGACGGCATAGTGGTTAAAAGAGCCAACTGCGATACCAAACGGCCCGCGTTCGAATCCGAGAGAAGGCATGGTTGTATTTGTCCGTTCCCTCATACGAAGCAAAAGTGGCCCACCTTTTAGGTGCCTCCATAATAAATTGATCACCGCTTGTGGACTTTGCAGTGGCCAAATTCTGCGGACGGTTTGTGCTCGCCAATTATCGAGTTAAGTTGATGGTTACGCAACCTATTTTAAAAGAATTCTCGAAAACTATCGATATTTATTGTAAGTCGTCAAACATTATGAGTGAAAGAAAAATATCCTTTAGCAATTTAAAATAGAGATTTTAATTATTAAATAAATTTAATTATTAATTTAATTATTAATAAATTTTTATTAATTTATAAATTAATAAAAATAAAATGCTTACATTCTTCTCCAGAGGTCTTTTCCCCCAGCTATACGTATTTCTCTCCAAGTACACTGCGACCTTCTTTTCGATTAGAAAACAACAGAGAACTGCAGAGACTCGGCAACCTACAAACATTGGCAACAGCAGCATCTACCAAACGTATTTCCTCATTGTTCCCTTTGGAGATTTTGCTACAAAATTCTGTATTCCTGCTGAAATTTCACCGCAATTTCTTCCATAACTGGCTAATTTCACGAGTTCAAGGTAAATAATATCATGATTTGTTTATAAAAACATTCGAACTTGGAATATAACAAAAACAACGGATACAAAAAACTGGACGTTGCTTGATTGAAAGATTGTTATGAGCATGGTTATCTAAAGAACAGTTATGCACATGGTTGCCAGTGTTTGGCACAATAATGAAAATTTAGCGACTTCTGTTAAGTTGCAATAACACGTAACTACTGTTTTAAAAATTAAATTTATAATTATAATAAATTTATATACACTACTAGCGAAGCAAAGTAAGATAGCTTTTTTCTTTATTCTCATAAAGACTACAATAAAAGGAACTTCGTTTATAGTCTAAGAGACATGAACAGTAAAATAATCTTGAATAGGAGATTTAAAATTTAGTTGAGGTTTTTCAGCATAATATGCCCATGTTGTTCTTTATTTCGTAGGAACAATTTGAAGAAACTTCACGGATTATTATCTTCATCTGAAGAAATTCCACGGATGGTCAACTGATGTTTTATTATTTTCACTCTACAGCAGGAAGGCCCACAAGTTGCTGAGTCGATAAGGCCACTGAATACTGATAGTTCGAGCCGGGTTCAAATGCCGGCAAACGGGCTGTTTACACGGGCGTTTTTGTGATTTTGCCCTTGAGCAAAGTGGATACGAGACGATTTCCTTTAGAAAGTCTTCTATGAAAGCATCCTTTCCCAGTGCAGATAGTTCTTGTGTGCTCTCCAGATTCAAGATAAACTAAACATTGTAACAAGAAGGACTATTTAGCTCCTCTACTTATTATCTTTATCGTGCAATTATCTTTATAAATTCCTCACCACAGTTATGTTTCCAAGCATTATACCTTCTCGAAAAGTTTGAATTATTTTTTGTCATAGCAGACAAAGGTTTAAACACTTCAAGAGAAAGATTTTTATGTCGACTTGCATCAAAAATCAATTGCAAAACTAACTTACTTTTATTAGCGGTAAGAATAATTTGCTCAAAAACTAAAAGATATTGTGAATATGAATTACATACCTTATTAGTACAGAATTTGTAACCGCTCCTACAATATAACAGCTGCTATTTTCATCACTTAGTGGGACATCTGACACAGATATATTGAATTAATAATGCAGGCTGAAAAACAATCCTTCCTTTTTTTAAAATTGGCAAAAACCTCAACCAAAATTTAAATTTTAGTAAACAGACTAACTACCTTATTTGCTGGCGTATAAGACATCGACGATCATAGCTGGGTTCGTTTAACTTTCCATTTTCTATGAACGACTTTTAAGTATGTGAAATTGTTACTATTCAATTTTCTTAAATTTGTTCGAAAGTTATGGCTCCAAAACAAGTCGGAAATTCTATAACATAGCATACAAGCTACGTGTAATTGCGTATGCTTAAGAACATCAAAACAAGACTGCAGAGAGGCACTTAGGGGCACCCCCCCCAACTGAGAAAATGACAAGAACTTGGGGGAATCATTAAGAGGTAGTAATGCACTGAATGGTGTGTGTGTGCGTGATTATGGCAAAGCCTCGAGGGCTGTCTGCGTAAGGGGAGGGATGCCTTCGTGGAGGACTTTCTAAGGGAACTAGCTCGTATACACGTTACACATGGAGAAAACCACGAAAACGTCCATGCAGCCAGCCCATTCGCGGGATTCGAACCTCGGACCGAATTACCAGTGTTCGGCGACTTTACCGCTCGGCCACTGGTGGGCCTGCACTGAACGGTACAGAGGACAATTTGTTTTATGAGGACTCAAATGCTGATTTAAAAGAGGTTTCAGGTGACTCTTCATTCAGCTCTGGAGATGAATGTCTAGGTTTTGACGAAGAAGATTAAAAGGTGTTCTTTTCCAGATAGATTGGGTGTTTGCAATAAGGAAATGTTACGTTGTTGCTTTACATTTAAAATGCTGTAAATTCATTATAATGATAGTAATAAAGTTTTATCTTTCAAAAATGTGTATAAAAAAGGGGGTGCTTCTTATACGCCTACAAATGCGGTAATTGAAAGTTTTTATCATGTGTGATATCAGTAAAAATCAACCTGTATAAGATAGTTCCTCCGCAAAAGTATCCGTTGCCCTAGGCAGAGAGCAGTCATGATTTTATCATGCTTGATTACGAAATAAATAATATAGGAATTGTTCCTGTAATTAAACATGTGTCATATAAATAATAAAGTGAAGTAAATAAAACAAAATGATTCGATGAAACAGTAGCTTCATATTCTGAAAACAATTAACCGGAACTTATTTCTTAATGTAACATTAAATATCTAATTTGTAATGGGTATGAAAATACACATTGCACAAAGTTGATGTGATTTGCATGCATGTTACATCCTTGCCAAATCTTTAACTGGAGGTAACTGAAGTTTTCATTTTTCAAAATAATGAATATGGTTAATGATGAAGGCAATTAAATATGAACAATTATTTTTTATAGCATAGATTTAATATTTTAAAATTTATTATGCATATGCTGAGCAATTCGAAATTTCGCTCATTGAATATAATGAGATTTACTTTTGCCAAGTGTGGATATAGGGTAATTATAATTAAAGTTCCACATTCAAAAAGTTGTAAAAATCGAACCACTAGTCAGAACGATCTGAAATTTGATTTGAGTATACATGAAACAATGGGAATTTGCCTCGCGAAAGAAAATAATATCTTGATTTAGGACAGCCAACATTTATACTAAATAGTTAATTAATTATTCCATGTAATGTTTATTGTACTGTTCCATGCGGCTAGCAGTCATTCATTGATTTGGTTTCAGGTTTTATAATACAGGGGGATTTTAATAAAAGTTCCATTTTCAAAAAGCCGTAGAAAAAGAACCACTGGTCAGAATGACCTGAAATCTGATTTCAATATACATGAAGCAGTGGAAATTAGTCTGGCGAAAGAGAAAATAGTTCGTAATTTTATCAACAGCTGGCGCTGTACTTGTCGTAATATGCTAATTATTTCAAAGGTGTGACAAGCGCACTACATATTAGACTTAATAAAAGTACGGAGTACGTGCTTGCTGCGTCTGAGCAGCTCATCGCAACTCTGCCAATAAAGAATCGGATTATGCTTGTGAAGCTTTTCTATAGTTGTTTGTCCAAGAGTTGTTGTCCTACTGCTACAGTAGGACAAACTTTTGCCCTACAGTTTCTTGCTAGGATGGAAGTGGAAAAAGCATGGTCATGGAACACTTTTCGAACAGATGAGGCTCATTTTTATCTCCAAGGTTTTGTCAATACTCAAAACTGCAAAACATTGCAGACAATGGATCATCTTATATTTATTAAGTCGCATCTTATATTCATTACTGCCAGAAATTTCTTCAAGCAGTTGAAGCACAGACTCTGTTCGTATAAAAAAGCTTCACAAGCATAATCCGATTCTTTATTGGCAGAGTTACGATGAGCTGATCAGACGCAGCACGAACTCCGTACTTTTATCAAGTCTAGTATGTACTTTGATACTTCGATACAGATGTATTTATACAGGGGGGTCTACTGCATTTGCAGTACTTCCCTGTAAACCTGAAGTAAGTCCACTATGCGCATGGTGATACTTTGATACTTTTGATATGCCTGTTTCAGCAGTTCAGTATGTTTATATCCCGCTATTACAGGCACCTCAAATAACCCCGGTTAGAGGAGACATAACATACAGTGCTTCGCAGGAATGCCTTGATAAGGGACTGCAGGAAGATTGTGTAGATGTGGCGCAGGCCAGGGTAAGTGAAGAAGTCATACTTTGAAACTTCAAAAATTGTCTGGCAGAAGTTAGGAGTATTTATGGGGGATTCCGATAAATGTGGGTTGCATAGGGCCTTAAATTGATGTCAATTTCTAGGAGCTCGTACTTAAAATTGTCAGAATAATTTACCTCCGCATTGGTGATGGCTTTCTTGAAAAAAATATTATTTAATTTATTGATGAATAACGCCAGATTTTGGAGTTTAAGGTCTCTGTGTAGCTGTTCATTGCGAACGAACCAGGGTGCTCCTGTGATTTTTCGTAAGTAGTTGTTTTGGAAAACCTGCAATTTAATGGGCATGGTGATGAGGAATGCCAGAATAAACCCCATGGAGGGAGCAGTGAGTGGGGGGAAAAGAAAAGAAGAAAATAGCCAGCAATCAGATGTGTCGCCATCTGGTGGCGGTGTTGGAGGCTAAAAGAAATTCAAAGTCCGGAGATGGAAAGCCGGGATCAGGAGCTGGCGAATCAGGAGGCAGCGCTGGTAGATAGAAGCAAGGCACTTTGAGATGTTCAGGCTGGTCACGTGAGTGGTCACCCTCTCGGAAAATGACCCTAGTCGATGCTGCTTGAGTTAGGTGTGCAAATTCAACATATTGATGGTGTGGGCAGTGAAAGGCCTATTGTAATAGTCATCCTCTATGATTTCATAATTTAAGATATTTGAAAAGTCCGCTATGCTATTTTGATTTGCTTTTCGGTAGAAATTTTTATTAAGCTTGTTGATGTAAGTTTTCACATATTCAATTTTTAAGTCGCGGTGCAGGTTTTTATTTCTGATGTAATACGGGGCTCCTGTGATAATCCTGAGAAACTTGTTTTGGATAACTTGTAGTTTTTTAATGTCGTTCGGTTCGGCATTTGCCCAGACTGGAGATGCATAAGTAATAATAGGTCTTATGATCGCCGTGTAAATTCTCCTCTTCCTATTTAGGCTAAGACCTGAGGATTAAGTCTAGTATGTACTGCGCCTGTCACATCCTTTAAATTATTAGCATATTACGACAAGTACAGCGCCATCTGTTGATAAAATTACGAACTATTTTTTCTTTCGCCAGACACATTTCCATTGCTTCATGCATATTGAAATCAAATTTCAGGTCATTCTGACCAGTGGTTCTTTTTCTACGGCTTTTTGAAAATGGAACTTTAATTAAAATCCCCCTATATTATAAAACCTGAAACCAAATCAATGAATAACTGCTGGTATAGCCGCATGGAACAGTACAATAAACATTTCGTGGAATAATTAATTAATTATTTAGTATAAATGTTGACTGTCCTAAATCAAAATATTATTGAATTAATTTTCTCAATCTGATGCAGCGCTGCTGCTGCTTCATACAACGGATTCACAGGCAATTGCATTTTACAAGGTCAAATCATAAGGAATTGGAAAAATACGCGGTAACGAAAAATACCCACAAAAACACGATATAATTCTATAAAATATGTTATTATAAAATAAGTCTGTTCCTGAAAATTTTTTAAATGTTTTCTGCAGTGAGATCTAGTCCTCCTCGCTATCATAAAATTCAAATGTTGTTACTAGGAAGTCTACCGACTTCTCCATGAATAATACCAGCCTAGAAGAAGGGTAAAATAAACCGTGTATTATTCGTCAAACTCTTAACTTCGTGCTCAAAATAACACCTACGTCTTGCGGTGGAACTGAAGAATAATTTAACAATAAATTCAAAGGTAAATAGTAGCGGTGGACTAACAATTTAGTTTAAGGCTAACTAGGCTGCCTCAGCAACCTACCCGGCGATATACTGATCAAATAAAAAAAGGGGCGTATCGGCAACTCAGCGTAACAACAGCGAGGCTTAAAATAGTAGCGTGCGCTGGCTAGCAAAACCACTGTCTGAATAAACATCTAGATTCGTCTGTTTTTATATTCTCTGAACTTTAAATTTGCATCCTGGCGAGGAAATGCGAAGCCAAAATGAGGAAATATACCAAGCTTATAATAATTTTGTGATGCAAACTAAGAGAGTCCCTACAAGTGATAGTTTCCGCTATCAGTTTTCATCTGTCATCACTCACGACACAAACACAAAGTAATAATTGCGAAAAGGAAAATAACATTATTTTGAGGAGCTTTTCCGCGATGGCAGTTAAATTACTGTTGTTTTATTTTTGCTATCTTTTAGAAAGTTATCAAGCAAAATAAGATACCACTTTATATTTCAGAAACTAAATAAGAGTTTTTATTTTAATCATCTGTCATTTTTTGTAAATGACGCTGATGAATCTCATAACGATCTGTGATAAGACGCCTGATAAATCTGATAACAATGTTAGATCTTAGTGCAAAATGGCACAAATATTATCTTACATGAAATAAGAAAATAAGACAATTATTTCAAGCTGAAGGCCAAACCTTTCTCTGTTTTAAATTGCATATTTAAACAAATCATTCAGCTGAAAGGAAGGCAGAAATAACATCATTATTTCTGTCGCAGATTTTTTGCAAACAATTTTGCTAGTTATAGGGCAGTTTAAGCTACAACCTTGTACGGTATTGCAAACCTACGTATCATTTACTTATAAACCCAAACATTTCCGAAATCTCTGAACAAAAACAGACGACACACTTATTAAAGGTTATAAGGTTTTTTAAATTGTGAGAAATATGAAAAAGAAATTTTTAGAACTCCTTCTGTGCCTCACTGTCTTGGCAGATAAGACAGTTCTAACATATCAGACAAGGAATACGACGGAAAACAAAGAAATCGATTTGAAAGGAAACTTACTTCAATTAGAAAATCAGCTGAAAAGTGGAATGAAGTCCCTAACCAAAATGATTATGCCGAAGATGATGGAAATTGCAGGAACACAGAAATTGTCCCCCGAGTGTATGAGAAACGGCTTACAACTGATCGACGGTTTGAAGAATCTTAAAACTTGGGCTTTTAGAAGTAAGTCGAAATCGTACGCATTTTGTAATCTATGAGAGCTTTTCCCTCTAAATGCATGGAATTTATTTACTTTTAATTTGAAGATAGAGATTTAGAAGAAGAGAACTATCTGTGTTATATTGTTAATACTGTTTACACTTTACTGTCAATTGTGCTTTATTAATTCTGCTACATTCGTTTAGGAAATCAATGTTTGTTTCTGATTTCAGACTTTAATTAAGTATATAAGTGATGAACTACTTTATTGTCTTGAATTATAAAATGACCAAAATTATTCGGCTACCTGCATTTTAGAGGTGTTTTATCGGGAAAAGATAGGACTGAAATGTAAAAGATTCTCATTTACATAAATTTAGCATTTTAAAGACACTACATCGAGTAATGATTTACAATAGAAGAAAGGTAATTAAACAGTCTAAACCAGGGGTTCTCAACCGGTGGTACGCAAGAGAAAAATAGGTGGTACACAAAGAAACAAAGTATTTTTAACAATTAAATTTTAAAATTTCGTGAAGGGAAAAAAAACAGCTGACAGAAATTTCCTGTGAACGAAAACTCTAACTTTATGTGCGATTTCAAAAATAACACACTGGTTAACTTTTGACTGAACCGAAAAAAAGAATTTAAAGGCGTCTCAAATAAAGTTATTAAATTTTTATTGCCTTTTTGCTCAACCTTTTTGTGTGAATAGGGAATTTCTTCCATGTTATGTTTGAAAAATAAGTAAGAAATAAAATTAAAATGAATCCTAATTTACGATTAAAGTTAAGTGAAATAAGGCCAGACATAAAGAAATTGATCTCTCTTAAACAGACCCTAATTTCACAGTAAATTTTAGAATTTAAGTAATTTAACTTAAATTTTGATAATTAAAATGGTAACCGATTTTTAATCTAACATTTTTATATGGGCATATTTAATACAAATAGCCAATAAGTTGTGCAAATGGCAAAAAACACATATTTTTAAATATTTCTATTGAGAATTTGAAAAATAACAAAAATAAGATAAATCTCTTTAGAAATGCTTTTAGACATTTATTACAATACCACGATTTTATCAACCACAGGATTTTCCATGTGTTGATCTTGTGTGAAGTATAAGATCTAATGTTCGAGGATAGCCTTCGAGGCTTTGCCGTAATTAAATAACCTAACCTAACCTAACCTAATGTTCCAGGAGGTCTCGCAAATAGCTAATTCTCACAGCATTGCCAGCATTACCGTTTGGCAATAATGTGAGAAGTTATCATCGGGGCTTTAATTTGGCTTTCATATTTAATCAATACATAACTGCTAAACAAACTAAAGGACTTAAAAGCAATAAACACTCCCGCCTGTTAGGGACCTCTACAATAAAATGGGCACCTCTTCTTAGTAGGACTTATGCCGTTATAGGCAAGTGCCCGCCATTGGGGTAAAAAACTTATTCATTAATAATTTATTTAATTCGTATAAATTAAAATATATTTAATTTACAATATAGCCAACTGATAATTTTTTGAACACAAGTAACTTTATTGTAATCAATAAAAATGTTTCAAAGACTAGGTAGGTTATTAGGTAGAGAATTTTTTAAAAATATATTAGGCTGAGCATATAAAACAGGAGTGATTTTCAAAAGGTAAATTTGGAAGAGGGGTCATCATATATTCTGGCATGTGTAACATATTATTTTAGAGGAATCATGTTACCATAAATAAAATAAGAGACTAAAAGTTATAATTATATACATATTTCTAAAAACGAATTTACCACTCGTTCGTCATTGATAAAATCAAAGCTGGATGTGGTTAGAAATACTACTTGAGATATAGAAAAAACCCGCACTATTATCTCTTTATTTAGCCTGAAAAAATGTTTTCTTATAATACTGAATTTAATTTCAAATTTGTAGGAAATTTTGTTTAAAAATTAACATTTTGAACAAAATTATGATAACAGTGTCCAATTCAGGATTTTAACATATCCTAAGAAGATGGTGGTGTCTATTTGCCTTTCGGGGTGCCTCAAACGAATTTTAGCAATTATGCATCGTATTCAATATGAGGCTTAACACCCATTTAACGTTTTCTGTGTGTGTGCAACTTAACTTTCGCTTTAAGCATTTTGATTGTAAACGACTGTTTGAAACATTTATGCAGATATGCGTAGCAATACTTATATAATGCTTGAATATATCACACAACCACATTTTATGTAGTTTTACTAAATAACCAGCAGTAAAAAGAGTTAATAGAATGTTTCCGAGCTGCATACTAAACGCTTATCTCCCCGCCAAATATATGTTCGTCAACATATCACAGAAACTCGCCTGAAGAAGCTGTTCTATATGATACATCGTTGTTAAACAAAAGAGCTACACAAATAAAGCACTTTCTATATTGACTTCTAAAAAAGCCTTTAGTAAAATAAGGTTAATAGAAAGTTTTGGAGATGTTTAATAAATATTTTGATACCCCCCCCCAAAAAAAATTCGCCATCCTAGGATGATTCATCCCTCTCCTATCCGAATTTTCCTTTAGATCTGTCTGTAGTTCTTTTTCTCTGAGTTCTTTGCCTCCATGCAAAAAAAAAAAAAAAAAAAAAAAAAGCCCATTTTTATAATTTTTGTTTTTTCGAATCTGTAGCATTGTTGAATTGACATAAACACTCTTTCTCAATAAAATAAACGTTAAATAAATAAAAATAATAATTTCAGTAAATTAAACGTTAATTAAATTAATATAAAATCTGAAAACTCTCAATTTTTTTCAATTCCAAAGGGCGTTAGCCTAGAAGTGTCATTAATTTCGTTTTGGCATTTTGTGGCGTTTCACTTTTCAAATTGCTGCCACCAAATATTATCACCCTATATTATATTTAAAGAAATTAAATAATGAAGAATCTGCATAAATGTATGTACGTTTCTCACATAGTGATAAAACAACGGCATCAAATTTTCAAAAAAGCCATCAAATTTTGAATATTGTATGTCTCCATCCCAATATGGGCATCTCGACGCCCAATTTTTGAATTTGGAATTTGTTTTATTACCTATTTCATATTTTGTAAAGCATTATGAGTTTTTGATTAAGAAACTCAACGATATGAAAGCGAGAAATGGCAACACTGTACGCGAAAAGAAAACATTTTTATCTCCAGCGGGCGAGACTGTGTATCGGATATTCTAAAGATATGCTCTTTTTAAATTATTTTGCGATACTGCTGATGAATTGAATTTTATGGTTTAAGTGCGAAGAACATTATATTTATTAAATAAAGGTGACATACAAAACGTTAAAAAAAGCCCCTTTGGGCGTAATATAAAATCTGAAAACTTTCAGAATTTTTTAAAAAAATTTATTGTTATATTTGTGCCTGCAACGCTAGTTCGAACTCGACAGTCATGGCAATAGGAATATTATTTCAGAGTTACAGAGTCCAATAATATGAAATACTATGAAAGAATCAGTTCAACTGAAAATGAATCCAATTTTTTGTTGATGAAGAATGAAATTTCTTCTATGTATAAACTAGTTGACGATACAGAGGAGGAAAGCATTGACGATGATAGTGATGATGAAGAATGTGTTGTAAGAAAGCGAAATCTCAGGGTAATAGACAGTGAATGGGAAAGCGACAGTGATTGCGCAGAAGAGACAGAAAATTCAGAATGGACAACGTACATAGAATCCGTAGAAATATCGCAAAGAAGAATACCCTTTGTATCCGGCAAACGAGCAGTAGGACCGCAAGTATCTTCACACATAAAAGAACCATTTGATTTCTTTAATTTGCGTGTGAAATCATTTTAAGTTAGCTGTAAGAAATTCACCAATATACGGAAAATCGTCTCGAGCTGTTAGCTCGCCAGAGCGAAAGGGCCTCGAGTGTGAAGGATTAAAGAAAGCTCCAGAATATCATGCTGATTCTTATTTAGTATCGTTAGCTCACAGGAAGACTGTAATTAATGATATGTAAGGATCACCAGCTTAAATACTTATGGGCAGAAGAACAAAAACAATTTTCCCAGGGAAAGGCATATTTATATATCTGTTATCAGACCAATATTCACTAATGTTTCTCCCACTTGGCCGAATGGAAGTGCAAATGTTATTCATAAACTTCAAACTATTCAGAAGAAAATTCTGCAAATAATTACAGTATAAGGTATTTCTTCCACTTTCTTAGCGTCCTTCGTGGTGTAGTGGTTCTGCATACTGAGCCGGTATTTCAGAGGTCCGTGGTTCGATTCCCGGCGAAGGCGGTTGCATATGTTTCATCTTTTCTGCTTCTAAAAAATTCCTAATGACTCTACAACAGGGGCTCCTTTTGTTAGAAATAGAGGCCTGCATTCTGATCTGAAGATAGATTACATAGCTGACCATCTTCACAGAACGAACAGGAATTCTATGGCAAAGTTATAGCCAATAATATAGCAAATTTTGCAAACTTTCTTGCGTACGAAATACTGCATGAAGATAGATGCATTCGACACTTTGCAGTGTTTATCCCTAATTACTGAGAAAAATCAGTCAGTCTGTACTCTGAGTTTGCCATGCCTGAAAGATAAGACGACGTCTTAACTATTTTGCATTGACAGCCAGGCGCTGTGCTTTTTTCTCCGTAGCCATTTAAACGGAGAAATGCAATTTTCGGACATCTTGCGCTGTCAAGTCCTTAAGAGATTCCGTTTGACATCAGGCAAGAACAAAAATTTCGTGAACAATACCAGAAAAAATCACAGAATAATTGAAATATAGCATAATTTTTCACTTATAAAAGCTCATGCATTATATGTTCTTTTCTTTCTGTTACAATTTCTTTCAGTTCTGGATGCAACCGCTAAAGGTCCAGATGGCCTAATCAGCGGCTCAACAACCTTTCTAGGGAACTACGACGAATGCCTTGGAACTGTAGCACGTAGCAGTCGTTCTAGAGATCACGGAAAAATATTGTTTGCTGGGAAATACTGTCTTTTGCAAATAAAGCCCGAATTACCACCCAAGAGAAGAATATATCGAATACATGATAGAATAGAAGAATTTGAAAATGCATCAAGCTCAGAAAACGTAAGTATCATTTCAAATTCGAAACCACTGTAGTAAGATCTAAACTCTTTTAGCAGGATCGCATTCAATAACTGACTTGCAATTAAAATGTGTGATATGAATTAAAGCTTAAAACTGGGTAAAATACCTCTTTTAATTGCAGAAATATATAAAATTATAAAATGATGCTAGAAGTACCTACATTTCCAATTATCTGGCCTCCAAACATTTCAATCTCTGATTAACAGAATGGCTTGTTTTCTTTTGAGATTATCTGGAATTAAAGTTGCTGAGAATTTATTTATGTGTTCTTAATTTTTAAAATAATGAAATAAAAAAAAATCTTATATACTTGCTCTCTCTATGTCTATACCAGTTTGTGCGTTTTTATTTTCCCAATATTTTAGTTTGTTTAATAACATATACAACAAATTAAGTATTACATTTCATAGTAAAATGTAGATTAAAGGGTTATTTCGTATAGGAAATTCTAATTTGGTAAATGCTTTAGAACTTTGTAATTTCGTAATAATTTGGTAAATGCTTTCGAATTTGGTAATTTCATAATAATTTGGTAAATGTATTAGAAATTTTCAAATGATGTTTTTAAACGCTTTGAAGAAACGCTTTTTGTCTTCAATAAGTGGAATTCTTGTTCTGGTAAAATAAGTAATATTATCACTTAGATGAATTATTCGTTGGTAAACGATCTAGTGAAATAATTTCGAATAATTAAGTCTTTTCTGTATTAAATCATAGCATAATTTTGTATGATGCGAAAATTTATCCTGAAATAATGCCATAATAATTTTTTTTGCTTTCCACACTGTTATTTACGACAAATCATTTTAAAAATATGATTACTTTGCTCTATAGTTCGAATATATTGGGCATTCAAGGGTAAACTGATAAGCTAATTTTACTATTTAGCTTACAATTGTTAAAATGTTAAACTGGAATCAACATTTCAAGATTATATTGCAAATTTTTAAAAACTTTACGATTTTTATGTTTTTTAAGTTTTTAAATTTTTCTCAAGTTTCGTTAACTTTCTAGAACTTAAGTGGTGAGCTCTTCAAAGTAGTACACAGTAATCGGAAATTTTTGGATGACGATTGAATTTTTTCTTAGCAATATAACACAGCGCTTCACTTTCAAGTTTTTTTGTTTTTTCTAGAAAATGTTTTGTTGGCAGGTAGGCTTAATGGAAAACGAAATGAAACCACAATTGAATATGAAAAATCTATGCAGGGCAATTCAATCGCGTCTTTAGTTTTGTTTTTGGAATTAATTAAATTGTTTTGCTGACTACAGGTCCAGATCATTAAGTGTATTGCAAACGGTATTTCAATATTATTATGCAATTTTACATTCACCTTTGAAAGGTCTCTTAAATATGGAATAAGAACAATAAGCCTATCAAATCTCTCCTCCTTGAGGAAGGAGAGAATCTTCATTTAAACCGAATGACATCCAAGCACAGATTACATGACGATACTGAATAAAAAAGTAAATTACATTTTAATTAGAATTAACACTCATTAACAACTTTTGTGTTTAACACCGCTAAACCTGATTCTTTGGTTCGACGAGCTAACAGTTATCCATGGCGCTTGCTAATAGGGTTGAAAGATTTTCATCTAAACCTACTTCTTGAGAGAAAAATTGTAAATCGTTTTAATGAATCTTGAATGAAAACTATGACTTAATTTTTGAATTTTTAGAAACTGCTGGATTTTTTAAACGATTTTAAAATTTCAACATCTAAAAATGTATCCGATATAAAGTTTTAAATGTTTCACAGATTATAAAACACTTTTTGCGTTCCTTTAAAACAAGAATGATAAAAAATAATATTAACTGGACGATTTTTCACATTTAAAAAAAAAGAACGTGTGTTGCCGACTGAAGCAGACGGGAGAAAAAGCGTTTCTTTCGGAAAAATTGCTTTTGAGCATTCCATATTTGGGCACGTAATGACAAATCGACGATATTCATTTTTTTTATTATTTTAGCAAGTAAAATACTCGTTGTAACACAGTTATTGTATCCAATTTCCTAAACTGAAGTGACCTTCATTTTCTGATTTTTAGGTCTTCATTTTCTGAATGACGTTCAGGAATTTTTCTTTATTTCATAATCTTTTCATAATTCATAGCTTATATTTTAATAATGATTAAAAACTTCATTATTGATAACGTAAAATTGAGATTAAAAAACAGAAAATAACATACAATTTAAAAACGTTCTTATAAAATAAGCTTTTATTTAAAATGGATATGATATCTAATGCATTTAAAGGAGAAAAGTAGTTTATTATGTAGTTTAATGGGAATAATAGATTAAATTTTTATATTTACAAAATTACTCTACAATTTTATATGCGAATAATAAAAGCGTGGGGCGCCTAAACAACGAAATCTATTCAATTATAGCGTCAAATATATATGGCATTATAAATTTTATATTAATTTAATTGCATTTTGAAATGTATAAGTTATTATTTTTTTTAATTTATCATAGGTGCCCCACGCTTTTATTATTCACAATATAAAATTGTAGATGATTTCTGTAAATATAATTATTTAATCTCTTATACCCATTAAACTCTGCGACAAATTATTTTTCTCTTTTTAGTGCATTAATTATCATATCGATTTTAAATAAAAGGTTTTTGTAAGAAAAACTTTTTTTTAATTGTGTAAAGTAAAATGAAAGGTACGTTTTATAGTCTATTACAGGTATGAAAAATACACTGGATTTAAGATTCTTTTCCGTAGATAATTCTAAAGGAAATTGAAGGAAAGCTGAATATTTTTAAAATGTCTCGAACATATTATTGAAAATATGGTTATGTTTTTGAAGTTACGAATAGTTTAGTGATGTTTTTGTTGCATAGCTTTTCAAAATTTAAAAAAAAATCCTTACTGCATGAAAATATTTCTGAAATTTAATTTAAACTAGTGAATAAGTTTTTTAAACGAGTAACTGACAATAAAATTTTCAAAAAAAATATTCAGATAAAACTCTGAAAAATTCTTCAGGAAAAATTCGATGGAGGACTATTGTGTCACATTTAACATTTCTGAATGAAATAAAATATAAATAAATAGACATGTTACATACGAATTCGAAAGTTATTATTTTAAGAGCATTTAACCACTTCTTTTTTAAACAAACTTTTAACTAGTTGTTGGTCTACTTAAACATTTCCAAGAAAAATGTTCAAAAACTTTGCCTTTAGGAATAATGAAGCTTATGAACACTTATAGGATCTTACTTTCTTTGGCCCCATAAACTCTACTAGACCCTACTAAGGAAACTGGAGACTTCGCACAGGCGTGAAATAATACCAGCACAAAAGAAGGGCGAAAATAACCTTTTATTATTTTTAGCTATGAATCCCCTACCCTCTCCCCAAAAAAACATGCATGTACTCGTGCTTTACAATAACACTGACAATTTGCGGTGGAACTTGTGAATCGTTACACAATAAATTCAAGTCTAAAGAAGAGTACTGGCCTAATACCTTAAGTTAAGGGTAACTAGGTTGACTCGGCAACCTAACCTGCGTGATAATTATTTAAATGGCCAAAAAGGTGTATCAGCAACTCCGCGTAACAGCAAGAACAGAATCGTAACTTGCGCTGGCTAGCGAAAACCCGCTCTGAATAAATTCCAAGATTCACCCGTTTAAATACTCACTTCACTTCATTTTAAATTAGCATCCTGGCGAGGAAATGCAAGAGGATATTGACGAATTCAGGAAAGATAACAAAAATTTGAATAATTTGTTAATTGAACTAAGGGAAACCGTACACACTCGTGTCCAAAATTTATTTTTTCATACCCCAAAATAATGCTAATCCATCGCGCAAAGTGATATGAGTAAATTTCTGAAATTTCTGTAATATATCGCTTAATTTTAGCGGGTAAAGACTCAAAACACTTTGGCTCTGAAACACCATTTGGAAAAATCTGTGGGGGGGGGCGAATCGTCGGTTGTTTAAAGCAAGGCAGACAATCATGAAAGAAGTGAGATGTGGGAATATTTCAAGATAGACAGTTTGTGCGATATAGAAACAATATCGAAAGTCTTGAACTCGGCAGTTAAGTTGAGAGCTTGCAGCCGCCACTAGAACAGTTTTGTCACGACAAACACTATACAGAAGGCTTAGTAAAAAAGACCTTTATGTCAGAAAGCCAAGAGCATGTGTTGCACCATCTTCACAACAAAAGAGTAAACTCTTTAATTGGTTCAAAGAACGTCATAACTTAGTGAATACCAGTGGTCATGTGTTCTCTTTTTTTAATAAGACGAGATTTAATTTAACATCTAATTCTAAACGTATTTAGATCTGGAGGGAGTCAGGACCGCAAAACATTCCTTCGAACGTTATGGGACGTGACCATTTGGGTAACGCAGGTAAGACGGTATGAGGAGGAATAATGACCGATGAACGTACGCCCCTACAAGTATTTTCAATATATGTTCTGTGACCGGTAATTTACCAAGAGCTTGAGGTAACAACTTTATATGTTCACTTTGCTAGTCTTGCAGAAAAACTTTTCAAAAATATACCAAATGTTAATAATAGCACCCTACCAGCGCTAAACTATGATTATAATATTGACAGCAATAGAAAACGGCCGCTTGCGGTCCTCAGATACCTTGATCATTAACTGTCTTTCTAATAATTCATATTCCTAGTTGTCCCACCTTAATTATATCTATGCATAATCTCATACTGTATTGTTTTTTCCGGTCAGCTGCCAATTGTTGTACATAATTACCTTTATATAATGTACATATTTTCTAATTTTCATTATGCATTTATGTTTTCTGTTATTTTACGTTATTTACTCCTAATATGTAAACATCACATATGAGAGACTCTCATATTCTGTGAGTTAAGGCATCTCTTTTACCACGCCATTTGCTTATCCGCGCACTTACCTTCGTCATAACCTGCACCGCAGGTGTGTTTCTGGTTGGAATCTTTTGTGTGCTCACCCAGACTGTGAACTGTTCTGAACTTTCATTTTCTTCGATACGACTCATAAACTGTTCGAACTTACAAAGAATCGAAAGTCGGAATCATTACGCCCGGATAGCGTCTACACGCGGGGACTCGTATCTGCGAACCTAATCGAGTTTGCCTGAGCCGACCAGAGATACCGGGATGCGTAATGGAAAACCACACATTGAGTTGATCAATGTTAAATGAATTTCACTTACTGCGCATGCCCAGAATAGAATTTGGCGCAACGGCAACTATTTTAAAAGAAGATAAATACGGTATATGGTTGATATTGTGTTATTTGGGCGTAAATTGTTCAGGGTTTTAAAACTTGTTAGGCTGTAAGTAGCTTCATTATTTAGAGCATAACTATCGATTGTAAACTACGCAAATTTTCGTTTAAGAAGGATAACAAAACAGGAAACATTACAATATATATTAGCAGAATGCTTATTTATTATACTTCTGAGGAATAAAAGCAATTGAGTATTTACCATACGTTCCATTCGTATATACTTTTATCAAATTAAGGAATAAATTCAGTTCATATTGATGAATTAAAGTCAAATAGCTGATATTAACTGTAATATTTATGAACAAAATAAGCCAAAAAGTAAATGAAACAGAAGCACATCAAAACGCACACAACAGATTTCTATAGTAATGCAATTGTAAAAAAAATGATATCCAATCCAAACTTGTGTAGGGTTGCTTATGCTTAGTCGCCAGGATTTCCTCCCATGCCAGCGGTATACTATTGAGCATGCGCAGTAAGCAAAATTCGGTAACATTGATCAACTCAATGTGCGGTTTGCCATTATGCTACCGGGATGATGTCTTGGAACATTATGTAAAACTTTTCAGAGGTGCAGATGTATCTGAATTTTTATTTATGAACGAGAATACTCATTCATATCGGTAAAAATTCGTTGACGAATTCCTTGAAGGCAGTTGCAGGGAGACATACTCTTAGCAGAGACGTAAATGCCCCGAGCACTGCATTTCTGGAGGACAGGTACTTAATTCCCCAAACTGCGGTTAACAGCTTTATTGCCAGCATAAAAGTAGGTGATATGTGTGTAGGGAGGGTTAAAGAAGATCACAAATTCTACATTAATCCTTAATTTTTTTCTGAGTTATTATTTTTTTCTGAGATCTCCTTATAACATATTATTATCATTTTTAGAGTTTCATGTAACAGTTTCGTATCTTATGCAGAGAGCTTGTAGTAATCAATCTTTTAGTAATCTGCGCATAACGTTCGTATTCTAGATCATTGATGAAATTGCTTCCAGATTGCACACATTTTACTCCTATGCCCTGAACCTTGGAGTATGCATCCCTTCTGGTTGTAAAAAGGAAGACATTGAGACTCTTATCAACTCAGGTAAGAAGATTTTTTTACAGTTATTTTCAGTTTAATCAAACCTTTAGATATGTTGTTATTCCTTTTTATTACTTTACATGAAATAGTCTTTCTTAACAAACACCATTAGCTCTTTCACTTTAACTGAGCTTTATAAATATTCATGTTTAACTAAACTCTGTAGGTTAAAGTAATACTGGTTTCCGTCTGTCTACCAGACCATGCCCAGGAGGGCAAAATTTCGATTTCTAGAGAGACTGTAATTATAAAAAGGAAGAAAGTGTCAAATTAAAATAAATGCATTTTTTTACGTAGCATGTCTCACTGAACTGACGGGACACATTTCGGACGTATGATTTCCGAAAACGAGGACAAAAATTTGAAATGCTCCAAGTTAAAGTTATAAAATACAGTTTTCTTAGAAGTAAGCGCTTACTTCGTTTTACTTGCCATTAATAATAATATTTCTAACATTTCTTCCAGAAATAAATAGTGAGTTCAAACATTAACATTTTGTTTTGATATAGGGAAAAATTATGTAATAAGAGATTATACACTACTCAAACAAATAAAACTGGGAAAAACCATCTCCGATGAATACATAACATGCTCATTTCTGACAATATTTTCATCGAAACTCAATAAAAGGTATCTCAGAAATGATATCTTTGAATTCTTCAAAAGAGTTTTTTTTAGAAGTTGTATAATTTTTTACATTTATTATCGTGGCTGTTTCAAGAAGAATAGCCGATCACGAATTCACAAAATTTTTCAAGTTTTGGTATTATAAAACATTATTCTGAACATAACGGAATTCAAAAAGAAAGACCATTTAAGAAGATATTTGGAATGCAACATAATACTATTTTTTAAGATAAATGAAATAATATAAAACGAGGTGCTTCTAAATATGATGCAAATCATGTGCAGCAATCTTTAATCGAAAGATTGTTAATAAAATAATCCGATATAGTACGTACATAATTGCTAGATACGAAGTTAAAAGTTCTATATCAGTCAAACAACAGACAACGTCAAGTATCTGTCTCAGAATTTATGACAAATAACAGTTCTGAACATTGCAATTAGATAGTACTTGATAAATTTATCTTGGGCTGATCTTAATTCAATGCCTTTAGCATACAGAGCAGTCAAATGTGAACTTCGAAAACTTTAGTTGGTTACATTAGGGGAAAATGATGGAAACGTATAACCTTATAAGGGCGCATGTCTCTATTTTAAACTTTTATCTCAAGCTGTAGAGACATTAAGATTAGTTCGAAACAAGAAACATGAAAAATAAGTGATGGCCTCTCCCATATTTCAAACTCCATATTTTCTGATTGCTAGTGCGACGTGCTTTCTATTACACACCGAATACGAGCGGTAAGGATGGAAAAATTATTTTATGAAGCTTGTTAATGTTATAATGTATTGGTATGAACATACTAACATTTTAAAAGTAAATCTAAAATTATCACCACAAAATAATTTCAAATTCTTCTAAGACAATGTGCATTACACTGATAATGAATTTGTGGCTCTGGATGTTTGATAATATCGAAACATTCAAAACAGCCTCCAAATGTTTTAGAATAGAATACATAATTTACAAATAATGTATTTCTTTAAAACAAAAACTTAAATTAGTAAATGCAAAATAAGCCGAGGAAAATATAGGCCAGAGATAACGAAAAATATAGCTAAATCCATAGCAAAAAGTTCCTTTTGGGGGGAGAGGGAGTTTAATAAATAGTCATTATTAAATTTCTATTAAAATATTATCGATTTACATTTTTATTTCTAGAATAGTAGTGTCATTTTTTGTAACAGATTTTCCCATGTAAAAAAATTGGTGTGCGAGAAACAACAGAGGAAGGTAACTAACTTTATATTCCAAAAGCTTTAACAAAACTCCGTTTGGAGAGTACAATCAAAGCCGACCGTGGGTCTGAACTTAAGAGAAAAATTAAAAAAATAGATAAACTAAAGAGATATAGCCGAAGCTATCAAGATTATAATGAGTTGTCCCTTACTCTATTTGACTACGAAGCTTATCAAGGGCCTGAGTACGGCCGAGCGTAATAACAGCTTTGAGAGAGAGAGAGAGTAGCCAAAAAGCAGACGCGCACAAATCAGAAACTCTGATTCTCTCCCACTCAGCAAGTAGACTTCATTGTTTAAATACCGCTCCTCCTCACTAAGTATTCAGAGTGATTCCAAAACTACATTCTGGCCGGAAGTAGTAAGTTGAAGTTAAGAATTTGACAGAAAAGGAACTTTAACTTTAAACTTAACTGTTCATAAAATTAACATAATCCTTACAATCTTAATTATTAAACTTCGAACTTAATAAACACACAGTTCATGCTTTATGAAATCACTCTCCGTAGCTTGCAGACAGGTTGCATAAAATATTCAATTTCATCTTAAGTAAGTGCCGCTGGAATTCACAAACTAAAACCTAAACATTAACTTACGCAAGCAAAATATGCAAGCAACACGGCTAGCACAAGGCTAAACCCGTTAAGGCAATTCTAAAAGCTAGGCAAGAAATGGTAAAAATAGGGGTAATTAAATCCAAAAATTGACATTATTTTCATAAATAGCAAATCAACAATTAAAGCTTTAAAATAATTTACAAAAACTTAGCTTTTAAAATTTAAATTTTGATTTTTAAAATTCTTTTAAATTTGATTTTCGACTTTACTAAATTATAAATTGGTTACTTCATACACAGGCTGTATATTTTTACATTTTTTGAAAGACCAACCCCCTGATGAAGATGTTATAAGAGATGTAAAATTAATTAAATATTTAGATTTTTTTAAAGAAATGTTTATAAATTTATATGTTTTCTCATTCTGGCATTTTCATGCAGCGGTTGTCCAAACTGGTTTTGATAGAATTTCATTTTTTGGCCAGCATTGCTATATCATTACATAATTTTTGAATTTTTTATTAATTTTAATTTTGATTTTTATAGCCACTAAATTATAGCAGCTTGCTTTCAGCGCGTTATTTAGCTATCAGTTTATCCAAACATATTGCTTTCTTTTAATTTTCTTTACATGCATAAATATATGTACTCTTAACAAACTAAAATACAATTTTGGTACGTCAGGGAAAAGAAATAAAAAGTGAGATGAATTCTCTGTGGTCAAACAAATTGAAAAAAAAAGGCTAGAATTTTGGGACTTGGCTTAATCATACACCTTAGGCCAGATAATTACTAATAACACTTGTTATGAAAATTAAAGCAATTAAAATTCGATTTCATGAAGTAATTCCTTTTCATTCGTTTGATAGTGTTGAAATATTCAAAAAAACGCCCCAATTTACTTTCATGGTCAACAACTGTTGAAAATAGGAATGCCCAACCTGTGCTTTGGAAAAAAGTAACGTTACAACAAGAGTTACTAAAATAAAAAAAAAACAGTTTATTTTATATTTTATCAAATGGCTTTATATTCATTTATTTCAGTGAACCAATTTCACTTGCTATCAATATGTGTATCGCTTATTCCTTCAAACATCTTTTAAATCTTAAGCAGAAGATTTCCTTAAAGTATGGGAACATTTCGGATCAAGAAGTTACAATAATTTATCATTATTGTAACTTCAGTTACAATAATTTATCAGTATTAATCATTTTCTGAGACTTGTTTTTAAAGAATGAGATTTTCTTGTAGTGCTCTCCTAAAATATAGTGCTTTCCACGGCAAATCTAACAGAATGTGATCAGTATAACTGTAAGAAAATATTAAATATTCTTATTCGTAACTCATAAATCAGTACTTCTATCATGTATTCGGAATTAATGCTTTCCTGTGTTTACTTGAAATTTCTTTCAAAAGCACACATTAGTGAAAAAGTTAATTCTTTATTTTTGTAATAGATACAAATAATTTACTACATTTTTTAATGAGAGCTTTGCTTTCAGTTGGGAAGGATCTACACTTAGATGTCAATGTGTACAGATGTGAAGTCAAGAAAAAGATAAACTTCTCCATTACACAAATTTGTATCATGTAAGTTCTAAGGTTATTATTTAATTAAGCGTTTATAATTTCAGCCTTTGCATAACATCTCCTTTCCGTTTCCTCATCAAAGTGTAAATGAATGTAGCTAGTATTTAAATTGAGGTTAATTTCTGCCAGCTGTATATTTCATTTTGATGCGCTGGCAGAGATACAGAGAAAACTTAAAGTAAGATTTAAATTGTGTAGTCTTTGGCTACTGTTTCACATTTTGACTTCAAATTGACTATTACTTTATTTCAAAGGTGAGAACGCTGCACACTGTGTACCGGATTCCTTGCTGGGCTAGCTCCCGAATTTAAGCTCCCGGTGTCCCGTGATGGATGTTGTTCTAGACAGTAGTCCCATGGAGTTGAAACCTGTAAATTCATAGGCGAAATTCTGCTGCTCCGTCCACTTTTCCCTGCCTGTCTTAATTTAGTTGTATCACCACGAGCTGCGGTTAATATTGTTAAAACAACCTCCTGAGTTCGATTTAAATGAAAAGGTTTATTTATACATCTCCATGAGTTACTTTCAGATACAGCGATAATTCGTTTTACGTTTGTTGAGGTTAATGGACTAGTCGATTTCAACAAATCAAGTAAAATCCTATAAAGTAACTTGGAAACACATTCTGCTTTATTTCCGTATACTACAGAGATCTGATAAAGTCAGCCCGTTATCATGTGGTTTGTACTTTTTTGTCATGATAGTAAGCATTTACCGTTATAAAAATTCAGCGTATTTTATGGAATAATTATAAGACGACTAAAGTCTCAAACTATTGAGATTCATTATATATTCAAGTTTCAAAGTAAGGTCTAAGGCACAAAAAGTAATAGATAATAATAATTTAAGCTCTGATAGGAATTTAGTAGATGAAGATCGATTTGCTTCTAAACACAAATTTCCTAAGCAAAATGAAATCAATAAAGTACGCTGAATTTAAATTTTTCATTTTAAATAAAATTTCTACAATTTTTTTTTTCATCCATTTACAATTTACAAAGTGGGAAAGATAATCCCATTGTCTTTCTCCTCATCACTTTTAGATCAGTTTTAGAGTAGATTTTACGATCATTGTTCTCTGGATCTTCATTTCATTTAGAAGAAAAATTTTGAAATTTGCAGATTATCTTAAAAAGGTATAACGTAGTATCTCTTGGATAGTTTATCCCACTTGAGCTATTATATAGCTCTACATTTGCTGGAAACTCATTGCTAACCGGACCAAATTCCCTTGGAAAGTCCTCACAAAGATATATTTACCCTTAAGGCAAACACCCTTAGCATGGTTTGCCATAATCTGAATAATCCTACTCAAACCCTTTTGGAAGATAGCTCTTGTCTTGTTTTGTCATATTTATTAGGTTGTCCGGAAAATAATGCAGGTTTTTAACCTATATCTTTAAAATATCATAACTCAACTCAAAAACAATTTTATTAATCAAAATAAGCACCAGCCGAATCAATGTTTTTTTGCTAACGAGATATAAGTTTATTTATGTCGGTAGAATAAAATTCTGGAGTTCTAGACGCAATAAAGTTGTCAAAGGCGTTTTTGACCTCGTCTTGGTTTCTGAAGCATTTCTTCTGCAGAATGTTATCCAAATGTTTGAAAAAGTGGTAATGGGTCGGCGAGAAGTCAGGCGAATATGGGGAAAGAGGGAGAATCTCGTATCCCAATTCGTCCAAGTTCTGTAGGGTCATCTGCACGACGTGCGGCAGAACATCGTCAGAGAGAACTAGCCGCTATCTCTTGACCAATGCCGAGAACATGCGTTGCAAGTTTTGGTGCATTTCCTTGCTTTGCTGACGGTACTTATCTGCCATAATCGTTTCGCCCAGATTTGGTGGACGAGACCGGCCTCAAACCATCAAACAGTCACCATAATTTTCTTTTGGTGCAAATTTGGCTTTGGAAAGTGTTGTGGTGTCTGACCACGGTCCAACCACTGATCAGAATGTCGCCAGTTGTTGGAGAGAATCTACTTTTTATCGCACGTAATAATTCGATCAAGAAAAAGGTCGTTTTTGTTGCGGAAAAGAAGAGCAGACGACACTTCAAAACGGTGATTTTTTTTTTGTTTTCGCTTCAATTCGTAAGGCACCAACTTATCGAGTTGCTTTAACTTTCCTACACCATTTAAGTGATCAGAAATCGTTGTTTTGCTTACGCCAAGCTCTCGAATAGTTATGCACGGGTTTATTTCAACTTAAGTCTTCAAATCATTGTCATCAACAGCTGAAGAGCGTCCACGATGCTCTTGATCTTCCAGGTCCAATTCTCTACGACGAAACTTTTGGTATCACCGTTGAACTGCATATTCATTAACACTTTTCTCACCCCATACTTCGTTGACATTTCGAGCAGTTTGTGCTGCGCTGCGGCCTAGCTTGTACTCATAAAAGTAAATTTGCAGAAAATTCCCTTTTGACATCTAAACAAAAACACCTAGTAAATATTTTTGAAAATAATTTTGGAACAAAATGATTATTATAGAAATATAGAGCGAAAATAGAGCTTCACAATGATACATAAACCAATGTAATTCAAAATATTTCTGTTGCTAAAAATGTACAGAAAAGATAAACAATTGCAAAAACCTGCATTATTTTTCGGACAACCTGATATAAAGTAGTGCATTTACAAGGGTCAAAGTTTGATTTTATTCTTCTACCAGCTTTGATATCTTCGGTCACCTTACATTCACTGCCTCTCGTTTTGTTCTGGCAGTTTACTGGGAATTTTCAAAAACTTTTCCGTCAGTTTCATAACTTAATACACATGCATTTTTATAATTGCAAATTTATTGTGCCGCCTGGCGCTTTATATGGCTCTGTCATCTCGAATATACAATAACCCATTAAGAGAACTTCTTAAAATTTCGAACTAACTATATGTCGAATTCTTTTTCCTAAATGTCTCTAAAATTATTTTTGGAAACTGTGCAAATGAAAGCATGGAGCTCATGCAAAAGTTCTTGCATTTTTCAATGTAAAGACTCGATTGTGTTATAATAGAACATTAACTAGCGTTTAGTCTACACTATTTTCTCCATTATTATCTATGTATTGGTGCCTTTTATGATATAATTTTCCCTCCCTCTCTTGTAGAATAATTGTCTTCTGATGCGGAATGTAGTCCACTTTGAAGATTGTTTATATAATAGCATTTCATTTCGAAAAGAAATTACGTAATAACTGAAAGAAGCAGTATTGTGTTAGAGTAATATTTTTCGACAAGTGGCATAGCCAAAATGGTTTTCGTCCAAAGCAGTCCTTGAGATTTCTCTCTTTCTAAATTCACACCAGAAATGAAAATAAATGTCAAAGTAATGTGCTACGAAATAAACTGAAACACTATATATATTTTTGAAACAAAACTTTATTTTCAACACACTAAAGCATTAGTTTTATCGCTTTTCTGTTAGCAATAACATTCTCAAAGACTCTTTCATGATACCGCAGGAGAATAATGCATCGTCAAAAAGAAACTGATACCTTTATGAAGATCGACCATTGTTCGTCAGAATAGAATTTTCAAAAGAGGAAAACTGCCCACATCTTTATGAAGATCTGTTTTTATCTTCTAAGAACATCTATCTTGATAACATTACCCGCAGCGTAATCAAGGTCAATTCGTAAAATGGTATCAATTCGTAAAGCCTTGATACCGCTATCCAAGCAGGACATATTGTTTTGTTTGCATGTGAGAGAAGCACACTAAAATTCTACTTAGATTGTGGTACCCCGCGTAAAGATACCGAGAGATATACGAGGTTAAAGGTTGCTTTATTTTTTAAATTAAAAAGTGAGCTTCATAAGGGTGTTTGCATCTTTATTCCTGGTACTTGTTTGAAAATTTCTGTCTTGATGAACAACGGCCACTTAATAAATGTGCCGACACCTCTATACACTTTTATATCAGAATACTGATCTAAGGTGTCTTTATTTCAACAATGAAGTTCTATCCGTAGTACAGCAGAGTCCCGCAAACTCGATTCCCGATATCTCAATATTCCGTATAACTCTTCAGCTTTTTAGGAACATTTTTAAGATATCTCTAGGCCAAACAGAACAAATATTACATATATTATACGTATTATTATTATTTATGAGTATGTCTTTCCTGTTCTATTCATAGGTTTGAGTGTCCATTTCCTGTAATTTTTCCGTTTTCCCATTATGTCAATAATTCTTGGAACTGTCTAACAAATTTCAACATATGTTGTAATAGTTGGCAACGCTGTTTGCTTCTTTCGAGATTACGAAGAAAGTCAGGTAGTAGCTGGCCCCTGGCTCACATTCCTTTATATTGTTGCGAAACGTTAGAAGACTTGCCTGAAGTTTTTTGACTGCATTTTATTGCAAACTAAACTCACACGAGTTCATTCCGGGTATCATTCCTCAGTTTACAACCACGTGTTTAAGTCTTTATATATTTTGGGGGACTTTTGATATTCTGTGAAGTGAAAATGTCGTTCGAAAAGAAAAGAAAACAAATTAACGTGAGAATGAAAATGAAACTAGATTCCTTAATAAGACTGGATAAAAAGGAACGTGTAAACAAAATTACCATGGATTTAGGTGTTGGATGGATTATTTTGATGAGGTGGAAAAAGAAGAGGTCCGAAATCGAGTCATTTTGTATGAAAAGAGCATATAAGGACAGTTTAAAGGACAGAAAAAGTATGAAAAGTGGTGAATATGAAAAGGTGAACGAGACGCTTTATTTGTGGTACAGGCAGCAAAGGAAACAGAGAGCATTTTAGCACCAGTTTTATAAGAGAAAGCTCTAAAATTGTATGATGAATTTCGAGAAGGAAGAGCCTAGATTTCCTGCTAGTGCTGGCTGGCTCGACAGATGGAAAATGCGGTACGGCATCAGGCAGTAAAACGTTTATGGGGAAAACTATCTGATAAATTGGAAAATGCTGCACTAGTCAAAGATAGTTTCTACAAACTAATTGAAAAGGAGGGTATATCTAGAGATCAAATTTATAGTTGTGATGAGACCGGTCTGAATTTTCGAATGCTACTTTCGAAATTTGCTGGCATCCACGGAAGAAAAATCGGCACCTGGTTACAAACAAAGCAAGGAGAGAGTCATAGTCTTATCATGCAGCAATGCAACAGGCAGCCATAAGCTCAAACTAGCGATTATATGCAAATAAAAAAAAACACCGGGCATTTAAAAACGTAAAAAAGTACACTAATGGGACAGAAACAAACCATGATCTTCCTGTTTAGTATCGGAATCAATCAAACTCATGGATGAATGGAGAAATATTTAATGATTGGCTTCATCAGCAATTCGTTCCATCGGTGGAAAAGTTTTCAAAATAAAAAAAAACTACTAAGGAAGGCGATTCTCATTCTAGACAATGCTTCATCCCATATTGATGCATAACAGTTACAAGACGAAGATATTATAAGAGCCATGCTTCTCCCTCTTGACGTAACTTCAGTGTATCAGCAGATGGACCAGGGCATTTTGGAGGAATTGAAGAAAAAAATACAGACGTTAACTTCTTACATCTTTTCTCCTAGCTATGGAGAAAGGTGGTGATATGATCGAGAAACTGAAGAAAATAGATATGTTGGATGTTGTTGGATGGATAGCTCATTCTTGGAGTGAAATCAAGCAGATGAGCCTCGTTCGTTTCTGGAGAAAGCTGCTGGACCATTCAGGAAACGAATTTCACGAAAGCAGAGAAGAGGCAGAAAATCGTAAAGTAGTTAATTTACTTAAGAAACTTTCATACTGCGAAAAAGTTACTGATGGTGATGTTGAAAAATGGATGGGACAAGATGAAAATTGTGAAATTTTAGGACATGCAGAAATAGTTGCACTGGTGAAAAGCGATGTGGATAAAAATGAAGATGAATCAGGAAACGAAGAGCTTGAAGACAACATCTAAGCTAAAATGATGACCTATAGTAAAGGACAAGTGACAAGTGACGGGGGACGTGGGACCTGTTCCTCTTCCATAGTGGTTAATCAGTACACCACCACGTCCACCATCATCTAGAGTACCACTGGATGGTAAATGGGAGGTCACTCGGGCTCCAAGACAGAAGACCGCTGAAGGAATGCTCCGTTACATGGAGGAGAAAGGTGCATCTGGTATGGACATTTTCCGTCGCTTACGGGACGAAGCTGCACGACAACGGAATGAGTGTGAGAGATAATCTACCATCAAACGATATTTTTCTACCAAGAACTGCTAATCATTTTTCTTCATTTTTGTATGTAAGTTGTTTTACTTAATTATCTTAGGGTATTTCTTCTTTTTATGACTCCTATTGCTCTAGAACTTGACATAAAAAAATGAACACTAATTTAATTGTATGCTGCACTTTTCCGTGCCCAATATTGCTCTACAAATTTACAGCGCAACTTACAGTTAAATGTATGAGTTTTGAAAAACCCACCCCTTATTCCATAAAACTCGACAGTCTCTCAGTCCCGCAAAGAAGAATTCTTGTCATGGATAGTAACTCTTATTCAAATATAGGATGTTATTTTAAAACAAGAACGTCAAGGCTATTTTCCTCTGACCGATTTGTATCTTAATTATGAGAACAGCAGCTGTGGCAAATGGTTTGAGTCGCCGCTTTTTAGACTTCCACTCCATTTTCGTTTAGCGTATTTCACCTCATGAAAAGTGCATGAAAGAAAGCTAATTTTAATTACAGTTTAAAATGAGGTAGGGAAAATAATGTGCCGTAATGACGACACGCGTTATGATCGCAAATGGAGGAAGAATAACAACGGCCTTAAAATACCTAAAGAAACAGACAATAGTAACAGCGCTCTTCTTAACAAGCTAGAAACATCACTCTAAGCAGAAGAGATTGCATGCTCTGTCATAATCTAAATTATCTTACTTCAAATACCTTAGGAAAATAAAAGTTTCTGTGTGTTTTGAGGCATTTAAATAAGCATAAAATGTAGTGCATTTATGAAGCCATCTTGGTAACACGAGACTAGCATGATTAATATTATGCAGGAGTAAAATCGTTTCACGCTTAAAGTTCCACACAACACAAGCGGCACTCTCTACCTACGTCATTGCATTTAACATGCTTCTTCAAAATTGTATTAATATCAGGCAAAAAGTATGTCTGATATGCTCATTTTCAATCGCCATCTTTTCCCTTTCTCCTTTCGAGCCCAGCAGCGGCCGAGCGGTAAAGTCGTTGAACACTGGTAGTTCGGTTCGAGGTTCGAATCCCGCGAACGGGCTGGCTGCATGGGTGTTTTCGTGGTTTTCTCCATATGTAACGTGTTACGAGCCAGTTTCCCTTAGAAAGTCCTCCACGAAGGCATCCCTCCCCTTAGGCAGATAGCCCTAGTGTGCTTTGCCGTAATTAAATACACCACACCACCCTTTCTCGTTTCTCATTTTTAACTCGTTCTAAACGTCACGTGCAACGCCTGTATCAACACCTTCTACTAGCGATTACTGGATAATCCTGTACTCTCATAGCCTGAAATAAGTGGCACAGACAAAAGTTTAAAAGATAAAACGTATTTACTACAGCAAAACTTCAAAAACTTTTGCACATATCTAATACATGTATAGAATCACTAGTGAAGGGAGTGAAAAATGAACACACTTTCTTGAACATCTTGTATAGCCTCACTTTCCTTACATTTTTCTCTTCGTTTCTCATAAATAGCTTTTGCATTCTGCTTTTGCTATATGACTTTCTCGCTTGCGTCAAACATGACTTTTTTAACCTATATTTACTTGTTGTTACGTATTGTACCAACCATTCCTTTTTTGTGTTTGATCTAAAATGATATTTAGTGATTACTTGGATTTAATATAAATTCAGTGGCTACGCTAATTATGAATAATAAATAAATACTTTAAAGGGTCGAAGGAGATTAAGATGTGAATATCTAATTCTTGTTTAAAATAAGCTTGTAAAGTAGCTATTTAAAACAAATCAGTTATTGTGATTTGGAACTCTACTTTAACTTCTCCTTTTCGTATTCCTCGCCAGAATGCAAATTAGTTGTTTGTGTATTTAAGTTGAAGTTTTCTGGGATAATGAGAGAGTGTTTCTGGCATTGCGCACTTAGATTCTGGCAGCTCTAGTTAAAAATAATTATCTCGACTTCGCGTTCTCTCGCCGCTGATACTTTAAACTGTCGCGCCAGTAAATTGTTGAGCCAGCTTAGAGCCTTAGTATTAAATTATGTAGCCTTAGACTATAAATCAATTTAATTTCAATTGACTTTTCTTAATTAAATTGCATTGTCACGATTAGCCAGTGATTAGTTCTAGCACAAAGTCGTACCTTTATGTTCAAAGTTCTGTTTAAATAAAACAATTGATTTATAGCCTTCCTAAAAATTTGTCGTACTGTCGCAGACATACCGATAACTCGCTAAATGTCAGGTAGAGTTATAGGACCAAAGCAACATTACTAGACCAAGTGTAACCTTACAGGCTCATAAAGTTAACATCAATAACTGACAATGCAATTATGTAAAAGGCAATGTTCATTATTACTTTTGAAAACAACTTTAAAATAATCATCAGACGCATCAGGGGGATTAAAATACTATAATTAATCTATTTATTTTTACTTTCAAACTATTTATGACAGAAATAGTTTTATTAATTCATGAGGCTCATGCACCATTAAATTATGAATCCTCATTCATACAATAACTAAAAATGGTAATTCTGAATGAAAATTTTGTTTTGCTGAATTATTTCAAGAAAAAAGAAAAATAATGCATTTTTTCGTAGATCTCTGTATGCTTTCTTTGGAATGCTTGTTATCATTGCATCATTTATTGATGCTTGTCTTCAACGCAAAGGTGTAACGACAGAAAGTAAGTCAATTTTTTTATCTTTATTTTTACTGTTTCTGGCACAATATATCAAGCACTTTTTTACATAAAGCGTTTATCCAGTCTTGAATACTTTAATAATTATTGGTATTCAGATTGGGATAATTTAATACTAGTGAGTTGATATTATAGGGAAAATTGTATACCAGAAGTGTTGCATGCTAATTCAACACAAAGGGTAAAAAATATATATATTTAAATATGCCAAAACGTCAAGACTTGGATGAGTGAATACCAACAGGTAGCTCTCATTTGAAGTATGCAGAGTGTTGATTTAAAATTTCTCCTAAGCTGAAACGATATAAAAAAATAATTGCCATTAGTTTTATGGTGTATCCAGTTCAATCCATTTAGAGGAGAAAAGACAAACACTCGTAAAACGTTGTTTCGTTTTAGATTTTAAATGTTTGTGCTTATACCACTGACTAAAGTATGGAAATCGGTTTAGCTTAAAATATTATTTCTTATGTAATACCTTATAACAGTTCAGGGAACAATCAACATTCGCACTAAAAATCAGATCTGGATACTGGCAATTGCATGCTACGATTGCATTTTATTTTATTCTGTTATGATTGCCTTTTACGCTGCAGATATCGTTTCGAACTTCAAAGACAACTTAGAAGCTTAATAGACACCAAGGCGTCGGTCGGTAGTGCATTTACCATTCTTACCAGGGGCCGGCGTCAGAGAGAGAGAGAGAGAGAGAGATAGATAGATAGATAGATAGATATAAATAGACAGACATATAGATAGATATGCATGCATACACACCGTGTGATAATTTAGATAGTGGTGATGTAAATACTCCAAGGTCTAGCAGCAGTCATAGCCGTTCGAATATTCTCCTTTTTTTTTTTAAGAAAACAATTTGTTAATTTAAATACTACTCATTTGGTACACAAAGCGCCTCGTTCTTTAACAGATCTTGACTCTGACACTATACTTGAAGAAGCAGGAAAGGCGACAATAGCAAGCCAGCAGGAGAGAGACTTGTAAAAGAAAAGCAAAGATTAAAATATAAATATTAGTTTAGATTCACTTTATTCTCGTTGACTAATGTCAGCAAATTTCAGCATTATTATAGGCTGAAACACAGGGTAAGTATCTCTGCCATTAGCTTTATGTAAAAATCTTACAACATACATTTGAAATGACGCAAAAGACAAAATAACCAAACTTAAAAGGAGATTTTGAGGTCGACTTAAAATTAAATTTAGAATTTATCTCATATATTTTTTATTTTGCGTATTAAATAAATACAACAGACAGATGTATTTGGATCTGTTTAAAATGACCCAGCGAAACAGAAAAAAGTAATTTTACTACTATTTTTACTTATGTAGATAATATGAAATTTTTTTTTTAAATCTTTGCTTTGTGTTTTGTTTCAATTTAATTTTATTTTGCCATTTTGGAAGATACAAAATAATTTACGAATTGAATACAGCTAACATGCGATAATGAGAATGTCCCAGATTATATAAATGCGTACAATTAAACATACTTTAATTCAGATGTTCTCTTGATTTCGAATCTGAAGTTTAACAGGCAGTTTTTTTACTATATTATACAGAACAAATTTAAGGTTTCATGGAATATTCCTAAGTGTATTTATAGAATATTTTTATACTTATTTATTTTATATTTGCTATTTCTGTTATTCTATCTTTGCAGGTAATGCACTTCGAGTTTTGCTGACATTTTCAATAATAAAAAATTTATCAAGACTCTTCTGCACTAACAAGCAAAGTGACAGATTAGCGTGCTTAAATGGAATACGTGTTCTTACCCTGTTTTCGATAATTTATGGACACACTTATTATTTTCGTGACATGAACATTTTCGGTACGTATCCATTTAATAAAACTAAAAACATGCAGCGAATTTTTTATTATTCTGCATTTATTTTGAAAAAGAACAATAATATCACAGTTGTATGGATCAGAAATTAAATATATTTCTAACACTATATAATGTATAAAAGCAAAATTTTTAATTTTAGTTTTTGGGATTTTGAAGTATACAGGGCCCATTCTGCCACTTGGTGCAATCTCTGTGAGTCCTATTTTCTACGGACCAGTGTCTCTATACGATGAGGTTCTTGTATTTACGGTTTGAATTACTGCTAAAACCCTCCTCTACAGATTGTTTGATTTTTGAACGAGGCTATTATGACAACATGTTTATTTATTGCACTGGCCTCGTATAACACGTACCTCGTTTAATCAAAACTCAGATAATCGAAGTTCTGCTGTATTGTACTAATTATATCTGCTAAATTATCCCGATAGCATTATTTAAAAAAACAGCTGAAAAGACTCTTTAAAAGTGATATTTCACATAACAGGATAGGCACAGTATCCTTGAATTACATTGTAATCCTAGCCATTTGGTTCTCGAGCTTTCTTTTCATGAAGATGATAAAACACCTGTTTAAATTCAAGATCATTATTGTATGAAATAACATTTGAGCGTATCTTCGTTTGCTATAAAGTGTCTTCAGCAGATAAGGTATGCAGATGAAATTTAATAGGAATCAAATATTTTTTCCTGGCTATTTATGCAATATACTATATGAGCAAACGTTTTCTAGCTGTTTAGTTTCGTTGTCAAAATATTTTTGATATAAATCGATTCTCTCTTTGAATTTGTCTAAAAGATTTATTTTTGCATTTAAATCTTGCTCTAATTTGAATTTTATTCTTAAGACTAACTTCATTCTTCTGTTGTTAGAAATATTTGTTCTACCAGCTTATTGTCTTCAACGTTTCAATACTTTTGGTTGGAAGCAATTCTTTACGTGCAGTTCTAATAATAGTAATTAAATTTTGGGTCAGCTCATCAATAAAAATTGGGGCATTACAATAATATAAATTACTAAAAATATCTTTTAATCTAATTCAATTTGGTGCTGAAATACGTTAATTTCAAAAAAATTAGCGAAAATAACAATATATGTGAATTTAGAACAATCAGATATGGATGTATGCCACTAATACCATAGATAATAGGCAAGCAAAGAGACTGCGGGGACTGCATATTACAATTCGCGGATTGCCATTGATAGCTGAAGTTCTAGTTAACATTCAGTACTGCTAAATTTGTCAGAGACACCATACATTTGAATGTCAGTGGAAGTAAGTAGGTGGTTTATCACCTGAATAATTATTGGCAGATCATTTGTAGATTTAATTATTTCACAAAAATGCCGTCTTAAGATAAGACAGAATTCTCAGATGTGAGATACTAGTTACTCAGATCAAATCCATTATGTGTCTGTATTAGTGGAAGGAAGTCTTCAAGCAATTGCTACAAAATTCCTATCTGACTTTCAAGACAGTCAGTGAATAGGAATAATTAGGTATTGGAAGTGCCGAAAGCTACAAGAAGTGGCCCACATGCAAGGCAACCAATGTTTTGCGTTTATCGTTTTTACTCTCGCCAGGGATGCCTTAAAACGTTATCGTCTGTGTTGATAGTGTAGTTCAAATGTTAGAGAACGATATTTTAATAAAGATCCAAGATTCAGCTTAAATACCAATTCTAAGAGACTATAGAATTCTGAAATTCTCATTCAATGTCCGAGAACGACGCAACTTTCATCGTTCTGGTTTGCTTATCTGAGAAGAAATCATGATAAGTATTGGCAATAATCTGCTTATTTAATAACCGAGTTTCTATAACCTGCGAGAGATAAATAGATTAGATTCTGCATTCTTAAGTAAACATATAGGAAACTGTAGGCTAAAAATTTCTCTTTACAGACGACGGTGCTTAAACAAGCATATTTTGTGACTGAATAACTTGAAATTAATCTAGTTAATTATCTCTTAAACCGCAAATGAATCTTAATGAACATATTTGGAATATTATAGAATGCCGATAGGAAGCATTGCCAGCCTTGTCTGGAATCTTCAGGAGCTCAACTTTGTCCTTTTAGAACAGCAGATTTAAATACTACTTGATTTACTCAATTAATTCTATAATTAAGTAGTTTTGAATACTACTTGATTTAATTTATCTACTCAATTATACCTCTCACTATAATTGTAACTCTAACTGTTTCTTTCAATATAACAAAAAAGGAATGTGTTTTTCTTTTAAACACGAATAAATTTCCCTTAAAAGATTCGACTTTAATATGCAGCATTTTAGGCATATAAGATACAGTAATCCCCCCTTTAACACAATCTCGCTTAAGACGATTATTGTTTAACGCGAATTTTATCACGAATTATGAATTGGTTTTAGTCCCTTACGCCATTACATGTTTTCATTAAATACGAACTTGCATAGTTTTTCAACTTAACCAATGTAAAGGTATATGCCCCTCTCCAAATATAACAAATCGTCTTCAGCCATTGAATTATGGCATTATTGATATTGCAGACGACTTGTAAGAGAAGCTGAAAATGAGACGAAAGTACCAACTTGGGGGTGTACTTGTTGCAATAAAAACTTCTGGAAATCCCACATGCACAAAACTGTTTTAGCACAGCATGAAGACATAAAGATGCTAATCCCGTTGATCTGTTTGGTAATGACAACGATACTACTTCACCTGACGAATGGAATATTCTGTAAAACACGTTGCGAACCGTGGTGTTAGTTCGGCGTTTGTTAGTGTAGATGACGATGTGCCGTGTGTCCTCCAATGAAATCTTATGTACAAGTATTTCTGTCTGAGGTGCAAGAAATGTCATCCGAAGGACGTGGGGAATACAGTATCATTACACTCCCTCGCCAGTAAATGTTACACGCATTAGACATTTTAGAACGTTTTGCTGCAATATCCGAATTGACGGCTAGTTTTACAGAAGTTATGAGCACAGCTGGCCGTGAAGTTACCAGGCATTTTCGTTCCGTCTGCGACAGTTCAATATGCAGGAATTTTTCACCAGAATAAAAGATATGCTAGAACAGTAATTCATGTCGTTCTGTAGAGATTTCTGTGACGACATGCATAGTAAACAGTAACACGTGACTATTTCATACAGTTATATTGTTTTTTATCATGTATACCATGTGATTAGAAAGTTAATCCGTTTGTGAAGTAGCTCTTACACCTCGATTCCTAGTACAACGAATGAAACACTGCAAATGGTTAAGGTCTAGGAAAAAACTATTCCAAAAGTAAAATTGGAGGTAGCACAAATGCTCGATTTTTCGGTGGCTAGGGATTCGTATTAAAGAGAGTTTACTGTATATTATGTCCTTTTTACCAAAAACTTAAATGAAATTAAAGTGAAATAACATAATCTTTTTTGCTATGCGTCAAAAGAGAAATTAAATTTTCTAAGTATTTCTGTAATTTTGTATGCAAGTGCATATATGTAACATTAGCACGGAAAGGAGCATAAACTACCCTTAGATTTAACTAATATCTGGTTCATAAAACTGTCTCGATTCGCCTTTAAAGCTGCTCAACGAATGAATATATCTTGGAAAAATTAAGTAAGCGAACAAAAGGAATAAAAATTAAAAACTGATGGATAAAATAATAATAGCAAAGTTATTGTCAAATATTTAAAATTATTTTGGATAAAATAACATGCATTTAACTTTCATTTCAGTGAATAAAATGGAAATTTATGATTTGGCCAAGGATTTCTTATTTCAGATAGTACTTAATATGTTACAAGCCGTTGATCCTTTCTTCTTCCTCAGGTGAGAATTGTTTAGACTTTCTTATAAAATTCGTTATTGCAATCATTAAAATACATATTTAATTATTTAAAATGTGTTTTAAGACTTCTGAGAAGAATTTTTATAAAATTTATACATACTTTTCTTAAGAATTTTCTAAAATTAATGTTTAACAATAATTTATAAAAAGTTCATATTACATCATAAATAAAATACTTTGTATCTCTACTGAATTTCTCATTAAGTGATACGAATTAAATTGAAACAGGTGTACTTTGTTATTGAATATCTAAACTCTCCTGAATTTTCTTTTAGGGAAGTGAATTTTTGATTGTTTATATCAATGCTTATATCTTATGGCACTAAAAATTAAGAGAAACTTTACAGAGCTCATTATTCGGATTTTCTTGGGTGAAGCAGTCCTTCATTCAAATGGTACTTACTTCTTAATTTACAACTATCTAAATGTATAGGCATTATAAAATGTACGTATGCAGCAGAAGTCTGAAAGTGCTAAATTCTCATTTAATCCAATCTAATAAAAATTACGGATTTTTTCCTGGTTTTATAATATAAGGTGAGCAATTTTTTTTATATTACGTTATTGTTAATCTCCTAAACGCACTTTGATTGAATGTTTGTAGGAAATGGGAGTTTAAAAATATATTATTTATATTGTATTCCTCTTATCAAAAGTCACATTTCTCAACAACTGTTCAGGTTACTTCTTCAGTTCAAGATATCTGTCGATTCATGATTTTTTTTATTTAAACTTTGTTTATTATTTTTATTTTATCATCAGTTACGTGTTTTTAGTTCTTGCTAAAATTTCTCTAATTATTTCTCATTTTCACCATCACTTTTCCAGTTTTATGAGCAGAGTTATTTTCATAATAAGATCATTAAATTACTGTCGGGAAATTTTAGAGAGTGGTAAACAATATCATCCTTTTTAATAACTCTCTTTATTGAGAAAACTAATAAACTAATGATATTTATTGAGCAAATACATTTATTGAGCAAATGATAAACTAATGATATTTATTGAGCAAATACATTTATTGAGCAAATGATAAACTAATGATATTTATTGAGCAAATACATTTATTCAGCAAATGATAGAATTAAATGAAAATTCCTAACTTTCCAATAATTAAATCCCTTACGGGAAGTTTAAAAAGTGATGAACACTATCATCATCATATGTTAACTACATTTTTTGCGCAAATGATAAAATAAGGAAATTTAGTCTGCAAATACATTTATTCAACAAATGATAAAATAAAATGAAGATTCCTAATTTTCTAATGATTAAATCTCTGACGAGAAGTTTAAAAAGTGATGAGCACTATCATCATCATCATAAGTTAACTTCATTTATTGAGCAAATACCTTTATTCAGCAAATGATAACAGGATAAAATAAAATTAAAATTCCTAACTTTCTAACAATGTACTCGCATGGATGGATTAGCTAATTTTTCATTATTAACTATCAGTCCCTCATCTCTGTTTTTCGCGAATAATCGCTCCAAACAGCAATTGTCAGAGCAGCGACGCAAATCTATGACATGAGCAAATTTATTTTAAATCTCACTTAAGCTTAAAATCTAAAAGTAGGAAGAAATTGCTGCAACTTACTGTCAGACAACAGTGCACATTCGAGAAGTTCCGAGACTGATATTTTAATCAGAATTAGATCACTCTACAGCTCTTTATTTTTTAATATTTTAAAATAACATCCTTCGCAATGAATTGCGTTTTACAGCATTTCGTGCAAAACATGATATAGACTTTTTTGCAACTTCTCGTTGAGCAACGGAATATCGCTATTTCCTCTCCATCATCTGAAAAAAGGCTCTTGCCTCGTATTTATCTTTTTTAACGTTGAGAATGCTCCAAAATCACATGGCGCTATATCTGGGCTATATCGTGTGCTTTTAGCATTTTCACATTAATTTTAATCTGTGAATTGTATATTAACAACAATGTTATAGTTGCGTTGTTCTATAGTAATAGTAACATTTTGCGCAAATCCAATGTTCCACGCAAGTAGGTTTTTAGCAAGTTACCATAATAGTCACCTTTTACTGTCTGCCCAAGCCTAAACAAGCGCTGTAGAATCATTCTCTGCTCATTGAGGAATTAGAAAAACTGGAATGGAATCAATGTCACTAACTAAAGAAAATACATTTTCACGAATATAAAAAGCTTCTATGTAATTCAGTTCACCAGCTGAAGAAACGTTATGGATAATTTTAGCAGACCAAATTCTGATAAAATGCCAAGCTATGATTAGATATACAACAAATGTTTACTTTTCGGACGTAGGATCCACTTTGCCTTTTGTAAAAGTAAAATGTTCATTTAGTTTAACTGATACATGTAAACCTACACTGACAAGATATGCCCTAAATTCCCCTATATATAATTTTCTCTTTATGATATTATTGTTCATGATTCTCATTCATTTGTCTTTTTCTTCAGATTTTTTTCTATCTCATTAAAAGTGCTTTTTCAGTAAATAAAATTTTCATGTTGATAGATAAATTAAAAGTTACACTCTTTGGCGCCTGAAACGCGCATATCCCTTTGTGGGGATGCACAAATGTTACCACTGAGCCATCAGAAGTTTCGCCAATTTTATAACATCAAACAATATATGCGTTACTTAGAATTTTAGACTCTCAGTTCTCGCTAATTTCTAAGAGATATATTCTCATTCAACATTTCCAGATGTGTTGCTTTTGAAATATTTTGGAACTACACAAAGTTCGAAAAATAATTGGTGAACTTAAGGTAACTGTAAAACATATTCATTATAAATGTAAGATTATGATACTAACTATATTTTCATCTTTCTTTCACGCAATATTTATTTTACATTCATTACCAATTATTTATCTTCAACAGTGGTTTTCTGCTCTGCTATTGGGTGACAATAAATGTTCGAGATAAGAAGAAACCGTTAAGCATGCCATATTTAATCATTCGCAGACTCTTCAGGTAAGCAATGATATATATTTAGTAGATAAATTGCAAATATGTAACATTTACACACATACGAGGCATGTTTGTATATGTGTCCATAAGTTCAAATATATTTTAAGGTTGTAACCAAACTACCATAAGCAAAAGACTCACTTGGGATTTTAATTATCTTTAATTAAGAAAACACAATTAAAAAGAAAAATAAAATAATACACTTAAGAACGTTGGAATTACACATTTAAGTTACAAAATAAATCTCGGGGACCCTTGATTCCAGTACACCGACAGGCTATTGTCCTTTTTGACCGGTGGTTTCTTCGGTGGTGGTGAATGGTGGCGCTCATTGAGCCGTGGGGTTACAAGGTGTATTTTCTAACGTAATAATACTTCAGATAAATAACAAGGAAAAAGGACGAAGTTAAAAGAAAGAGGAAAAAGAAGACGAAATAATTGAAATAAGTCTATCAAAACATTATATTTGCATTAAGACAAACAAAAAGAATTAAGTCGCACTTTCAATCGCAACAAATTCGAAATAAGATGGACATATTTCTAAGAACAAAAATTTAGGGGAAAATTAATATTGCTTCTGTCATCTAAATTAAAAGCAACTCTATTTAACTTATTTATTTTTTTTATTTCTATTAAAAGAAATGAAAAAATCTGATGTGTACACCACATGATTTCCTTGTACGGAATATTAAATTATACGCATTTTTTCTTGCATTTTATTTAAACTTATTAGATTGAATTAAACCTACTTCGCCGACAGCGCATAAACCACAATAGAATAAATGCATTCTTTAAAATTCACTTTGTTTACCATAGCGACATTCTGGCGCTAGGTTTTCTTAACAGTAATATATTTCATTCATATTATAACTCAGAATGCACAAAATGTATATCATTTAAAGAATTATCTAATCGTTGCCACATGTTCCATTCAAATACTACGAGGGCCATCCAGGAAGTAGATTACGTTTCCGTCTGTGTCCGCTAGGGGCGGGGCTAGCGCGGCCATCTTGGGGTCAGAGCGTTGCGCAGCTCAGTCTGCATCTAGCCGTGCTAGTGAGAGGTTCGTGCTGTGCTCCGTTCAGATACTGTGACGGTTTGAAATGTCTGCGTTAATTGAAAATCCCGCGAGCTGCGAGGTGCGCTCAGTAATAAGGTTTCTGACTGCAAAAAACTGTAAACCGATAGAAATCTATCGGCCAGCTTCGTGAAGTGTATGGGGGACAACATTATCACTGAAGGTGGAGTGCGTCAGTGGGTCATAAGATTTCAAAATGGCCGAACCAATGTTCACGACGAAGATCGAAGTGGAAGACCCAGCATAGTGACCGCCGAACTTCTCGAAAAAAAGTCGATGCTAAAGTCCGTGAAAATCGAAATTTCACAATAACGGAACTTTCTTTGAGTTTTTCCACAAATTTCGCGAAGTTTGTTGCACGAAATCATCAGCGAAAAGCTTGGTTACCACAAGTTTTGTGCAAGATGGATTCCAAAAATCTTGACAGAGGACCACAAAAATCAGCGAATGGCTGCAGCGTTGAACTTTTTGGACGCTTACCATAAGGATGGTGACTCTTTACTCGATCGCATCGTTACTGGTGACGAAACATGGGTGATGAAACATGTGAACTGTGAAACGAAATTGCAATCAATGCAGTGGGGGCACACAAGTTCTCCCCAAAAACCCAAGAAATGCATGCAAAACATGTCGGCAAGGAAGATGATGGCGACTGTTTTTTGGGACAGAAAAGGTGTAATTTTGGTGGACTTCCTGGAAAGAGGCACTACAATAAACTCTCAAAGGTATTGCCAAACTCTCCAAAAACTCAGAAGAGCAATTCAAAACAAGCGCAGAGGAATGTTGAGCTCTAAGATCTTGTTGATTCACGACAACGCCCGGCCCCACACGCAAATGTCACTCGTAAAGTTCTTGAATCTTTTAAGTGGGAGTTGTTTCCTCATCCGCCGTACAGTCCCGACCTGGCACCGAGCGACTTCCACCTATTCCCAGCAATGAAGAAGTGGCTGGCTATGCAGCGTTTTGATGACGACGCACAGCTGCAAAGAAGAGGTAACGAAGTGGTTGAAGGCGCAGGCGGCCGAATTTTTCGACGAAGGAATTTCCAAGCTCGTACATCGCTACGATAAATGCCTTAATTTGTATGGTGACTATGTAGAAAAGTAGTATTTGAGTGTGGCTTTCATCTGTATATAATAAAATTTGTTTCCTATACTTTGTTTATTTTTTTATTCCAAAACGTAATCTACTTTCTGGATAGCCCTCGTATAATAAAGCTAGAACTAGGCATAAAAGAAATTAAGCAAACAAAACAAAAAAGAAACAGTTTTTCGCAGACGATTGAGTATTTCTCATTCAATTAATTCAGTTCTCACTTCGCGAGAAGGTAAAAATACATAAAAACTCAAAATATCTATATTAAAAATTACGAAGTAAATCTCAAACGCTTATTTCCTCGAAAAAATTCCAGAAAGAATTAAGCATAATTTAATTGGCAATAATAAATGAATGCGTTATCTTTGTTATTGCGAAGCTAAGTTTCTCTAGATTGGCAACAAATCCACTCGTCTCCTGTTTCAAATGTAAACATCAATGGCCGCCATTAAAAACAGGCTTAGCGGCAATTAAACAACTTTAAAATTGCTGATAATTCTAAAAATATTGCACACAGATTTACTAAAGGCATAAAATCCTTAATCGGAAGATAAAAACAACATAATTCAACCATTTTTAAAGCAAAAAATGTACAATTTACAAACATATACGAGTAAAGAAACTGAGATCACTGAGACGGGTAATAGAGTGGATATAATATATATATATATATATATATATATATTTATATACGTTTGGTGCGGCCGATTGCAACCAAAATACGAGGTGCACATCTACATGTTACAGCAGTCCTAGATACAAAATTTCAACGCTCTGAGGCTACTCGTTTTTGAGTTATGCGAGATACGTACATACGTTCGTACAGACGCCACGAAAAATTCTCTTCAGAATTAATTTTAAAGCAGTTTTATAATTTTTTTGAAGGAAAAGAGTATTTTATTCTGTCCTTACGTACAGATATCACGCAAAAACATCGTTAAATTGCCATCGATAGTGATCAAAATGGATATTTTCATAGAAATATGCTGCCGGAAACTTTTCGCGTTTACAATACTTCCTTTTTACTTCGTACAAGGAAGTAAAAAATGGCTGAGTTTCGAACAAAGATTAATGAAAAATTTAATAATTCATGGTTTTAATTGAATTTCTGTTCTTTGGAGATGGTATATAAAAATTTTTCTAATTATATCTATATGAAATTAAGATATAATTATTTTTTTAATTAGACATTTTTGGTATTCTGTTCTTTGTTGCATGCTATTAATGATAGTAACAACAGTGATATACAACTGAAATAATGAATGAACCCTGTCCGTGAAATTTATGTCATAGGTTATATCCATTTTCGTGTCACATATAAAAGGTGATTCTTAAAAAACATTATAAGATGAACTAAAGTAGTGATTTAATTATATGTTTGCATGCGTAAAAGAGTAGTTTAAGTTATTTAAAAATTTCAATGTTTCTCATTGTTTTTATAGTGTGTTGCAGTGGTGTACTATTTAACTCCCTGTAATGAATAATGGTAACAAGTATTGTAGCAAATGTTTAATGATATAATTCATCTTTACAGGTTGTTGCCGACTTACTATTTTGTCTTCACCTTTGCATTTCTAATGAGAGATTTGGGTTCTGGACCTTTCTACCACAAAACACTAGACAGGCATATGGGAGGATGTGATAAATATTGGTGGACAAACCTTTTGCTAATAAACAACTTTTACAAATACGATAATTTGGTTAGTCCATTTACCACTATTTAATAAATAAATTAATTTTTATGTTTTTTATAAAAAGCTTGATTAACTAAAATTGAATGCTACATTCCATTTTAATAGAATTATAAACATACATTTTATTTGCACAGAAATTTATCAAATGAAATACGTGAAAATACATGTGCATGAATGCAATAATTTACTAAAATCATTTATTATTCTCAATCTTAAATCAGGGTTCGTAGCGGTCCTTACAAGTGCTTATAAGTCCTAATTTGAAATAAATATAAAGGCCCATAGGTCTTTTTTTCTTTAAAGCCCGATTTTTTTTTTTTTAGTGCTATTTTTTGCATTTAGTGCTTTTTTTTTAATCTTTTTTTTAATGAATGCGCGTTTTTTCCCCGTACCAAAGCCGAAACTAAATAAACAACTTTTCTTCCTTATAATGCAACGTCATATGGTGAATCATACTCCCGGAAATTGCTTTTCCCCCCTTTCTCTGCATTAAGGTACCTATGGTGCACGCGAGAGTACAGACAGGTGCACATCGTTCTATTGGTCAAAGAATTGCGAAAACGGTACATTCGGTACTCTTTTCCTCCCACCCAAATACTGCACACGTTTGGATTTCTATCAAGATTTTAATAATTTGCATTCTCGTTCAGCGTGGGTCATTCTATTCGTGTTTATTTGATCGTTGCTATATTATGAGCATTGCATCAATATTTAGATAATATATTGCAGTTACTGGTGAAGTTTCCAAAAAATGGGTGTGTTTTTATACAGATTAGCTTTTAAGGATAATATTCGGATGGCTTAATAAAAGAAAGTAATCGATAGTCAAAAATTTCATTTTTTTTTCTGCAATACATTATACAGTACGGAGGTTGGAGGTTTTCCTTTCTCCCAAAATCTCTATATGAAGCCAGGCTTTTTTTTTTTTGTCACTGTTCAATTTGGATTGAATAGGACTAAAAGTTTTGCGGTTCTACCCACCAAGCGAGATTGATTCCTTTCCGGAAATTACGCAGTCTGTTGAAATTGAATCAGAAACACCCAGATTAGGAAGTCTTTCTCCTTGTATTTAGATCTTAATTCTCCGAATACCAGCAGCTGTTGATTCCGATTGCGTAATATCACATGTGGAAGAATTAGCCGCATGTTGCGCATAACGTTTGCGGTATTTTGCAGAGATAATTTTTGCTGTTCGGTCTGAGAGTGTTTATGAACACTTAAAGAGTTTTACTGTGCTTTCTAAGCAGAATATCTCTCCTTTCCGTTGGTCTTTTATTGATGCACATATCGAAATGGTCAAAATAATTTATTAGCCGAAATCTAAAGAACGGTACATCTCTCCCACTCCGCTTTTACCAGCTACGATCCGGGAATATTCGGCATTTCGGTATGCGGGGTTAGTTAGATTTTTTTAAGGTGATGATAAGCAATTCCGTCTTCTGTTTCAGAATGTGCCTTTTTTTACTTAAGTCTTTGTTTGGAAATTGTTTAGTGCCAACGTAAATTAATAGGCTATTATTATTTATTTTCTATATTTTGAACTGAAATTTCATCATTAAATCTTGTAGTATAGTTTAGTTCTGCATAGTTTTTTTTCCTCTCATTGTAAACTAATTCTGTAAATTGAACTCTGCTTATTTATCAATAAATTGTCATTAATTTGTTTATACTTGTCTTGATATCTATGATATATTTAATAGTAAGGCGTAGTAAGTAACAGAGAGTCGAAGATACCAGTGTAACTTCTCTTTAAAACCAAGAATGAAAACAGTAAATTTAAATGGAAAATCATAAATGGCATATAAGTGTAAAACGACATTAAGACCCAGGCTTGCATTGGATATCATACAAATTTAAGCTGCCATTGTATTGTGATGTATGAAACTTACTTTTTAACCTGTGTTATGTAAATGTCAAAACGTTTAACATTGAGAAGGTTTCTCTTACTCTATATGTCTTCTTAACTGTACTTCTTAACGTTCTCGACAACATTAATACATTCAAATGAATTTTCTTCAGTGGGAGTTTTACCAAAAAATAATAGAGAAAATCAGGGAACAAGATAGTTTTCAGCTAATGGACAGGAAACAGTTTCAAATTAGAATCAAGACTCGAAATCGAATTTAGGTATGCGAACCTTGGGAAGGGTAGTCTATATAGTAGTAGCTGCTTTCAGCGATGTTGGGGAATTTGCATTTCTCCCTTGCGGCTGTGCAGTGCTAGAGTTGCCTAAAGTATAAAGCTATTTGTTTCGCCGTACACACAAAAATTAAATCCATGATTTAACATATAAAGTCCGAAAACTTTTAACTGACATCTTCACCAAGAGAGACCGCCACCGGCTCGGCCAGATTTTCTTCGGCGATCGCAACAAATGATCAAATTCGAATCGAGCGATACGATTTCGTGTTTTCTGAACACAAGTTTGGATGACGCCTTAACAGTGGCAAATTTGTGTTCTTAAACTGAAAATAACGCTTCACCTCAGAATAAAAGCTTCAGATATAGGTAAATAGCAATGCATACTAATAATATACCTATTGTACCGTCAGCTCAGTGCAATGCCAAGAAAGTGTGTGTGCGTGTGGTGTGAAAAAACTGTGTGTATCAGTGTCGGATTTAGGCTTGATTAAGACCCTAAGCTATTTGAGATACGGGGCCCTATATAAGTCTAGATATTATATGTCAGTGCCAAATATGAGTTTCGGATACCTAGAAGGCATTTTGGCCCAAGAAAGCGGGGGCCCTAAGCTATAGCTTGTGTAGTTCATACGAAATTCCTGCACTGGTGTGTACTCTCGACGTTCTAGTTATCGACGTGGCCACTAACTGTAATTCTTCTTAGTGTGGATAGGTGATATGATATATGGAATCCTGACATGGAAAGGATTGTCGAAGATTGTAATGGAAATAAGAATTTAGCCGAATGTCTCAGACTGCATTTATTTGAAGTATCGTCTGGAATTGTTGCAGCTAAGCACGTGACGACATAGCTGTTAAATTAATAAGTATTCCTCCTTCATTTTCTTTATGTTATGTTTATTACTCACGTGTGATAGATAGACGTATCCTGTTCATCGATATTGTTAAGCTGAAGGAATGCACTTATTAAAGTTTATACTTAACTTAGAACATGTATGCTCTTTTGGTAAGAACCAAGTATCACAATACGCCAATTTCTCAGCGTCATCCCAAATTAAATTTAACCAGCGTTTTCTTTAAATGATATTCAATAATACGGAAGAATTTAACAGTTGTTTTTTGGGAAAAACAAAAAGATTTCAAGAATGTACTTAAATTACGGAACGTTCGTGTTTTGAAATAAACTAGAGTCTGAACTTCACTACATCGCTTTCCTTTTATACCATTAAAAAAACATTTCACTCAGTCTATAATGAGAGTAAACACTAATGCTTTCACTGATTTATAAGATAACCAGAAATTGGAATGACTGTTCATCTTCAGACTGCCAAATGCATATTAGTCAAATATCAAGTGCATATTATATCAAACTCATTGCATATTAGTATAGACTTACTAAATTTTAGCTTAGTAAAGTCCTCTCCCCGGGGGTCGAGTGTAAGGCAACCCCCGGCCTTCTGTCTAAGACCTGTACTTAAACAGACTCGGCTGATGACGTACGTAATCAATCTTCACAATGATTAGAACCATTGATTCTTCGGTTTTAGGTTCAGGTTCAGCAAACATCGTAATGGCATTGTCATGTCTGCCCCTTGGTTGTGCCCTTGGTTGTTCGATATCAAACCATGTAACATTAAGGACGTTACATGGTTTGATATCGAAGGTTTTCCTTGAAGGTTTGGATCCCTTTGGTCAACACAGGGCAATAGTCTTTGACATGACTTCGTTTTTATGTAGGTGACCACCAGTGCCGGTCGCCATTGACTTGTTTGCTTTAACTGTGAGTAATTTTGTCCCCCTCTGTTGACCAGGGGGTTATACCTCTTCGATCATTTCTGGAGGAGATGATTCATTTAACCGTGTAAGGGCTTGAAAACGGCCCACGTCTGGGAGTCTTTCTCTTCGGTGTCTATATTTCTGCTAGGGAACATGGTACGAAAAGGATATTAGAAGGTTCACGATAATTTGTATCGAACTGAAAATTTTCCTAAACATATACGATTTTATTTTAAAAAGAAGGTCTTTGTTTGAAATTTGCTCTTATTCAAATATTACTGCCTTGAAAACTACTGAAGAATCGAAATCATGGAATCGGCATGATTTTTTGACCTCAAATACTCTTGCAATTATATCAGGCTGCAACAAAGGCTGCTTCCTTTGATAACAAATGACAACTCGACTAATTATCAAGATACGAATACTGAAGAAGTAACAACCATTAAGGAAAAATTTCATACGAGCGTAAAGCATAGGTGAAAAATGTTAATTACGGCTTTAAATGAGGCTCGCACTTCTCTTCCCCAAAGATCCTTTATCTTCTTATATCTCTTAAGTTAAAATATCAGTTAAGTCACATTGGCCCCGCTGATCTAATTCATTAAGAGAACTGCCGACTATAACTATTGATCAATCATTGACCGAAAGGAAGTTAAGTCACATTGGCCCCACTGATCTAATTCATTAAGAGAACTTCCGACTATAACTATTGATCCATCATTGACCGAAAGGATAAGACCGTTGAACATCAGCTGTTCGACCTAGCCTCAAATGCTGGTGAGCAGGCTGGTGGCATGAACTTTTCATGGGTTTTTCATGTGTAACAGGAATATGAGCCAGTTTCCTATAAAAACGGCTGCCACGAAAGCATTCTTGGCATTCATTCCCTTAGACACATAGTCCCTAATGTGCTTTACCATAATCCACTCCAACTAATGCTAAATAGCCTAGACTGAATACGCCCATCATTGCCCATATCGCTAGGGAAGCTTTGTTAACAGCTCACCGGAAACTCGTTCTTTTGAGGGTTAAATGAAACAGTCATAGTTTTCGTATTCTTTTTTCATATGTAAGTTTCATATAATATAAGTCGAGAAAATGAAGCAATTTTAAAGGAGATGATTTTAATGGAGATGATCAATTTTGATGGAGATGGACTACTGAACGCCTTAACATAATAAACAACTTAGCCAAAATAAATATTGATTCTAAACTCTACCATCATATTTTGACCTTTGATTCTAATTTTGAAGTTATTTCTTATTCTTTACACCATTATTTAGTCATCAGGTTTTCGTTTTCATTTTCAGTTACTTAACAATACTTACATTTGAAGAGAAAAATCATCTGAAGATACGACTGAATTCAAGAATATTTTTATCCAAAACTCAATCATGATTGCTCTTGATCTGAATTATTATTTGCTGCTAATGATTCTATTGAAAGAGGACTAAAATATTTGTAACTATGCTTAGAGAATTTCTTTTCTACTGATACTGAAGAATTAATTTCTCTCATTAATGTCTTATAAAACCTGACTCACTTCGCTCTGCAAAATGATTAGATACGTCAAGTTGAAGAACTTATAATGTATTTCTCCCGCCTTCTTAGCATGCCTTCGTGTTGTAATGGTCAGCACACTTAGCGCGTATTCGAGAGGTCCGAGGTTCGAGTCCCGGCGAGGGCACTGCACATTTTCCATGTCTCCTGCTTCGAAATAACCTAATGCCTCTACAAATTTACTGTGAGAAACCTCCTTAATCCAGGAGCTATTAAGATTTACATTAAAAATGTGAATCTAAGTTCTTTTCAAAGTGCTTTTTTTTGGGGGGGGAGGGATTCGCTATGGGGATAAAATCTTTGCCTTTATTCTTGGGAAGAAGGAAAGTTAAACACTGTCTTGAATACAAATTGTATTAATTTCCCCAATTAAGTTCATTTATGAAATTAAATTACTGCTCTTTTTTTTTCTTTTTACTTTAAATTTCCATGACAAGTAATGAATAAAATTTCATTAGCCCCTTCTTCCTACACTTTTTTTATTGCCATATTCCCCATTCTAAATTTTATCATTCTGTTCAACTACTTTTATGCTTTCCTATAAGTTTTATTCTTTATAGTTATACCTTGCTTACAAGTTCAATTACTTTAAAGCTGTTGCTATGGGTAAGATTATTTTCCTTCAGATAAGGATTGTAAAAGATTCTTGCTCTTATAAATAAAATTTTTTGCTGAAAACAATCACTATAATCTATTTATCATATGATTTTCGTTTAACATTAATAAAAAAATATGGCCTGATTTACAAATAAATTACTTAATTTTTAAATTACTTTAATTTTGTTCATTTAATTTATTTCTTAGTCCTTAAAGACTGTTATGAAATTTCATTTCTTCAGAGATTCATAATCTTTTCGCCAACGTGGATTAACTTTCATAGCTCAAATTAAGAAACTTTTAAAATGCTGCGTCAAAAACAAGCATCTTGTTTAAGATATAGTTAGTAAATATTCGGTTTTGGGAATCATAGTTTAAATCAGTGTTTCTCAACCACCGGTCCGCAAGAAATATTTGCTGGTCTGCGAAATATCCAGCTATTTGTCCAAAACCGAAAGTGTCATTGGTCGACAACGATATTACAACAGCACCTACATTACAATAACAATAGTTTACCAGTTTAGAAAATAATATGATCGATGATGAAAAATATAACAAACTGGCAACTATGTACCTATTAATCGCCTTTCATAAATTACCGTGCCGTACACTTAGTACACCAGTTAGTGTGCCCTGTCTACCTTGAGTATCGCTGATTACATGAGCGCTGAATATCTGTCGTAGTGTTTAAAGCGTCTTAGGTTAGGTTTCGCTTTTTATCTTGCTTACATTCTTCTGAACGCTTGGACAACCGAAAACTATACATCAGCGTAAGTTTTTAATAAACACTGAATTTAATACTGTGCTATAACTACTATTTCTTTAACCTTAGGTAGATTAAAAATCAATAACCAGGATAAGCAAGAAGGAAACGAAAGGCACGTGTATTTAAATATGATTGTAAGCAAATGGTAATAAGAACATTACAATTAACTTATGTAATACTTCTTGAATACTTTGTAAAGATTTTTTTGGGGGGAAGGAGGGAGAGAAAAAAAAAAAAAACCACCGGTCCGCGAAATGTTTTCGTAAGTTTTACCGGTCCACGGACCAAAAAAGGTTGAGAAACACTGGTTTAAATTATTCTTCCGCTTACTTACGAGAAAATTATTTTCAGTTGGTAAATTCAATTGACTGAAAGCTTTCACTTTTGTTAGAACCTGTCAGACATAATTAATGATTTTAACTCTACTCTTCTATTTCCCAATATTTAAAAGCTAATTCATATTTATTAGTCATATTTTTCTTTCTATTTTTTCATCGAAGTTGCTATAATTCTTTTATATTATTGTTTTTTATATTGTTTATATGAACAACGCATTTCTGTGACGATATTTCAGAATATTTTTATTCCTTGCAAAAGACGGCTTACATTAGGCATTATTAAGATGCTTCGAAATCTTCAGTAAATCTAACTCCAATTTAATACCTGATACTTGATACTTAATAATTACTTTTCACTAATGTAATAAATTATTGTTTTTGTTTCTTTCTTTTTGGCAGTGTATGGTGCACACCTGGTACATTGCTGCCGATTTCCAGCTTTTCATTTTCTCGCTGTGCTTGCTTGTCCTGCTGTTGAAGTAAGTAAAACTTTCCTTTCTGTCATTAGTATTTATTTTCATGCATGCTACATGCAAAAAATCCTATATCAGATCTGCTTTCACCAATCCGTTTTGTCAGATACTAAGGTTAGTGAGACGTTATTTTGATATTTTATGTACTAATATTCACCAGTACATTATAAGCTCATTGTAAAATGTAGGGGAGTGCTTTGCTACTAGATGTTATTTATCTGATAAAAGGTATTTGTGATTACACAATAAACATCTAGCCCTGAATTAAAAAAATTATGTAACAATTACTCTCGCTGATTATAAATTTTACAACATTGAATGTGAAACGAAGAAAGGTAATCAGGTTACTGCAATAAATTATTTTAATTATTTAAGTAATCATTAAAATTATAGCCAAAACTCTTGAGAATTGTCTGCCTAAGGATGAATGGCTTTGTGAAGGAAAGGAAAAGGATTTTTAAGGGAGATTTTCCAATTTTTATCCAACGTTTCTGGGGAAAAAAAAGTGTTTTTATAAATCTATCATTTATAAATAAGGAACAGCAAAGCAAAAAATTAACCCCTAATATTCTATTGATATGCAGTTAAAAATCTGTAAACAATAGCGGAATTTGGAAATGTAGAGCTATTTGTAAATTTTAAAAAGCAGGTTTGAAAATTTGGAAATTCATCACGCTGATTGATTCATTCAAAATTAAGCCCTAATATTCTATTGATATGCAGTTAAAAATCTGTAAACAATAGCGGAATTTGGAAATGTAGAGCTATTTGTAAATTTAAAAAAACAGGTTTGAAAATTTGGAAATTCATCACGCTGATTGATTCATTCAACGAAAATATAAAATAATAATCAAAGAGATAAAAAGTTTAGTTCTTGAAAAATGAAGTCAGAATTGCAAGAAATTCTGAAAATAACATCACCATAGAAATATACGTCATATTTTAGTCATTTTAGCGTAGTACAAACGCAACTACTTTACTCAATAAGTTCGCTGGGAGGAAAACATCCCTGTCATGATGAGCTAGAGCTAGAGCTGTTCCTTTCATGGTCTTTACGACTTGCACAGGACTTTAATTAGATGATGTTTCTGCCTTGTTAAATATATAATATCTTATAATTTAATCCCAAGAATTTTTATGCAAGATATCTATTGAAATTAAATATTTGTGATGATTTTAACATATTTTAAATTCTATATTTACGATAAGTGACTTAGAATCTTTGTTGAACACAGAAAAGTTTACCAAAATATAGACATGGAAATAAGAGAGTAGGTCAGTGAGAAATAGTGCATTTTATTTCCTAATAAAGATCTCCGAATCACTGAAAGATCTCCGGATATTGTGATAGATTTCAGTTTAAGTGGTTGCTATTTAAATACGGCATAAATCTCTGTGCTTTTTGATATATTTTAAGAGGGTTTTTAAAATTTAGTAATTTCTTTCACTTGTTTCACTTTCTCTTGTTTTAACGTAATGAAAGCTTTCTGATATTCTGTTTAAAATTGTTTTAGGTGGCCGAAGCTAGGTATATCCCTTAGTTTTGTCGTAATATTTGCATCTATGATTCATGATGGAATCTTTAGTTACACGTACAATATGCCTGGTTTCAGTTTGGTGACTTATCTTGATCCTGAGTAAGTTTCTTTTCAGTGAAAATATCTTATATTCATGTTAATTGACTGTTATTGACATACTATCTAAACATACGCTATATTACAGCATAAGAGAAACGTACGTAAAATGTATATAAGTTATACAATTTTACTCTGGAAATTTACATAATATGTTTTTAAAATAAATTTCTGATAATTGTGAGTTTAATAAGCATCGTAAAGCCTTTAAAATGAATATTATTAATAGACATGTAATAATTTTATTAAACAAAGTGAATTTATTTGACCTTTAAGAAATTGGAAAATATTCTTTTAAAAATTTGTAAATAAATTGTAAAAACGACTAACATACCAGATTATAATATTTAAGCTCTTAATCATTCGTCTGAAATGCGATACCTATGTTCTGACGCAAAGACTAAAAGAATTTTGTACATAGCAAATGAAAGAAAATATGAAGTGAAAAAATTAATACGAGTGCATTAACTGCAGTTCTTAATACTGTTTTTAATCTGATTTATTTAAATCAAAAGTATTTAATACATGATATTGTAAGGATTATGTTAATTTTATTAACAGTTAAATTTTAAGTTAAAGTTCCTTTCCTGTCCAATTCTTAACTTCAACTTACTACTTCCGGCCAGAACGTAGTTTTGGAATCACTCTGAATACTTAATGAGGAGGAGCGGTATTTAAACCTCGAAGTTCTACTTGCTGAGTTAGAGAGAATCAGAGTTTCTGATTTGCGCCCGTCTGCCTTTTGGCTACTCTCTCTCAAAGCTGTTATTACGCTCGGCCGTACTCAGGGCCTTGATAAGTTTCGTAGTCAAATAGAGTTAAGGTGTTTGGTGTATTTAATTATGCCTCAGGGAAGGAATGCCTTCGTGGAGGACTTTCTAAGGGAAACTGGCTCGTATACACGTTACACATGGGAAAAACCACAAAAACGCCCGTGCAGCCAGCCCCTTCGCGGGATTCGAACCTCGGACCGAACTACCAGTGTTCAGCGACTTTACCGCTCGGCCGCTGTGGGCCAAACAGAGTTAAGGGGCCAACTCGATTAGAATCTTGATAGTTTCGGATATATCTTTGGTTAATCTTAGTTTTAGTTTATTTCTTAGTCTCTTAAGTTCAAACCCAAGTGTCGGCTTTTATTCTGCACTCCAAGACGGAGTTTTGTTAAATCTTTATTGAAATAATAAAGGGTTAGTTACCCTTCCATCTTGTTGTTTCTTGTTACACTAACTTAAGCGATTTATTCGCTAACTAGTTCTTAAGATTCTCCACTTTCTACAGTAACTGAGAAATACACTAGTTTACCACGAAAACGCCCATGCAGCCAGCCCGTTCGCGGGATTCGAACCTCGGACCGAACTGCCAGTGTTCAGCATTTTTACCGCTCGTCCACTGCTGGGCCGTTAAAGAGTTATATTGAGTTATTAAATATTTAAATTTGTATATAATTAAAAAAATTATCGATTTGGTAAAACATTTCTGATGCTAATAGCCGAAATGATGGTCCAATATAAATTTTTCCAAAACGATTTTATAGCATTCGTACTCTCGAAAACAGTGGTAGACTTCCAGTAATGGCACATCGTATAACTGACTTGAAATATTTTTTATAAATTAAAAATGCCATATACTTTCAGTTTAAGTGTTTTGTACAACCATTAGATTATGAGTAAACTGCAAGTGAGTACTATTAAACTAATTTTAGAGTTTGAAAACTTAGAAATAACTTGCGTGAAATTATTATTGTGGCATACCCAGTTCAACAGAATTATACATTAAAGAATACTACTGCACTGGTAAATCACACAAGAATATCAGAGTGAAGTTAAATTAAAAACAAGTCAAGTATGAATTACTCTTACTTATTTTATTTTAAATCAATTCCTTAAGCATGTTATAAGGATATGTTTATGATACTAAAAGCTCGAAGCTAAGAAAGTCTCGAACTTTAAAATTAAATATCTCGGTCAATTTTTGTCGGACGTTAGTCAAATGTTTTATGTTTTTTTAATATCTATATACTCATATTAAATATTAAATATAACTGCAAGAATTAAGGGAACGTAAAACAAAGTTAAATTCCGCAATTTTTACAAATGTATTAATTTTAACTGAAAATACCAGTATACAGATATTAATGTTTCTTTTTTTAAATCATTGGAAGCACAAGTCTACTAGCAGCGGTTATATAAATGAAGGCCTCATAAGGACCTTAAATAGTAAATAGACCACACAGACGCCTTAAATAGTAAATTTTTCAAGCCATGTCTCGAAAATAGAAGAAACAAACAATTCCTAACTCTTCGAATTCCCCAGATGTTTTCTAAATAGACTATTACGTATTTAAAACGATAAAATGAACGGTTTCAAAACGCAGAACTAAAACATTCGATAAATTAAGGAAAACCGTAGAAGTGACGAGAAAAAGCCATTGCGAACTCTAAGAGTATTCTGTTATAATGAAATGCATAATAAAGTGCCGCCTCTAAACATTCCATGAAATTTTTAATAAAGTTTAAAAATAATCCTGTAGAAGTTGATCATGTAAAATTCATGCCAGTTGTAATATAAACTAGTAAGACGCCATGGATACGATCTTAAAAGCATTTTTTTTTCTTTTCCAGAGAACTCAAAGCATTTCAGCATAATATGTACCTGCCCATATCTCATGCAGCCCCTTATTTCACTGGAATACTCATTGGCTACTTATTAGCTACAAAACCGGATTTGAAGATTTCTAAGGTAAGAAAGAAAATAAACATGCCTTAAAAGTATATAATTTGAGAAGGGGATGAAATTAAATTTCAGTTTCCGGCGAATTCCTTTTTAAAGTAAAGTAATATGCATATAACAATTTTTAAAGTAGTAATATGCATTTACAGTTCTAAATGCTTAAAACTGTGTTTAATCTGCGTGTTCGTATTCAGCAGCAATCGGATGTTTAAGACCGCTGAATTGAATTAATTTCACTTGAGCTGGAAAACTGATGAACTTGATGACAGAGTGGGTGCTTTCATGGTTTTACTTATTTGTAACGTAAATGACACCTTTAAAAAGTCTCTCACGAAGGCAGCCCCCTTACGCAGATAATCCTAATGTGCTTTATCACGTTTAAATTAAAGGATTGAATCTTTGCATGTTCCGCATATAGTTAAATAAAATAATCATCACGTTTTGTATTTTGGAGGTTTTGAAATTTAATCCATTATCAAATTTAAACACGAGAGAGGAATATAAGTGTAAATATATTTAAAAATTGAATAAAAAATTATCTGGATATTTTCCAGAGTAATGTAGCCCTATTTCTTTATAAGAATATGCAAAATTTACAAAGGAAAGAGACTTCATAAAAAAATTTTTAAAAACAAAACCTTTTCCAAACCATTCTAACCAACGAAACCATTTCCAGCCAGCCAAAAACCATTTCGAACCAACCAATTTAATTTAAAACCATTTACAACCAATAAATAACCAATAAGCTGTAAGAATTATGTTAATTTTATTAACAGTTAAATTTTAAGTTAAAGTTCCTTTCCTGTCAAATTCTTAACTTAAACTTACTACTTCCTACCAGAACGTAGTTTTGGAATCACTCCGAATACTTAATGAGGAGGAGCGGTATTTAAACCGCGAAGTCTACTTGCTGAGTTAGAGAGAATCAGAGTTTCTGATTTGCGCGCGTCTGCCTTTTGGCTACTCTCTCTCTCAAAGCTGTTATTACGCTCGGCCGTACTCAGGCCCTTGCTAAGCTTCGTAGTCAAATAGAGTTAAGGGACCAACTCGATTCGAATCTTAATAGCTTCGGTTATATCTCTTTAGTTAATCTTAGTTTTAGCTTATTTCTTAGTCTCTAAAGTTCAAGTCCATGTGTCGGCTTTCGGCTTTAATTGTACACTCCAGGACGGAGTTTTCTTAAATCTTATTGGAATAATAAAGGATTAGTTACCCTTCCATCTTGTTGTTTTTTGTTACACGAAGTTAAGCGATTATTCGCTAACTAGTTCTTAAGGTTACTCACTTTCTACAGTAACTGAGAAATACACTAGTGAGAATCTTGCAAAGCAACCAATAAAAAATTTTAATCATTTCCAACCAACAAAAAGAAAATCTGAAGTATAAATCAGTTTTATATGCTATATGTGACTATTTCAAACAGCTATTTGGCTGTCTTTGAATGGATGATTCAAACTTCCAATAATTGTTGTCAATGGGGTATATAATCAGTTTTTTAGATTTGATTTTATCATCGGTTTAATCATGGTTGTGTGTAATAAAAATATTGAATGCGGAAGGAAGGGAAAAAATATATTTTCTTGAGATAAATTGCATATTTCATGTGTTATATTACGGTTTAAACAAATTTTAGGTCGAATTATTTTCTTAACGTGTTTTCCGTTTTGGTATATGTAAGTTAACCTTATTTTTGTATACATAATTTGTTCTTATGTCTAATTTAGGTATTCATCCTATTGTTGTAAATTATCATTGCTGTGCATATAGTTATGCATTAAGAAACAAAATAATCAGGATAAGTTTATGTTTCAAACTTTTACTAAACTTACATTTTCAGTATGTGCTACTTTATCATATTTGTCATAATGTTGGTATACAAACTTACTGACTTATCTGCCGTCTTCTTGTGGAAGGAAATTCTGTTTCTGAAAACTAGGAACGGCCAGCCCGTTCCCCATGATTTAAATCTAAATAAAACTACAAGTGTTCAGTGGTCTTACCAAACTGAGTAGTAATGGGCCATGCCCTTATGGGACAACGCATAATTTCAGCCTTTTCACATATCCAAAGAGAGCATTTTTTCTCGAAAAATTGTACGTTATTAACGATTATATGTATCACTGCAAAATAACGATCAGTGTCTTTTATCGGCAATAAATGCATTTTAAATCTAATTTGAATAAATGCTTTGTATTGTAAAATTCAAGACGTTTTATTAAAACGTCATCATTCTAAAGTAGAAGAGGGGTAGAGTAGACATTAAGGTACATCTTGTATTATGGCAAAGTTGTTGTTTCATTTATCGCCAAGTTGTTGTTTCATTTATGGTAGCCTGAGTAGCTGAATGTTATGGAAACCCTATTGTGACGTAATCGGGTGCATGATTCTAGGAAATTTTGAATCATGGGATGTTTTGTAAGCGTTTTTGTGGTGTGTGTGTTTGTTTGATTCTTTAGACGGTAGAATGGCCGAATGTAGTAAGATTAATTTGTAATTTGAAGTTTCTGTACGATTTGGAGCGAATGGGAAAAAGAGCTTTAATTGACTGATGTGTAAATGAAAGTTTACTTAGTGGCCATAATAAGTGTCCTGTATGTAGGAAGGATATGCCTCTAGTCGAGCGTAAAAACCGTTTAGATGGATTTGAATGAGTTTGTAGGAAGAAAGGTTCAGATGGTCACTATGTGAAGCGTTCAATCAGAAAAAGTACCTGGTTTGGCAAACGTCATTTGAGTATGATTGATATTTTGATTTCTACGTGGCTCTGGGTGTACCAAACGAACTCGAAAATCAAGGTGAGTGAATATTTGCTTTTGGTAGTGCTTAAATGTATAACATGTTTTTACTTTTTTATGCTATTTTATTGTTTGATTTAAAATGTATTTTATTGAGATTATGTATTTTTTTGTTTGCTATATTATAGAATTTGGTGCTCCTTTGACTTTTTAAGTGAAAATATATCGATGTGTACATGGACAAAGTAAAGGGAGTGCGCAATGCAAGTTTGTGCAATTCTGGGATTTTTTTTAAAGTGAAAATAGATCGACGTGTACATGGATAAAGTTAAAAGAGCGCGCAATGCCATTTTTGTGCAATTCGGGGACTTTTTTAAAAGTGAAAATAGGTCGACTGTACATGGATAAAGTCAAAGAAGTGCGCAATGCCATTTTTGTGCAATTCGGGGATTTTTTTTAAGTGAAAATAAGTCGATGTGTACATGGATACCGAGTTTGTGCAATTGTTTGTCTTGTTATTTTGGCTTTGTATAGCAGAGATTTTTGGCCCAAAAATCGCCGCTTCGCAAGCCAAAATAACGAGTCAAAGAATTGCACAAAATCGGTATCCATGTACCGTCAAAAATCGCCAAGTTTCGCCAAGAGGTACCCTAAACTATTCTTTTACCTAGAAGAGAATTTTTTTCTATGTATATTTATGAATTTTAAAAATGTATATTTATGAATTTTAAAAATTATATTTCTATGTATATTTATTTATAAATTTTAATGAATTACGAAATTTTTATTTTTGCTCTTTTTTTTCGTTGCATATCTTATTTTTACATTTCAACTCCATTTTTTCCTCATAAGTTTCTCTTTAATTTAACACTCCATATATGCTTAAATGTGGATAGTAGTAAGAAAGGAAAAGGTGAAATGTGATTTAATATTTCAGTGTTTTCTAATTCTGGGATGGTTGCTGGCAATTACGTTGACTTCATGTGTGGTATTCGGGCCTCGGAAATGGCAAAGCGGAACTGAACCAACAATTGCTGAACTCATTGCATATGGTTCTACTTACAAACTTGCTTTCGTCTTGGGAGTGGCGTGGACTGTAGTTTGTTGTTTTACTGGGCAAGGAGGTAAGCACCTAAAAGCTTTTAATAACGGTATGCGTAGTTTTAATAAGCACTTAAGACCTATAAAAGTATAAGCTAATTTAATAAGTATTTATTACTGAATTTCTGATGGAGAAAATTGCAAATACAATTTATGCTGATGCAAATCATCTTTAATGAAAGCTTATGCATATAAATGATTTTTGAAATGCGGGTTAAATAAGATTTGAAATATAAAAAAATAACTGATTAAATTTTAATGAAATATTTTGCAGGCTTCGTTAATTACTTGTTATCTTTGAAAATATGGACACCCTTAGCTCGTCTTACTTTTCTCATGTATCTTATTCATCCAAATCTTCAGCTTATATACGCTGGATGGACAAAGGCAGCCTTCCCTATTGATTATTATGTATTTGTAAGTATGCATTTTTAATGACGTTATTATCCTGCATCTATCAAAAAATTATTTTTTAAAAATATGTCATTAAATGCAGGCGAGGAAAGATAATTTAAATGAACGAAACATGAAAACTAATATTGAACTGTCTCTTATTTAAATGAATATTTTTCTGTGTTGCACGATAGTTTATGTATTGTCTTCACTTAACCTCTTTGGATTTAAGAATTCAAGGAATAGCCTTATACTTATTCTATATAATAATAATAAAAATAATAAGTCTTAAGTGTAATATGTCAAATTCTGAATTGTATGAGACTATATAACGAATTGGCAAGTTCTGTCGAAAGTGATATGGATTTCTGCCAATTGTACATTTTCATGTCACTGGTATGTATAAGTTAATTGCACAGATTAAATCTAGATTGTGGAATTAAATGTGAGAAAGTTATAAAAAATTTTTGAAATGCGGGAAGAAACTTGTATATCAGTTAAAATAGATATGTTGAAGTATCAGTTGAAGTACTTTTCAAAAACTGGTGCAAGGATTTTGTAACTCCGTATTTGAAAATTATATAAATTTTCATCATTCATTTCGCAGTAGGATTACGTCATTCAAAATTGAATGGCTCTAGGTACTGTTGTTTTACCACAATGTGAGAAATACATACATTTATGTAGATTCTTCATTATTTAATTTCTTCAAAATATAATACAGGGCGATGATATTTGTGGCAACAGTTTGAAAAGTGAAATGGACATTCAGAGTGATTCGACGCAAAATCGCAAAACGGAAACAATAGTCCCTTTGTACTAACAAATACAATATAGTGAAGACACACAATAACACGCCGAATAAATACTAATTCAGAAGTCAAAGAACAAAAATCAGCGTTATATTTACAAAATTTTCACAGGACTAGTTTCGATGGTTTTACCGAACCACCATCTTCAGCTACAAAACCGCAAATGAACAAGATAGGAAATAATGATTAGATAAGATAAGAAAGCCTGGACAAGAATAAGCAAGTGGCGCCATCTGTTGGCGAAACCAGAACTAAAACATAATTTCTTTAAAGGCCGAAGGCAAATTTGGATTGGAATTAGGATCGTTAACTAGAACAGAAAGATTTTTATGAATGTGAAATGCCTCTAGAAAATCCAGTTCTCCAATGGAAGATGTTTTTTTGAATAATTTTGGCAGCAGAAAAATTGAAAGTGTGATTTTCGGACCAACAATGTTGAGCAACAGAAGACTTCTGTGTTTCCTTTTTTCTAACATATGCCTCATGTTCCTTGACGCGAAATTTTAAGGCTCTCTTAGTTTGGCCAATGTAAATTAAACCACACTGGCAAGGAATCCTATAAATACCCCAGGAATTCATATCCGGAATGGGGTCCTTGAGTATGGAACTCGGAATTTTATTGATGGGAGAATAAACAACCCGAAAGTTAAATTTCTGCAAAATATGTGCAACTTTATAGCTAATTGATGGAAAGAATGGAATGACAACAGAATTTTTATAATCTCCTAAAACAAGAGTGTGCCTTTTAGTGTGTTGAGATGAGAATTTTTTAACTGCTTGATTAATAATGTTGGGTGGGAAAGCCCCTGTCAATAGCCATTCAATAGCTTGTTCATTTGCGGTTTTGTAGCTGAAGATGGTGGTTCGGTAAAACCATCGAAACTAGTCCTGTGAAAATTTTGTAAAATATAACGCTGATTTTTGTTGTTTGACTTTTGAATTACAATATAGTGGTTTAAAGTCTGGTCTTTGTTTCTCACAATCCTGTAATGTGAAAAATCAAATTTCGCTTTTCGATAGAATGCATATAAACAGCAATATTAGGACACAAAGTAAAAAGAGAAAAAAGAGAAAAGTAACACATTTTTTTCGTCTTATACAACATGATGGGCAGCAGACATGCATTATGTTTCCTAAAATATGGTAAAGCGTGACTAATTGCACAGTATGTAGTCGTGAAAGGCTGTACATTAGATTTTACGTCATATAAATGAACCTTTTGCATCAAACAAAATTCTGAAGTTTTACAGCTTTCTATTTGCACAATTTATTTTTTTCAAAATATCCCTTCCAAATAATTCTATAATCTCTACAAATTTTTGTTTCCCACTACCTGCGCATGCCCTTTTGTTCCTTAGATAGTATGATTAACTCCGAAAATTTCCTGCCGTAAATCTCATCTCAGAACATGGCCAAGTGACTATTATCTCACTATTACCCATCACCATACTATTACTTCAGTTACCTAGTTCTAGATGTCTTCGTTCAAATGTTATTTGGAAACTTTCAATGGGAAACCTGTATCTCGCCAAATATCCCTTTGAAAGTCATAGCTAAAATTTAAACCTATTCAGAAGCAGGTGTTAATAATTAGTAATCTATTAATACTTTTAAAATTTCCTTTAAATAAGAGAGAAAGTAATCTTATAGTATATGCATACGGTTATAATAAGTTTGATAACTTTCAAAAGATTAGAAATTTCTATATTGTTATGAAACCTCTTGCTTTTTTTTTTCTGACACCAGTTGTTACGTTATTTTCTTCCTTCACTTTCGTACGAGGCTCGTGTGGGTTTGGAGTGAATAACGACGACACTACTTGATGGAATATCGAAACAAACTTTATTTACCAATATTAATCAGGTCAACTCCAAAATCATGTTACAGTCGTCGAAGAACTACTATACAAGCACGCTGACACAATCAGCGAGAAAGCCTTCACACTATCAGGCTATAACGGTATAGACAGCTTTACTGCAAAGCAGCAGAGTACAGCTCCCGACTCTGCTGCTTTACTGCAAAGCTTTACTGCAAAGCAGCAGAGTACAGCTCCCGACTCTGCTTGGTCGTTCTCGGAACTCCGCGTACTCTCGAGACTCTCCAAGCTACAAATCGCGATGCACTCGACGACACACAGAGCACAGCTCCCGACTTTTAGATTCAGTCGTTCCCGGAGCTTAACACACTTTCTCGTCGATGCATTAACCGCAATACACTAACAGACTCTTCGATGCACACGATGACCCACTCGGCACTCGCTGGCGGGCTGTCCACTTGATCATCTCCGCACGGACTAACTAAATGAGACATACTAACTCGCACTGCGAACCAGCCGGGTTTATATGGCTTTCGGTTTGTGTTCGAGAACATTCTGGGCTAAACCGGTAAGAATTCGTTCCAGAAGGTTCTCCATCCGTCCATGGCATATCGCCAATTTTGTCGACGAATGGGCGATTTCTCGCCAGATGTGGCAACCTTGACTTCCCTTTCCATTATATGGCAACCCTAAAATTGCTTTGCGGGGAAGCCATCTTACCGCGCCTGTACATTTCGTAACAATATGCATGCGGTTATAATAAGTTTGATAAGTTTCAAAAGATTTCTCCTTTCTGGAAATTTCTATATTGTTATGAAACCTCTTCAGGAATGCTGAAAAGAATCATCTACTATTTTCACCAATACAATGTAGAGCCATTAGGTTATTTGCAGCAGGAGTCGTGGAAAATGAGCAATGCCCTAACCGTGACTCGAACCTGGACCTGTCGAATACGCCCCCGAGTGTGCTACCGTTACACCACGAAGGCATGCTGAAAGGAGGGAGAAAATACCTTATATACTTCTTGTTTTATAAGGAGGACTAAGAATTAAAGAACCCAATCACTAATCCTGGTGGTGGAAAATCATCATCCACCACCTTTTTAGTTCAGGCGCCACTGTAGAGTCATTAGGTTATTTGAAGTAGGATTCGTGGAAAAAGAGCAATGCCCTCGCCGGGACTCGAACCTGGACCTCTAGAATACGCGCCGAGTGTGCTATCGTTACACCAAGAAGGCATGCAGAAAAGAGTGAGAAAATAGCTTATAACAAGACAGCTGTTTGAAAATATTAACTAACTAAAATTAAACATAATTTTTGCAGTGAAATATAATCTATTAATCAGCGAAACATGGGCAAAACATTCGTAACAAAAACCAGACTATAAAGTTCTGCTTCTACTAGAAAGTTACTATTAATAAAGACACTCGTATTTTTATAAATAGTCTAATTTTATTGAAATGTAAGCATATTGTAAGGGCTGTACTCTCACGCACTATATGAAATTGGCTAAGTTATATTGTCATCCGAGGTGCAAATGGATTTACAATCAACCATAATTACATTCAGTCCAATCTTTTGGTTTGCCAACTAACGGAGTATGGGACAAATGTAGGAAGAGAATGCGCTCTTTTTACATTTCGAGATGTATTTAATATACCTCGAATTCCTTATTTCTAATTTTTATTTTGTAGGTTGCTCCTATTAGATCATTTTTTAATTCATACTGCGTTTTTCTTAGCAGCTGGAATTTCTTTATCAGTATTTTGTACTCATGTTAAAGATTGTAAATTATTAATATTTTGTATATATTTTCAGGCATGGCTGGCGTTTGGGCATTTGTGCATCAGCTTCCTTCTTGCTGTTATCGTCAATATGATGGTTGAAGCACCTTTTATGTCTCTACAGAAGATGGCATTAGGCACATTCGAGGGTATTCCAAAGTTATCAGCAGAGGACAGGAATGTGGACAAGGATAAAAATTTAAATGGTTATAAAGAGAAAATGTCTATTAACGAAGCTATTACACTTTCTAATAATACACCTGAATGTGTTGATACAGACAATAAAAGCACTGTAACTAAATGTTAAAAATTTGTATGCTTTTAATGCACGTAACAAATGCGCTGCATCTTTATGACATTTCCAATAGCATATTTATAATGAAAAAAAACGCCTTGTTTATAATGATTCATTATAACGTTATATGATTTTTTTTTATAATTTTAAAATAAAATTAATTTAGAAATGTATCAGAACTCAGAAAATCTAGAGTAAGGTAGACAATTTATCAAAAATGAAAAACAAGAAAAGAAGTCCATCTGCTAGCGACCCTCAAGTTCTCTCATTTTAATGATCTATTTGCGAGTATATTTTTTATTGAAAAATTTAATTTCAAGGAACTTGAAACCTTAGAAATGAAATCAAATCTTGGAATGAAATCAAAACCTTAAAACCAATATTGCCATTACTACTTTCGGCAAAGCAGATAGCAATTTAGTATAATTTACTAAATATTCTACCAAGAAATTATTCAGAAAAAACTTTAAAATTGTACTACACATAAATTTTCTCTATTTCAAGGGAACATCATTGTTAAACAAATTAGGTTTCTAGAAAAGCGTAAATATCGTAAAATTCCAATTAAATTTAGATTCATAGCTAATGATGTTAATAAAAAGTCATAGACTTATTCTTTTTCTAATACTCTTGTCAGCTTTTAAATATAACATCAGTTTAATTAATCTATCAGGACTTGTATTCCTCTTGATTTGCTTTGGAAACATGAGTGGTCCTGAATAGGAACAGGGAGCTTACTCAAGCTATGTTCAGGAAGATGTGAAGTAGACAAGACAAGCAGGAAGGGTATACGAAACCCTTTATTTTCTATCTTTACAGGTATTCCCGAACTTCGGGATACAGAGACCAACCACTCGTGGTCTGAACGTAAGAATATAAAAACTACTAACTAAAACTCTAACTAAAAACTAACTTTGAATTAGTATACAAGTGCCTAGCACTAAAATTGGCCTTTATTTAAAGAAAGGTACGTATGTAGTACGCCGATCTTCTAAAACTACGATACGTCTGCAATTATCAAGAGGGCTAAACCCTGTGGCCTTGAAGGCAACCAGCAACAGGGGGAAAACTCTTAACACTACAGTGGCAAGCGGCTTGCTTCCAATAACTGCTCTCCCTTGCTTGGCAAAAAGCCACAACTTAAGCACTTGGCGTTAGCAAGACAATTTGCATAAATAAGTTAAAGTGTTTAATTCTGGCCGGGAGTAGAAAATAAGTGATAGTATAGATTTAAAATAAAATAAACATTAGTAAAACTTAGTATCCTTACAAATCATGACCGGTATATTATAAATAATAGCATAAAAGTCTTTAAAGCTATTAACCGTGCTGAAAGGTTAAATTTTAATTGCTATAGTTCCGAAGTTTATATATATCCTTACCACTTAATGGAATTTCCAACAACCTCGTTGAACTCTATAATTCATTTCCAGAAATTAAAAACATTAATATTTTTTAAAAAATTGGGATACGTACCTCAATTAACACTTTTTAATAATTTTAAAAGCTTCAAGAAAAAAATCTATGTGAAAATTCATGATATTTCAATAATAGCTAACTATTGCGTTATGCAGCCTATTCTTCTTCGTTTAAAGAATACAATTTTATTAAGAAATTTGATTCCCCTGATGTATTTAAACTCGCATTTAGGTACGTAGATTTAGGTAGGATGTAAAAATAATTAAATGTTTTTCTGGAATGATACACTCTCACTATTCGACTATTGCACTTATTAACTACAATGCGAAATAAAAAAAAAAGTATTTTAAATGCCTTGATAAAACCAATGATTTTAAAGGTACAAAAGGTGAGCTATTTAAAAATTAAAATTTACAGTCTAAACCAGATTAAAATTTCTGACAAAATAATACTTTTCAGTTTCAAAATTGTAAACGTTTTACAGTGGCACTCATCTATTTCTAAAGCATAATAATCGATGCCAATGTTAATCTAACCGTTGGGTTAAATTATTTGCATTAATAATCATATATTTCTAAAGAATTAGAAATATTCATTATGAATTTCACAATTAATAAATTTACTAACAGTTTTATTAAAAACAAATTAACAAACTACATGTGTCGATTTAATTATTTAATTAAACTATCCAATACAGAAAATACACCACCACGAAGAAGAAGTTGCTTGGGAACTTGGAAAGTTCTTTTTCAGGCTTCTAACCATATGCATGTTTTCACCTGAGTCTTTATACATATTCCCTTAAGATAAATAGTGGAAAATATGAACTAATTCACAAAGCGCCTGGCTGATCAAGTTGCGCAAATTATGCTGTAGAGCTGGTGACACTGTGTAGGATGTAAAAATAATGAAATGTTTCTGGAATGATACACTCACACTATTCGACTATAGAAACACTAAGTTAATGAAGCATATATAAATAACGAAAAAATATTCAACGGAGAGATACGTTAACACACACAAAAAAAAAGATAACATCTGCAGAATAAATTCAAATTTAGGGAGTCATAAAAATTTCATGATTAACTGCTGGTCTTATTTCACCATTTGAGATAGAGATGCACATTTCTTAATCTTTTAAAATTATTTAATACCGCACGATCATAATTCATGAGTGCCGCAATTGTATGGAAATCTGAGATTGAAGTCTTATTAAAGAAGCTATAGCAAGTTTTTGAAACATAGTACTACAAGTGAGTTATATTTAAATCATTTAAGATACTACTATTACGCACAAACCCTGGCATACTGACCATGATTTTTAAAACTTGTTCTGGAAGCGATAGAACCTTTTTCCAGCTGTTTTTGTAGAGAATGCCCTTGCTGGTACAACGCAAGTAAGCAATCAATCAGAAGCAGAGAATTTTTTGCTCTCGGGATCAGTTTTCAATTCCTTGCCAAGTAGGCTGTATGAGGACTTGAAAGAGAAGTTTATTATAGTAAGGGCGTATTTGACGTGCTCCTTGAAACTTAATTTAATGTCTAAAATATATCTGTGATATTTTGTTTAGGAGACGATTGGGAGTTCAGTACCATCGATGAAAATATCACTTAGTATTTTAGCAGCATTCTTATGCTGTGTCCTGAAGATAATAAAATTGGTTTTCAATGGGTTAATTTTGATACGCCACGTTCAACACAAATGAGGAATATTATTAATATGCTAAATTGAAGTTTTTTATTGCATTATGTGAAACAGTGCTGAATCATTTAGTATATTTGGCAACATACGTTCCAAGTGGATGTGGCAGGCCGTTCACAAATAATTAAACATTGGGCTTAGAAACCACCCTGAGGAATTCCGGCTCATATACGAATTCTAGAAGAAAGGGGTTCTCTAATGAGAGCGTGAAAAATGAATTGCTGCATTTAATAATATTGGAAAGGAGCCGAAGTCTTATGATTTGAAAATCAACCTATGATGCCAGATGCTGTCAAATGCTTTTTCAAAATTATAAAAACATACCGCCTTTACATACATCTTTTTAGTGAAAGCATTCACAGTTTTATCGACAAATTTAACCGGATTGGGTTCTACCCTCCTGTGATGATATTATACTTCTCTGTGCACTTTATAAACCTTCGCTGGAGGGTCCTTTCAAAGAGCTTCCTTGAATAAAAGAGACTAATGGGTTTGTAGTTAAGATTCTTAGGTAGGTTTAGGAAAAGTTGTGACGTCAGCTTATTTCCACTGTGGGAAGTATGTCGATGGCATGTGTAAAAAATGTTGGTTATTAAAATTTTGACCTTTCTATGTTCTTCTTTGATAGCCTTATTGGAAATTTTAGTTATCCTTAATATTAAGTGTCTGAATGAGATACAATACTTCTGTATGAGAAACCGGAGGATATAAATTGCTGGATATTTCTAAGTTTTGAAATAAGTTTTGAATAAGTTTAAATAAGTTTTGAAATAAGTTTTGAATAAGTTTAAATAAGTTTTGAAAAATAAGCCTGACTTCATCTTCTGTCTCTGGCCAGGCGGGGTGGGGGAGCATTTGCTGTGAAAGAACCCTGAATGATATATCTCCTATGAAATTGGCCATCTCTTGTTCACAGTAATACGCGTCAATACGCGTCATCTTGGTGTTTTAGAGGACCGACATTCAGTTGCTTGGAATCTAAAATTTTTCTTTAGTTTAAATAATTTAAAATGTAAAACTAATTTTCCATAGATTATCGATTTCAACGTTTTCAAATAACTGATCCCACCTTTCGGGGCGAAAAATAAGAGACTTTAGATATTTTTATGACTTTAAAACTTAAAAGTAATTTTGCGTCTGGATCTAAGGTAAGTCTGCACCTTGTCCTGTTTTTATCCTTGATTTTCTACCCGCATAGTCATATCTAGAACGTAATTAGGCAGAGCGCTTGGGTTCTTGAGAAGGAACTCTCTGGTTGAGAAATCGATGGCATATTGCGATTTTTAACATTAGAAAGAGAAGCATCATTTGCGTTACTATCCGAGAATATAGTTAACAAGTCTTCTTTCCTGTTTCTTCTTAGGCATTGGATAGAGCCCAAGCATATTAAACTTCCCTAGAAAGGGATGGGAGTTTAGTTCTTCGACTGCTTCAAGGTGTGGATGCACATCGGAGGTTTTCACTATGAACTATTACTATGTTAAGAACATCTGGATTGTGGCAAAAACTGGTAGACTTCGAAGGTCCAATAACGGTTATACAATTTAAGTTAGAAAATTTTCGTAAAGTTCATCCATTACTGTTGATATTACAAGAGTTCCATACATGATGCTTCGCATTTAAATCCTCGGCGATAAAAATGCAATAGTTTGATTCAGCAATGATAATATTTGATGGAATGTTGTATAAGCAAAAACAAATAGCAATGGGGTTCTTGTCTTGCTAGACAAATTTTGGCAGCAGTTGTTTCAGTGGTGATAGAATCCAACAAATGATGGCATGTAAATTTAACATTTGCTCATGAAAAATCCTCAAACTAAAAATCGCTGTAATATACCAAGTGTAACTGTATGAGGAGCTTTCTTCACTGGGAACAAATATGCTAATATAATATAAAGTTTAAAATTATAAAAAAAGTATACCAAGTAAAAAAAATAGGTGATAGTGATAAATCTCCCGTTCCTACTATACCCTTTGACAAAACCTGTGTTCTTCATGTCATAGGATATAGATTAGATTTATATATAACCAATTGTTCTAACACAGGTGTTTTGACACATAATCGAACTTTTTCTGAAATTACATACTGCTTTTTTTTCCATATTTCGATCTTACTCCTCAAATTATGCCAAAGTGCCAATTTTCCTAAAAATCGCTCGAGTAGTTTTTAAAAAAATTAGGTCTCAGAATTTTAGGTCCTCAATGTTCATTGAATCTGGCATATATTTATTAGTATATCTTTATAAAAATTAAATTAACTTCATTCATTCTTTCGGAATTCCAAATCAGGATCAATCCAAATAAAATTCGCACATTTTTGATTTTTTTTTAAATTTGTAATTTAAAATAATTTTTGTAAATTTTTTGGAAAACATTTTGAATTATAAAACTTTTGCCATCGTCTTAAAGTAGATGAATTTCTAGGCATGCCTCCAAAAAAAATAGAGTTTTTAATGTAAAAAAAACCTAGGAAGTACGTGAATTTCTATATTGCCCCGTTTTGAAATTTGTCATATTTATCATGAGCGATAGTAACGTCAAATGTGGTTTAAACACTTTATTATAATCTTCAGGGAATTCCAACAGTTATTCTTAACCCTAAATTTCAAAATAAAGCTTTACTGAGGAGCATTCATGGGGAATTTTTTTATTTTCATTTTTATTAATAATGCCTAATAAATATATATTAATAATACATGAAAAGCTATTTTTTGAATTTATAAACAATATTATTCAAAAGTTTTGAAGATTTTTTTTCTGCCATAAGATTAATTTTTACCTTCACCATTTTATCGTCTGCTGTTTTAGTTAACTTCACTTTCAACTTGCATGCAACGAAATTAATTTTACTGATTTCAAAACTTTGTATGACACGCGCATTCAGTACTCTGAGGTGTCGTTTAACGTTAAACGACACCTCAGAAATATAAAAAATATATCTGTCTTCTACTGCAGAAATGTTTAACAGCAGCAAAATGTACTAGAATGTCAGGCAGTGTAGCAAAGGCAACAAATAAAAATGATTTTGAAGATGTTTTTATGTGCAAAGGTATTTCGTGACTTTTACTGAATAAAAAATTTGTTAAACAAACTTTTACGTTTGAAATACCTTTTTTTAAAGCAATATACATTTTTATGTACACCTAGGATTTAGAATAAGCACATTTTTAAAAGTCACTCTGTGATTTGTCAAGACTTGAATTCTAGTCATTACACTAGGCTTCGGTGACTTTTTGGTAGGATTAAGGAAAAGATTTAAAAAGGCCAACTATAATGATGGTGAAGGAATATTCTTAAAATGGTTTACCATTCCAGAGAAGTCAGAATCTGCCACTATCCGTACAAAAGCTAATTATAAATATACATTTTAAATAGAGATATATATTTGCAAGGAGGGATCTAAACCATGACTTTTGTGCTTAGTAATTTATCGCGTAAAATTATTAGCGTATGTAAAGTGAAAAACAAACAACGAAAAAGTAGTTTAGAAATTGTACTTAATAACCGCAATTAACCCTAAATATGATTTTTTTCATTAGAATTTTTATTCACCTCTTTTAAGTGGTGCAATAATACTCATAGCGTTTTTTCTTTTTTTAATTGTTTTGTTTTATTGCTTGTGTTTCATCTGTTAACTTTCAGACTATTTCGTGAGATGACCCATTTTTTTTTCTTATTAGATCGAACATAGCGAAAACATTTTCGGTTTTATATAGCTTTATATTGCGGTTCGACCGTATATTGCAACAGAAATGCTCAAAATGGCGAAGAAATTCAAAGTAATTCGAAATAACATTTTGTCTAGAAGTCTATATTTAAAAAACTGAGGAACACATCTTCTAGAAGATGGTTATATTCCTAGTATTGCGACTCATGCATTACAAATTAAATTTTAAATCATTGAGTAAATTTATCATAAAGTTTTATTAGCGTTGCATTAAAACTTTCAACTCTGTAATAAATTGAAAAAAATAAATGAATTGAAAAAAAAAATTCTGAAAGCATTCAGGTTTGATATTACGCCCAAAGGTTCGTTTTTTTAACTTTTCGTGTGTTACCTTTATTTATTAAATATCATGTTCTTTGCACTTAAACTGCAAAATATTTAAAAAGAGCATATCTTTAGAATTTCAGATACACAATCTCGCGCGCTGGATGTAAAAAAAAAAAATTTTTTTTTCTGTACAGTGTTGCCATTGTTCGCTTTAAAGTCGTTGATTTTGTTAACCAAAAATTCGTTGTTTTACAAAATATGAAATAGATAATAAAACAAATTCCAAATTTGGGCTTCCAGAGGCCCATATTCGAGTGGACAACTACGTTATTCAAACTTAAGTCTCTAGGCACCGTTGTTTTTTCACAGTGCGAGAAACATAAATACATTCATGTAGATTCTCCATTATTTAATTTCTTTAACTATAATACATAGCTGTAATATTTGGTAATAAAAATTCGAAAAGTGAAACGCCGTTTTATGTTGAACGACGCAAAATGCCAAAACGAAATTAATATTCCACTTCTGGGCAAATTGTCCCTTTGAGCTGACAAAAAACATTAATCACGCCAAGGGCGATCCTAAGCCCGAGGGAAAAAGGAAAGGGTATTTTTCTGATTAAATATATTTTCTTTTATTAGTCCAAAGAGGCTTGACTATTGTTTTCTAACGGACTATTATTTTCGTTTTGCGATTTTGCGTTGAATTACTATAAATGTCCGTTTCACTTTTCAAACTGTTACCACCAAATGTTAGAATCTTGCATTATACTTAAAGAAATTAAATATGAAAAATCTGCATAAATGTATGTCTATTTCTCGCACTGTGATAAAACAAAGATACATAAAGCCATCGAATTTTGAATGACGTAATCTTCCTACAAATATGGGCATGTGGAAGACCAAGTTTGAAATTTGGAATTTATTTTATTATCGATTTCATATTTTGTAAAACGAATTTTTGAGTAACAAACTCAACGATTAAAAAGAGAGCAATGGCAACACCCTACGGCGGGGAAAAAAACATTGCTACTGAACTGAATTTTATGGTTTAAGTGCAAAGAACATGATATTTGATAAATAAAAGTAACACACAAAACGTTAAAACGCCCCTTTGGACGTAATTTAAAATCTGAAACCTTTCAGATTTTTTTAAGCTTTCTTCTCTGGACTCGTATTACTTTTTTTTATTAAAATACTGAACTATACTTAGAAAAAAGCTTTTAAAGATCACAGCTTCTGTTCAATAGGCAAAATTTTCAGTATACGATGCAAGATACTATAAGAAAAGTTCATGTTAACGTATTCTATTAGTAAAAAAATATTTTTGAATAAATTACTTTTATACGTTAGTTAAAATATAACAAATATTTAATATTTTTATAAACAGAAAGAAAAATGAGATTAAATTAGTAAAATGAGCGCAAAATGTTAAAAACAATTCATAAAATTAAAAATATAAGTAAAGAAGTAAAAACTGTGCAGCTAATTCCAATTTGTAAATTTCTTTCGTGTGCAATTGAACAAGATGATTTCAATAATAAAAAATAACGAATTTTATTTTATTAAAGGTCCGATGCAACGTATTGACTAAACCATATTTCGGCTGGGACGTTTTGTATCCAAATACAAGATTCTGAGTACCTCATTTTGTTGAAATATTCGTGTAATAAACAAATAAAAAGATAGTTGCTGAAATATTATATTGGAAACTAGGATAAGCGAATTAAATTATTATATTCACAAGTAAAAGAAATTAAATCTGCTTTGCAAATGTGTTTTTGAAAGTTTGCATAAAACGAAGAGTTGTTTGCTGAATCATTTTTGAGACAATACAAAAAAAGTTCTGAGATAGTGCCTATCTTTAAGCAGAACAGTTATTCTGAAGTACGCGAAGAATATTTTTTTTTTTTTTAACACAGATTATATATCCATGACAACAATGAATTGTTAGCAGCACAATAAAGAACAATCAAATTATTTTAATTTTTGCAACTAACAAAACAGGCATAATCGTTTGTGCTTACAAAAACTGTGGAAATATGTTTATTTCTCTTCCTTTTGTTTTAATTAATACAAAAGAGTTACGTTTATCAAATTCCACTTTAAATTAATACAAAATGATTATTATACGCTCAATATATTCGTACAGTCTGTTAGAGCACTCAGGGGGTAGGTCGAAAATTCCTTATGCAGTAACTGCTCTTTTTGATAATATAAATCCCCTCTGTGGCTTACATTTATGACTGTACCATCAAAATTTACGCCTAATGGTATGAAGATAATGCTTCAGATGTAACATTAAACATCGAAATAAGAGTTGGCTTACTTTAATCAATATTTTGTCTTTCCCAGCGCGCAACATGAGCTACACACATGATAACGACAGCAGCACGAGTTACTACGTAACAAAGATTTTGCGTTGAAGGTCATTAAGATACGAACTTTCGCTAAAATAAAGTGTCGATGGTTGTTTTCTGAACAGTGCATCATGGAAGCGGCCGTGAAAGCATTTGACCACGCCGTGATAGGAGCGGGAATAGTGGGCTCATGGACGGCTCTTCGTCTGCAGAATTTAGGAAAACATGTTGTTCTTCTAGAGCAGGTGAGCTTTCTTGTGGCTAGGGGGGAAGGCGACAACGCATTCAGGTCGTTTTTATTTCCTTGTACGAAATATTATAATCAAGAAAAATTCCCGGTATCATATTTCAATGAAAATATCCATTTTGACCGATATCGAATGCAATTTAACGATGTTTCTGCGTGACATCTGTACGTAAGAACAGAATAAAGTACTTTTTTCCCCAAAACGGATTATAAAATTGATTTAAAATGAATTCAGAAGAGATTTTTTTCGTGACGTATGTATGTATATATCTCGCATAACTCAAAACGAGTACCCTCAGAATGTTGAAATTTTGTATATAAGAGTGTTAACACGTAGTTGTGCACCTCCCCTTTTTGGTTGTAATCGGCCGCACCAAAGGTATATATATATACTCACTCTGTTACTCAGCTCGGTGAGCTCAGTTTCTTTATTATTATATGTTGGTAAATTGTGTATCCTTTGCTTTAAAATGATTGAATTATATTGTTCTTATCTTTCGGTTAAGGTATGTATGCCTTTAGTTAATCTGCATGCGATAGTTGTAGAATTGTCAACAATTTAAAAGTTGTTTGTGAGGCTAAGCCTAATTGTTTTTATCATAGCAGCCGTGTTTGTTTTCATTAGAAACTTAGCAGAATAGTGAATTCAGTTTTTGCACCTTCAGTGTCTTTTTGCCGAGTTGGACCAAAAGTAAACTTTCAATTTTGTGCACCGAAAAATCTGTCTTCCTGCGCTCTGGTCGAATTGTTTGTTTTTGCTTAGCAACTCTAATTTCAATTGTATTTTTTATTTTTTTTTTTTTTTTTTTTTTTTTTTTTTGTAAACTGTTTTTTATTATATTCGGTGTTTTATGTTTTTCGGTATTTTACAATTTTTAATGAAGGTGTTTTGAGATTTTATCTATATTTGTCTTGCTGCGAAGTGAGAAATTGAACGAGAAATATATCTAATGAAATTCGAGGAAAGAAGTTTAGATGAAATGCAGAAAAAAAATGCGTATAATTTAATGTTATGGAGAAGGAAGTCATGTGGTGTCCACATCAGATTTTTTTCATCATGTTGTATTATTTTTTTTTATCAGTGGTTAATTCAATGACGGCATTTTTTCATAAAACCGTGTTAAGTTTAAAATAACTGCACATTTAAGGGGACTTCGTCAGTATTTTTAAATTTATTTCCCTCTTTTATTAATTTTTTTCGTGATTCAATACTTTATGTTGTTTTAAAATTCATCTTCCCACACTTTTTTATTTTTATGTATTGATTGATTTATTTTTGAGCTATTTTAACAGTTGCGATGTCTAGTTTAGTTTGGTTCACTTGATTATCTCAAAGCTTTGGAGGGTTATCTGCCTAAAGGGGTGGATACCTTCGTGGAGAACACTCCTAGTAAAAGTAGCTCCTATATATGAGGCAAACGATGGAAACGAATGTACTGCCAGCCCGTTTCCCAAGATTTGAATCCCGGACCGAACTACCAATGTTCAGCGACTTCACCGCTCAGTCGCTGGTAGGACTTCTAAAAATTTATTTCATGGTTTTTACTGTGTTTTAAGAAGTCAGTTTCAAATTTATACGCAAATGGTATACTAGCCTACTGCGGTACTGAAGGGCCCGGGCTCGAATCCCGGAGATGGTTTTAACTGTCCGCCCCTTTGTGGGAGGCAAGAGTGAACAAAATACTACTGAACTATATTAAATTTGAAAACCGTAAGAAGCATATTTCCGAGACCCAAAATGAATGAAACAGGAAAACCATAAACTGTCCAATAGTCCATTCTTAATAGAATAAGATCCCCATGAATCTTCATCAAAAATCAGATGTGCTGATAAAGAAATGACTAAAACAGTACCATGAAATGAGAACAACTGCAGAAGATTTAGACAAAATACATTTAACTACTGAAGAAATTTATCTCATAATTCTATGGCAGCAATATAATTTGATCAGATCCATGAAAAATGGATGTACACCACGGAAGGGAAAAAAAAAAAAAATCGACAGTTCTATTGGTCCGCCTGACGAAATTCAAATTGCGTTTTCCATGTCGCGAAAGCGCAGCTTAGGATATATATACAGAGAGATAGAGCTTTATTCTAACATAGGTCTTTTGACACATACCAGTTTTTAAAATAACATACCTTCTTTTTTTTTTTTTTTTTTTTTTTTTTTTTTTTTTTTTTTTTTCGATTTCGACTTTTTTTTATTTTCGATATAAACTCGAAAATTAATGCCTAAATGCTAAATTTTGTAATTTTTGGGGAGAAATTTATGCAGAAATTTAAAACTTTATCTTGGCGAATTTTTTTCAGTTTGTGCCAAGAATAATTCATTTGGCGCACTTCTTTATTTACAGCAACCTCTATTCCCTTCTCGAATCCCGCGAACGGGCTGGCTGCATGGGTGTTTTCGTGGTTTTCCCCATGTGTAACGTGTATACGAGCCAGTTTCCCTTAGAAAGTCCTCCACGAAGGCATCCCTCCCCTTAGGCAGATAGCCCTAGTGTGCTTTGCCATAATTAAATACACCAAACACCAAACACCTCTATTCCCTTCCTTTTTCTTCATTCTCCATGAGCGGAAAAAAGTCATCATTCATACTTTCAAATAATTTTAACAAAGTGCGTAAGTCACATTTTCGTTATTATCGCTTATAATACGCCAAATTTCAAAACGCACCAAAATGCGAATTCACGTATATCTTAGGAAATTTTGAATAAACAAACTCTATTTTTTTGCACGTATGCTTAGAAATACATCTACTTTACGATGATGGTAAAACGTTTATAGGTTTTAATTCAAATTTTTTTCGAAAAATTTATAAAAATTATTTTAAAATACAAATTTCAAAAATAAATCTTAAAAAACAGGCGAATTTTATTTGGAATGAATCTAAATTTCGAAACATGAAAGGTATAATCAAACAAGTTTAATAACAAAAGAATTTTAAAAGTTAAGATTAAAATACCTAGTAAAAGCCGTAAGAATATTTGGACTGTACCTATCTCTGTTTCCGAATTATATCGCAAAAGAAATTTTTTTAAAAAAACAAAATTTTAACAATTAACATTAGTACCGAAATTGCTAACTACTTTAAAATGGCAACCTAGGAGTATCAAAGACATACGTTAATCTCTTTTATTCAGAGCTTCAGACAGAACTCGTCAAGGTACACGTGTTTTGAAGCTTTGAACCAAGTTGATTAACTAGTCAAGCTAAAACAAGTTTCGTTAAAATTTTGGAAGCTAATTTTTTAAAACCTACTTGTGCGATTTTTACAAAACTTCGTAGTTTGGCATAATTGGTATCGTGGAATCGAAATATGGTAAAAAATTGGTATGTCATTTCAGAAAAAGTCCAATTTTGTGTCGAAATACCTATAGTAGAACAATGTTATATATAAATCTAACACATATCCTAAGTCGCGCTTTCGAGCCATAAAAAACGCAAGCTGAATTTCGTCAATAGGCCCTGTAGAACGGGAGATATAGAAATGTTCTATTTTTTTTTTTTTTTTTTTTTTTTTTTTTTTTTTCCCCGCAGGGTACTTCGTATTTTGATAACCATGTCAGTAAGTTATATCAAAAAGATTACCCAACATTTCATGTTAATGTGGTCTCAGAAAATTTCAATTATATATGAAGTAAATATATCAGCTTCGTTTGCGAAGTAACACTTCATCTGTTTGTTTTTGCAGTTCCGGGAGCCCCATACTCGGGGCAGTTCCCATGGCCAGACCAGGCTCATCCGCACCGCCTATAAGGAAGAATTCTTTGCCCGCATGATGCCCATAGCTTTTGACATGTGGAGAGAATTGGAACGAGAATCTAGAAAACAGCTTATTGTGTATGAGAAAACTTATGTATTTTACTACATTGATCGAATCGACCTAAGATAAATTTGTAAGCCGAGAGGTAGTCATCAAAAGAAAGTAACTCGGTTTGCATTGTTTTCTCTTGATGGTAAACACGTTCATTAAAAATATTCGTATCTCAAGAATCTATCCAGAAGAAAATGTTGAATTTGGTAACCATAACTGTGGCTGGTTTAACGTTAGAATGCTAGGGAAGTTATCCAAAAATCTTCGTAAATATATGAGATACTTTAAAATAAAATAAGGTAAAAGAAAAGTTTGTTTAAAATAAACTATTACTTGAAAATCATAAAATAATTAATGAACTAAAAGAGAAAAAATATTTTATCATTTAGTTTCATGCGAATAAGAAGCGAAATTATTCTCTTTACAAAACTCATTTACAGTTTTATATCACCAGTCATAAAAGCATGGGGTAAAAGATGCTTTGATAAACCTATAAAGATAATGGCTTACATTTATTGCAATGCAATGTGATTGATAGATTTCGTTACTTAAACGGCCACGCTTTTATTATTTGTGAAATAAATTTTCAGTGAATTATTTTTTAAATTAATTCATGTGAAATATAATTTTTCAAATGAATTTTCTTAAGAGAACTGTTTAATCTTTTTAAAACCTAAATTATTTTTCTTCTCTTAGTTTATTAATTATTTTATAAGCTTTAAATTAAGATTATTTTATAAAAAAATTCTCTTAATATATTTCATTTTTTTAAGTCTCAATGACACGTTGCCAATTAAATTATTCCCTTGATAAACTGTTTTCCAACAATGAAAAATCTCTCTTTTACTTTCAACAATTCTGCTAATGGATGGAAATGGTCGGAAAAACATCAAGCAATGTTTGAAAATTCGTAAAAAGTCCCAATTCTATTTAAAATTTCATCTAAGCGACACTTAATTATTTTATCGCACTAGTCCGTGGTGTAAACAGTTAAATTATGAGAGTATGCTCTTTAAACGAAGAGACTTGCGAAAAATTGCTTCAATATTACATGTAATGAAATCTAAATCGAATTTTTAAAACAAATACCGCTGCACCACTTTTATTGTCATCTGCAATACGTGTGTCTGCAAAAGTTGAGCTGGATAGCTTATCAGGGAGTAATTTTAAAAATCGATGGCAATTTTTACACAAAAGCAAGAAATACCATGAACGAGCTAAAATAATAATTAATTATAATTTAATCTTATAAAAATGCGGCTACCATTAGAGATGTCTAAATAATATTTCGTATTGTTCTTTCAATAGAGAGTCTGTTTTACAATATTTGAAAATTTTAAATCTTTATAAATTACGCATTTTTTATGTTAGAATATTAAAAATCTCACAAAAGAATAAAACATCGAAACATAATTATGGTAAACGAGAAAATCAACTTCAAAATGCTAGGAACACATATTAATTTCTGAAATGGAAAAAAATAAAAAAACAGCGTTATAAATTTGACTGTGACTGCGAAAAGTTGAACAATCTTTAAAACTGTATTGTTTTTGACATTAAGGAAAAGAAATGTATATGAAATGCAAAGGAATCTGCATATAAGCAAGAAAAATCGAGTGACGTAATTATATGATAAGTTTGAAAGCATTCTTTCAAGCGATGAATATTTAGAATAATATTTTTTTTTCCTTTTGCGTCAGGCTACAACACTTTTTTAAAAAATGTATGTATGTATGTATGTAATGTATTTCTTTTATCATTTTTATTTTAAAACAGGGCGAAGATTTTGTTTTATAATCTGCGGAAATTTCAAAACTTTGTATCCAATTTTTACGTGATGAAATTTGATAATAATGGGCGGCAAATACTGGAGAAAAAATACAGCCATTTCTTAAATTTCGACTAAAATTCAGAAATCAAATCACAGGTAACATATCTGTTTCATTTAAAAGATACATTTCCTGCTCTATGCAACGTTGCAAACAGTAAAACGCTGATAATTGTTAGTTTCTAAATTAAAAATGCTATGTTCGAAAAGCCGTTTAAACACTAAATTAAAAACAAATCTTAAAAGCTCGTAACATTTAATCTTTCCCTTTTTTTTCATTGTTTTTTCTAACATTAAAAAAATCATTACATCTTATACCTGAAATAATGTTCTCATCGGAATGTCAATACTCAGTCAGGATATTTATTTTGTGACATCAGCCAGTGATAATAATTAATTGACCTAGGATAATAATTAACATTTGGCCCACCAGCGGCCACAGCGGTAAAGTCACAGAGCACTGGTAGTTCGGTTTGGTTTATTTGAAATATAACAAAGCTGTCGAGAACTATCTGCCTAATGGGCCTTGGAGGACTATTTAAACGAAAGTAACTCGTAAACACGTTAGACGTGAGGCCCTTGCAGCCAAGGAAACGCCCATGCAGCCATCCCATTCGCCGGGATTCGAACTGCGGACCAAACTACCAGTGTTCAGTGACTTTAACGCTTGGCCGGTGAAAAGGACCTGGTAGTTCGGGATGGGGTTCGAGTCCTGGTGAACGGGCTGGTGGGATGGGCGTATTCATGGTTTTCCTCATGTGTAACGTGGATACGAGCTAGTAAAAGTCCTCCATGGGGCATTCCTCCCTTTCCGTGTAGTGCCTAATGGCGAAGCACGTAATGAAAATAAAATTTTAAAAAAATATATTTTTTAATTTCTAAAGCGAAACAATTTCAATCAGCCAGGCATTTATACTATCTACATAATCCTCGTTAAGTGCCTTAAATTTGCACATGACTTGTGAATAATTCGAGTTTAACTGGAATGGAATGTTTCCGTAGGTGTTTTCTCTGAGGGAAACATAAATAGGCTAAATAGTTTCTTTTAGAAAAGTCACAGAAGGCATCGCGCCCCTGTAGGCAAATAACCCTGGAATATTTTACCATTAATTAATTCTGTAGTATCTATTTCAGAATTTAAGATATATATAAACAATACAGTTTACATGTTATTATTCGAAGTTATACTTCTATGGTTTGGTTATGTGGTTTGGGCAAAGCCTCGAGAGCTATCTGTCTAAATGGAGTGATGCCTTCGTAGAAGACTTTCTAAGGGAAATGTCTCGTATAACAAATTACACATGGGTCAAAAACGAAAACGTCCATGCAGCCAACCCGTTGGCGGGATTCGAACTTCGGACAGAACTACCAGTTTTCAGCGAATTTACCCGCTCGGTCGCTGGTGGCCTACATACTTCTATGAATTTGATGCTGCTAACTTTGTGAAAAAAAATGTCTTTTCTGGATGTCCTATTCAGATTTGCAGTTATTCGTGTCTCTTTTTGCCAGAACAAGTTTAGTATTAATTGAGAAATGCATATCATAGTCATATACTACGCTAGAGTATGCATAATTTTATAGTCCTGAATAAAAACGAGCAGAAATTTCTTAAAGCTTCGGATATCAATTTAAAAATGGAATTAAAAGGGAAAATGTGGGTATTTTGTTTTTAAGAATTTTTCAAACGCATAAAAATCTAAAATCAATTATCTGAAATCCATACCATTTGACAATGTTTCCTTTTTCCTCTTTTATCCTGGAAAACATCTGCGCTCTTTTATTCGGTGCATTTTGAAATGTTCTTCGTATGATAATGCCTATAATGCCTAGGATTTATTCCATGTATTTTAGAGTTAAATATATCTGTGCGGTCTAGGACAGTGTTTCTCAACCGCCGGTAAGCAAGAAATATTTGCCGGTCCGCGAAATGTCCAGCTATCTGTCCAAAATCCAAAGTGTCATCGGCCGACAACCGATATTACAACATTTAAAACATTTATGTATAAACATTTATGTGATATTACAGCATTTATGTGACAAAATTGTGCCAATGGGCTGAATTATCAAACTTATCGGTTCGGGAGAACATATCGAAATATTTTACCTGTCCTTGGAGTAAATCCAGTTGAGAAACACTGGTCTTGGAAACATTATGAATGATTGATAATAATTTACAAAGTAACTTCTGTGAATTATTATAACCATTTAGAAAAGATAAAAAGAATTGCCTAAAAAGATTGAAATCGGATCCTGACTAAATTGAATTCTTACAGGAATACCAAAATTTTATGCCTTGAGCACTCTTCAGATAAACTTAATTATGAAAAGTGCATAAAACACATGAAAGAAATCAGCCCTGAAAACCTCGAAGTAATAAGTCCTGATGAAATGAAATCGAAATATTCAAAGACTCTGAATTATAAAAATCTTGCTGGAGCTTTCTTGGATAAAACTGGAGGTGTAATGCTCGCACATAAATCTCTTCTAGCCGTTCAGGTAAGTCTTTAAGTCTAGATCGTGTATTTGAAATATGAATGCCAAGACCCCATTAACCAAATTCAACTTTCTGTGAAACTATTGCTCTAAAAACTGTATAAAATAACTGCAATTTTTATAATATTGATAAAAATAACTGCAATTTCAAATAATATATTCTCAGCGGATAAAATAATACGCTAAGAATTTCATTGTGTCAAAGTGCATCAACCGAAATAAATTTTTGACATTATATGATTGTTTGTATTATCAGAGAAGGAAAAATTGTAATTTTTTAAAATTTGAACCCCAAAAAAGTTTTTGAATCACTTCAAAAAGGCATTATAATAATAACAAAATTATTTAGTAAAATTAAATTCTTTAAATACAGCAAAACTTGGAAGTCCACATACAAAAAAAAAAAAAAAAAAAAAAAAAAAAAGGAAAAAAAAAAAAAAATATATATATATAAGATTACATGTAACACTACATTTATGACTGAAACACAAATGACATTTAATGAAAGGTTTTATTTAATAGATTATGGCAACGCACACTAGGGCTATCTGCCTAAGAGAGATGCGTTAGTGGAGGATTTTCTAGCGGAAACTAGCTCATATACACGTTACGCATGGGGAAAGTCACGAAAATGACCAGCCTAGTGTTCAGCAATTTTATTGCTCAGTTGATAGTGGGCCCATATCCGGAACCTACTTAGAGACCGCTAAAAATGTCACCCTTAATTCTAAATCTTGCGAACGTTCGGCAGTCTAGGCAGCTGTTCGAAATTCTTCTAAAAACATAACATTTTTATTCCTTTTCTTTTCATGAATGTTTTCTCTTAATCTCTCTGTTTTTTTTTTTTTTTTTTTTTTTTTTTTTTTTTGAGGGAAGAGTAATTTTTTTTTCTTTCATTGAAGAAAGATACGAAAGTAAGTTTTCCTAAGCTTACAACAGACCTGAGCAAAATGGTGTTGTAGTCTACGGGTTTGTGGATTTGGCTAATACGCTAAACGCTAAATACAAGATTGTTTTTATAATTTTGATTGTCCCATTAGCGTGTTTCTCTTCTAGTCTAACACCTTCAATATTTTCTTCTTATATTTCGAACAGCCATATAATCACCTGTTTTTATCAAAACTCTTGATGTAATGCAATTTTTCATTAAAGGAACTGTTCCGTCAAAAAGGCGGCACATTGTGGGACAGCTGTCCAGTATCTCAGATCATACCTGAAGAGAACAAGGTGCAGATTAAGACCGAAAGAGGAGATGTTATCGCCCGTTCCGTAGCAATCTGTACTGGACCGTGGACGCCGAAATTGCTGTCTTCTCAACTTCCCCCTTCTGTACCCTTGCAGGTGAGTTTGCGGAATGTGGTTATCTCATCTAGCTTTATAAATAAAATAAAACACGGGAAAATACGAACCAGATAATTTTCAATAGAGCTACGTATGAGTCAACATTTCTTATTGGCTGTCAAATTAAATGTATCCTTATCTCGTATAATAGTGATTTTATTTTCAAAGTAACTATTGTTGATAAAAGGTTTTTAATTTGTGTCATTCTATTTTGCTTTTAGTTTACTGAAATAACTGGAACTAAGATATATATTTCTTATGTTCAGGAAAATGTTATCACAATTGAAATGACGAATATATGTTTTCTTGCTGGAGATACCATGTTAGTGCAGGTGTCTTTACAGAAAAGAACATTTGATGGCTTTGTTCTATAATGGAGAAGATTCAAACACCAAGATACACGAGCAACAAGTTTAATTTATTTAATTTTATGTGGTTAACAGGCAGTGCTGGCGTATGTACACTGAGTAAAAAATATTAGCAATTGGCGTATATTTAAATATATTATTTAACTGAGAAAATGACTGATAATTTAAGTAAAGTGTAATGAAGTAGGAAGGCAAGAAAAAATCAAATGTAATGAAACTGCCATTTTATTATACCTTTGAGAAATAAAATACGTCCAAACATCAGTAATTCGTAGTTGAACCCCTTTATTGCTGTTTATAACTTAGAGGAGTTCACGTGTATTACTGTCCAAACACGTGATTTCAGCACAACGAAATTTACATGGAAGTTAGAACTTTGCCAGTACTTCTTTTTTTTTAATCTCCGTTTTATAAATTTTCATCATTAAAGGGTACAGTGATGGTGTAAAAAAATAATTTTGTGATAGTCTTCATTATAATTTCCAATGGGAAATACAATTTTTTAAATACCCGCTGAAAAGTACGAAAGCAATTGCCTATGCTGCTTTTTTTTTTTTTTTTTTACATAATGTATTTTTCGATAAAAAACAGTTTGGCGCTTGTTGTACTATAATAGAAAAGGTCCTTAAATTTTTCAGTTTTATGATCTATGGCTTTTATTTTCAGTATTTTGGAGAAATAGATGTAAGTACGGTCATTTCACTTTTGTTGTCGGTTCCTTTAATAATTATGTATATCAGATGAAAAATGCATAAAACATCTTCAAGCAATTGCCAAATTAATCATTAAAAATGTTCACAAAAAAGGTCGATGTTGTTTCTTGACCATCTTACACATCATCAATAAGCAGGATCCTTTTAAAGATCGAGCCTTATTTCCTTAAATAGTGTACCTAAGTATGTATTTTCAGTTACAAAGTTTACTAGAATAAAGAGGAAAAGTATGTCCAAGGATACGGGCTGTCTCAGTTAAAGCATGGCCACATTAATCAGATCTGATTGTGTTTGGGTTAAATGTTAACCTCTGTTCCTTTCCAGAACTTCCCCTTCCTTCAGCAGCGGAGAATTCTTTTCAGAATTTAAACAGATGAAATTGCTTACAATTATTTTATCTTAAACCTTTATTCCCATATCAACAAGCAATTAAATTTTAGATTATAACGGTAACGCATCCTGATCTATAGTCTGTTACTTTAAAATGGAAACTTATAGGTCATTTTTCTCCTCTCGATTTGACTAATATCCATGGGAACAACAGCTTCGGGAAAAAAGTCGACTCACTTAATTTTTCCCCATTTCATTTCTGTCTAGAAAACACTTCGCGATAAGCGCTCATATGATAGGCTGACTTGAAATACAGCTACAAATCAGGTTGAAGGAAAATGAGTGCTCTGCGGTAAAGAAGACACAAGTTACTATCGCAAAAGGGGGTTTCAAGAGCCTACGAGTGCCTGTTTAAAATAACAAACTATAACTAATCATTGCCAACGAAAAGGAATACTGTGCCAGTTGTAAAAAATGTGCGCTTTGTTAGTGATTTATTCTAAACTTGGTTTTAATTTGCTAAATGTTCGAGAAGATGTGAATATTTTTAAGACATGATTTAATATTTATTGAATTGTTTTAAACACCTTTTTCCCCTTTCTGATTTATTTGGAAAGAATTTAGAGATCTATATATTTCTGCCTATACACGTTATGACTGGTTCGCTTAAGTAATGTATAGTTTGGTGTGTTAAGTTTTAATTTGCAGGATGAAAATTACACTTCGTTTTGATTGTTCTGGTTATTAAAAGTATAATGCAAGAGCAGATAAACTTTCATAATCCTGATTGCTTAGTAAAAAAATGGGGAAAATCCTTTTAATAATGTTATGAAGACTAACAGTCATCATGTGATATCTCACAATGGCTGAATAAGTTAAACAAATGTACTATATTAAAACAAAGTTAGAAAATTCCATTTCTTTTTATTTCAGCCGCTTTTTGTGAATGCGTTTTACTGGAAGGAAAAGATCAGAGGTGCATACAGTGCCGAGTCTGGTTTTCCGACATTATTAGAGCTCTCTACTCCTCGTATATATGCAATCCCTTCACTGGAATATCCTGGACTTATGAAAGTGAGTGTAGCTTCTCTACATTCTTGAAGGCATAAACGTATAAGCCTACATAACAATGAGAAGTTAAAATTTTGAAAATGTTACGCCACAAAAGAAAAGCATTACAAATTTTTCATGCTGTTCTTTCTTGTGTAGTAAAATTTATGCGCTTTGATAATGAAATACTTCCTTTGACTATGCTTTACACATTTGTTATTTTTATATAACTTTTTTGTAATATTCACAATACTGTTTTTTACTATGAGGAAGAATTTTCGGTATTCTTGCAATGTATGACTTACTGTTCGTGTGTACATTATCAAAGGCAGATTTCGAACCGACTACGGCACATTTAATTAAATTGTTAACTAAATTTTTATACAATTTCCTATCTCATCTCTGGATGGTCATCATTTCACTCTGACAGCAATAAAAATCCGTTGAAGCAGATCTACTATAACTCTTGATCAAAACGATTCTTTTTCACATTTGTCGACAGTCTTCATTTTATTCTATCCTTTTCCCCATTCAAGCAAACACTGTCCTAATATGATTATTACATTACGAAAACTAATGTAATAATCAGATTGTAATAATTGTAGGTCATCTGTTGCAACAACTGCGGTACGATTGAACACATTTTGCGAGAATACCGAATTTTGTTGGTAACGCATGTTTCTCAACTTAACCCACAAAGAAAGAGCCTTGCAGTAAAAAGCTAAAGAGGTCCTAAGGAAACCTGCTCCTAATACATTTGCTATCAATTGAATAACTCAAGAAATAGAAAACGAGGCGAGTAATAATAAAAGTATGTGTGAACAAATTCATTATCGCTGTGTTCGTAAGAGCATTCTGATTGCCCTTTATATGAAATATTTAATGTAGTTTGAACCATCTTATTACGGTCACTTTTCCATACAAACGTCGCTTACAAATGGAGAATAATGTTTTCATATATACACAGAAAGTATATATTGTAGGATACTTGCTTCAAAAAACATAGTATATGTTTACAATGGATTTGTTGGACAGAGAAAAATGTATGATCACCGCTTATTGAGGATAGTGGTGGTAATATTTCATAAACAGCAGCCCTAAATAAATTTTCCATTAACTGCAATAGTGAAAGTGTTGCAACCGATAAGAATGAGTCATTAGTGCCAGTTTGTAATTTCGCATGTAAATATAGAACCTCATATGCTATTAAACCGAGGTATGAACACTGTTTTGTGTAGTTAATAGTACTAATACAAGCTACTGACAATTAACTAACATTCCAAGTGAGCCAAGGGGCCAACAGAAGGTTTACAGCACAATTAGATTAAGAATGTTAATGCAAATTATTTTGCTGAACAGACACTTGGTAACAGTACTTACTTAAACCAAAGAGTAATCTGCTAAGTCAAAGTTTTGGCTATAGAATGTAGGTGGACAGTGGTGTATTATGAATAATACCTCAGAGAAAATTACTCCGTCGTGATTGCGGACGGACAATGGCTGTTGATGGTAGTATTACATGTTAAGGCTTATTTCATGTCATAAGGCTTTCACTCTGGTGGGAAATCTAGAAAGCATGATGAATGAAATTACAGATCATTGGCACATTATAATCGTATTATTGTTGCCATTGGTATTTTCTTGGAATCATGGTTTAGAATAACAGGGAACTGGTTTAAATAACTCGAAATCGCTTTATTCCCTTGGACACTTGTGTCCCCGAATCTTAACCCCCTTGTATACCGTTAGGAACGATTCAATTAATACATTAGGTAAATGGGTTCTTGCCCTCACTGCAGCGTGGTCACAGATATGTATTGTAACCATTGTGCATGGTATGGCTTTAACGGAAATGTGCCAAAATAGGAATGTTTGCTAAAGATTATTTTAAGGTGAATATTGAGTAAACTTGTCACAAAAAATATTATGATGTCAAAATTATTTCAACTGACATCTGATGTTCAATTTCTGAGGTAGATACACTCTTTACAAAATGATCTTTTACACAAAATTTCGTGATTGGATTTCGAGTAAAAACTTACCCTCATTTGTGAGTATTACCTTTAGTTTTGTGGAACCCATTTCCAACTTCCCATCAGTTGCATGAAATTCAAAATTTTAAGTATTTAACGTATAAATGCAACCACATGGTTTTAAAATAAAAAGAATAATGACAAAAATTAAAAAAACATTACTGCATATATACTAAATATTTCATGCATGTTTTATGTAGCCTCAAAATTTTTAGGTATTTAGCCTCAAAATCAAAAGAAACGAATCAATCAACGAACCCGCTTGTTAAGTGTACTTATAAGCGAGTTCCTTTCCTTCTATTCTGGTTGAAATTTCGTCGCGATCGCTTTAAAGATAAGTTTAAAACTATTATTTCTTTCATCAGTTCCCCTGTAAAATACTATTATTCTTACAAAGCATTTACCATACTTTCTCCCATTGCCCTCAAGCGCATATTTTGTAATCGAGTTTAAGCTAAAAAATATTATAATTTGTCAAAAAAAGATTGGAATTTGGGTTACTACAAGATAATACGCATATGAATATGACGACATTGCTTGTTAAAACTGAGAAATTATTATGCACATTATCGTAAGAGGCACATTCTGAAAATCTAGCAATTTTAATTAAGATGGTTGCACTTGTAAAGTACCAAGTTTTGAGCATAAATCACTTCAGATATGAGTTTCTATTTTTAATTACTGGGGCGAGAGATGAAAATGTTATCGTATCTAAAGTATTGCTTATTATCTTATGCTTAGAGTTTCAGTTATAAGAGTATTATAATAGTAACTGTATTTACAATATCTTCACTCTCGGACCTTGTCCCACTGAGATATAAGCTTAGACTGCAGTATGGATATTCAATATTAATATTTCGGAAACATTTTGATATTGCATGTTAGAAATGTCAATGTTGATGTGGCATATATTATCGGGAAAGCTATAACACATAGATGGAATTTTCTTTTGGTATTCCGTTCAAAGTTTTATCGGTAATCTCATCAGTTAGATTTACAGTGGGTAACTGAGTGAGCTTCTATGGAAGAAATTGTTTTCACTAATGAAAAGTCAAATAAATTCCGTTCTCAGTTTATGGAATATAATATGACTTTGAAATGTTTTCCAGCTTCAGAGAATCGATTAATACCGGAATTATAATGAAATTAATTTTATTTTGTGGACTTTAATGCTATAACATATAGCATAAATAACTCATTTTGTCAATTTATTAATAATTATAATACTTACCAATTACACTCATAATATGAAAATTTACCCTATATTTTAAGTGTTGAATTGAAAACAGTTGGACTAGGAAAATGGAAAATTCCTAAAATCAGCTTTATGTAATAGCATGTTTTTCTTCTTAGAAGTAAAAATATCTGTATGCTTTAATTAAAATATGCCGTTTTTCATTTTTTTTCTTCTATTTTTAGGTCTGTTATCACGGTGGAGTGCCTTGTAACGACCCAGACGAAAGAGACAAAACCCTTGTGAATAGTATGCCTCTTAATACTGTCAAAGACTATATCAAGGAACACATGCCTCTCTTAGAACCGGAACCAGCTATAGTAGAGAAATGTATGTATACGGTAAGGAAGTTTTGGTTCTCTTTGCAACTTCACATTTTTAAATAGTCTTCAACTGCAAAAATTAAGTAAGCAATTTGCTCCCTTCCAAATGAAGTTTGATGTAGGGTACTGTCGATCAAAATCCAAGACAGTTCTTGATTGCATTACTTTTACCTTAGTGGGTGCTTTTTATACAATGCAAAAGCAGCCTTACGAAGCAAATAATTTTCAATGCCATTTCATCACTTTATGATGTATTTATCACATGTGGTATAATCGCATCTCTGCTAGACAGTAATGAAGCATTAATCTCATCTTTTAGATTTACAGTTTGAAGATAATAATTAAAAGCTCTGAGCTTATGCTCTTTGTGGCAAAAATTGGCAGAGCATAAAATGAATGTGTTTTCAAACCAGCTTGATCAAACAAATGATGTCTCATACATTTGGTATTATTGTAGACCCTCCCCCCCCTAAAAAAAGCTAGATTTTCCAGACAGTTAACCAAAGTCTTAAAAGGCCAGTTTGGTACGTCTGAATCCGAATAACAGCAACTGGAACTTAATCTTATATACTCCAACCGAAATGATCCACAGTCTTCTGAGGAAGGCTATATGATCATGATAAGGCAGCCCGAGAAGTAGCCAGGGAATGTGGCCCGACTTGGTGTTAAGTCCGCGTAATTTCAGTACCTTGGAGTACTGAAACGTAAAAGTTTACAATTGGGTGTCCCTTGTTTATTTGGCGATTCTTTTTTGATGCCAAAATCGGCACCAGGAAGGCACAATTTCAAGATGGCCGCTAAACAAACCAAAATAAGAACTCAAAGAATTGCACAAACTCGGTGTCCATGTACTCATCGATCTATTTTCAGTTAAAAAAATCAGGAAGCTGAAACCAAGTTAAAACTATCATGGTAACCAGAAACGGGGTTTCATCGCTAAAATTGAACAATATTTGTTGCCAATCGAAGGGGCACCCAATTCTACACGACAGCCATCTGAAATATTAACTTCCGTCACAATTATAAGAATATTTGTGGTATTGTAAATTGCCATAGATAAGAGAACTGCTTAGGAATAACCGTTAAATTAACCAAGTGTGGCAAAAACGCTGTGAAATTTTATCGCTAGAATCGTCAAGTCTTTAAACCCAACTTAAAATTCTTTGCTTAATGTTCCACAAAAGATTATTTTTTATTCTAAATTTTATTAAATAACAAAATAAATCTGTTTCGTCGGGAATAAGACAGCTGAACTGTTATAACAATCAAGGAATTTCAAGGAGTAAGACAGCTGAACTATTATAACAATCAAGGAATTTTTACAAAATCTATTATTTCCATTTTTTCTCCGGAACTTTTTCAGAATGAATTTCTGAAACAGATACTATGATGGGTTTTGAACTGCAGTTGAACTGTATTGCCCACAAAATATTAATAAATGTCTAAAATATATAGAACACCTAAAGCCTGGAAAAGGTAAAGGTGTTCAAATCCCCCAAAAAAGACGTGACTGCAGTAAAAGAAAAGTATTATTCATAAAGAAAAGTATATTAAAAGTCTTTATTTCCATACTTTTGTTATCTAAAGAATAAATTTTTAAGCTTCCGAGAGAAAAGAGAGCTATTTCAGAAAAAAAAAATAATTTAATAGTTATGAGGATAATTATTTATTTTTTATTTTTCTCAGAATAATTAAGTTTGCTTCCCGGATTAATTAAAGTTCATTCGAGAATTTCATTTCATCGGCGTTCAGGTTATATTTCAATACAATGCAGACATAAAACTGTGTATAATGGTTTTCATCATATGTTTAGGTAAACTGTATTTATGTGCACATTTTTGTATAAGTGCTCACAATAAGATTTTTTATAGAATACGCCTGATGAAATCTTCATCGTTGACACATTACCAAAACTTAGGAATGTTGTCATTGGAACGGGATTTTCAGGTAAGATGAGAAAGAAAATTTTGAATTCTTTATCTTTTTAAGAGTGAAGAAACCTGATGTTCTCAAGCCTTGGAAGAACACTTAAAATGATTTTCAGCTGTTCAAAAATTCATTAAGTAAATTTTTATAGCATGAATAATTTTGTCTTGAATAGTTAAGTTGCAGATTTTTACTGTTTTAAATATAAAATATTTTGTTCAGTTTAAAAAAGCTCTTTTTAAATGATTCATTCTGTCTTTGAAGGTTAGTTCAACTGCTATTAAGGCAAATAGTATATATGTACTATAAAATATTAAGGTTTATATATCTTTTATTTTTATTCCTTTCTTCTCTCTTTTTCGGTATATACGTTTTTTAATTTCTTTTACGGCTTTCTTGTTGAAAACTTGTTGTAACGAAAACGGTTTTATTTACGGTATAGTGTTGCATGGCCCCAACTTGTCAGCAACAGTGGTAGTGACTGCTATGAACTGTAAATTACACAAACTCGTAAGAAGGGTTTAAATCTCTTTTTATTACACTTTAGAAAAAACCAGCTGCGTTCACTTGACGCTCACAAAACTATGCCGACCCGGCGGTTTAACAAAACAGAAAGTGAAACTAAAAATAAATGACAGGATGAATAAATAAACGAGATCATACCTACGAGGCTCTAAAAATCGTCACTAACTTAACCGCGTTCTAAGATACATCTGAGATTCAGCAAGCTTATGATTAAGCAGTTGAAGATTTCAACGAACTGCCAAAATAGGCACACAGGCCGAAAACGCGCGGTTCTTAAATTTCTACCTAGGCAACCTTCACGCTCGGATTCAAGAAGCACACATACATCTCGTTTCCTTCTACTTAAACTCAACTTACTTCTGCTAAAATTTGAATAGATTGCACGTTCTACTACAATTTACATACTCTGGCATTGGCAATTCTAGGGAAAAGTAAAGGCTTGACAGGAAAGATAGCTTAAACTTAAAATAAATGTTAGTTAAAATAAATATAAACCCTACAACGGAATTCTGGAAGGAACTTTTATGTATGGCGACGTTTTGACAATATCATGTATAATGATCACATTTGCAAAAGAACTGATATATTACAATAAATTTTAAAGTTTTTTAAACAGAATTTCAATTCATGGCCATTTCGCAATTGTTTAGATCGTTCTTTGCTTTACAATCTCTTCATTATACATGAATGTTTGTGAAAATTGCAACACCATGAAGGAATCATGGAAATTTAATCAAACTTACAGGAAATGAAAAGTGAGGTAAGGCATGCAAGTGATTAGAATTACAAAGCGATTGCGCATCCGTGGAATAAGAAACGGCCGTTTGTTCCATGTATGTAATGCACCATAATGTTGCGTTGAAACCTGTTTATCGTCCTCTGTCTGAGGTAAACATTTAATCAGTGGTCAATATGCCACGTCAACAGCGGTGGGTACCATGCCAACAACTGACGAAGCTCGAACGAGGCCACATCGGTATACGAGACTGTGGACTTCCGTATCGAGCAATCGCACCCTGCACGCAGCGTAATGCCGCAACAGTGATGCGTGTTTGGAAGAAATGGACAGAAGGAGAACCAAACATGGCAAAATTTTGGCAGTTGGGTCCTCAATAGCACAACGCAAAGGGACGGCAGACACTTCATCTGCATGGCTGTGACGGATCGGTGACGGTTATGTTATCTAGCTCCAAGGTTCGTCACCGTCTGCTGCACCATGAACTGCGTATAAGGGGTTCCTCTATGCAGGGTTTTCCTGTGGCTGAATCACAGATGCCTCTGACTTCAATGGGCCCTGTAACACAAAGCACTGCGTACCGTGTGGCAACAAGCTATTTTCTCCAAAGAATCTGGCTACAATCTGGAGTACAATGATAGAAGAGTACACATCAGCTATTGGGTTTAACTTTTGGTCCCATCTAGGGCAGACTGCAAGCAACCTCAAACAGTGATCGCTACATAAGGGAAGTTGTGGAGCCAGAGGTCCTTGCAATTCTTCGATGCATTCTGAGCTCTGTATTTCAGCAGGATAATGCCCGTGCACATGTTTAGGACCCAACAGGTTTCGCATCTTCCATGGCTCGCATATTCCCTAGATATATCGCCCATTGAACATCTCTGAGATTTCATTCGTCGGCGGCTCGCTCGTAGAGCTGGTGGGGCAAGCACTAAGTCAAAGCTACGTGGAATGCCATTCCCAGGATCAAATTCAAGCACCTGCATGATTCAATGCTACGGCGCTCATCGCTCAGCATGGCGGACACGCAAAAAACTGATTTCCGATGTTCGCTTTTTTTTTAATCTTGTAGCTTTGATTGTTTATTTGTACCACTATCAGTAATATGTGGAATAAATTTCATTCATTTTCGACATTTCCTGCAGGGTGTTGAAAATTTCACAAACATGAATGCATATATCCTTCTTTTTCCGCAAACACTATTATTTTGGAAGACATAAGGTAGAACAAACTGGGGCCTTCGCCACAGCAATTGTTCAAAAGTTTCTAAAAAAGGCTCCACAAGTCGAAAAGTGTAGGAACTACTGCGATAAGGCATTTGGTTAATTTCAGAATTATCTTTTGTTTATTTATTTCCTTCTCCTCCTTCTTCTTCTCTCTGTCTCTTTTTTTTCCCTAAATTGATATATATGAAATTTTAAAATTTAGGAACTGGTTTCAAGACTGCTCCAGTCATCGGAAGGTTGCTGAGTGAAATGGCTGTTGGGATTGAACCTTTCTTGGATATCACGCCTTTCCGGTTATCGAGATTCGACTCCTCTGAAAGACAACATTGATTTCATAGATACAAAGATATCTGAAAGATATGGACGACATTTGTGACTTTTTTTTATTTTTTTTTTTTATTTTTTTTTTTTTTGTAATTAGAGATTTTTGAAATTTTATAGATGATATATTATGATCTTATTTTATTGAAAGAAAAGTAAATTTAATAATAAAGATTTGATGCGGTTCAAACATTAAAATGCCTCTAAACATGTTTTAAACATTTAATTTGCTTTTTATTGTTCGTTAATTTGAATAAGGCTAAACCATGGATGTGGTTTTTCCTATACACTGCCTTGAAGCAATAACGCATCCCTCTTGGTGACCAAGACATTCAAGGACTTGCGATCAAGGATCAATAGGTTTTGACAAAAGAGGTAAACATACCGTAATTACGCCTTAAATATAAGTATAAATGTATATATTTTCTTTTTCTATAATGTTTCAGAATCCTAAATAAGTGAGAGAATACATTAAATAAAAATGAAAAGTTTGAGATTTTAAATTACACCCAAAGGGCGGTTTTTTTTAACATTTTGTGTGTTACATTTATTTATTAAATATTATCACGTGCTTCGCACTTAAACCACAAAATTCAGTTCAACAGCAATATCGCAAAATCGTTTTAAAATGAGCATATGTTTAGAACTTTCGATATAGAGACTCGCACGCTGGAGATAAAAATGTTCTTTTTTGTACAACATTGCCATTGCTCGCTTTGAAATCCTTGAGTTTGTTAATCAAAAATTCGTTAAAGTTTTACAAAATATGAAATCGATAATAAAACAAATTCCAAATTTGGGCTTTCACATGCCCATATTCGCAGTAGGATTACGTCATTCAAAATTCGATGGCTGTATGTACCGTTGTTTTATCACATTGCGAGAAATATACATATATTTAATGCAGATTTTTCATTATTTAATTTCTTCAAATATAATGCAGGACCCTAACATTTGGTGGCAACAGTTTGAAAAGTGAAACGGACATTCATAGTGAACCAAGGCAAAATCGCAAAACGAAAACAATAGTCCTTCAGGGACAAAGCCCCTTTGGACTAACAACATTTCATTCTGAACGAAATTAACTGCAATACGTTTTCCAGAACAGATTTAATTTGAATGAAATGCTTTCTCAAGATTTCGCTAATTACATTGGAAAAAAGTTTTAAGGTAATTCAATTTTATTTTGGTTAATGATTGCAAAAATTAAAATCAAAGCTTATCGTATTATTAATATTAAAATTGTGCTTTATTTCTTTTCTATTTACAGAGCTTCTTCCTAAAATACTTTCTCAAATTATGAAATGATTTTCCGCTTCTGAGGCATTTTTTAAATCAAAAATCATTGTCACTCTATAATTAATGCTCTGTTTAGTTCATTTCAAATTAGAGCGCCTTTTATTTTAACAGTGAAAATATGTTAAATATTGCTATTGGTTTCTGATTTCTATGTATTTAACTTTCTATCACCATTTCTGAAAAGGAAGCGGGACTAAATTACTATAATATGTAAGGAAATAATTCTTTTAATACTTAACAATTTTTTTTTTAAACTTTGATTTCAAGAAAACATAGCATAAAAATTCGGTACTTTTCCGTTTTGCTGGCGCAGGCGATAAAGTCGCCAATAATGGTACAACTGATGCCAAACGGATATCTTCGCTGGTATCCTTTTACACCTCATTTCCAAAACAAGTCACAGCCATTTCTTATCAGACTGATTGCTTCTTTCAATACTAGCATACAATTACATAGAATTTTTATCAGATAATTCAATTTTATGCCCTAAGAGCATTCGCGGTAATTTAAGTCAATTAGAATGCATTCACACAGCTCAGCCGAAAATATAGAAAAGACAAAATCAAGAGTTAAATTCATCATTTCTAATGGAATGCACCAGCGAAGTAAAGCACCGCGGTTTTACATACTTTCTAAGTAAGCTATTCGTACGAATTGAAGTAATTCTTGCATTTAAGCTTGTATTCGAAATTATGATTTAACTTGAAATTAATGTAGGTAATTACTGAGAGAATTAGATTTTTGTATTGTAGTTTATGTGAGATAAGATCACTTGAGGTCACGTGATAAGAACTTGGATCACTTGGGGTCACGTGATCGGGATGTTGAACCAGGAAAGCAGAGTAAATTCTTAAATTAATATCTTTTACAAATTTAGTCTTTATTTATTGACTTTTTACAAAATTTTAAACGATATTAAAATGTTTATGCCTTCAAAATAAAAAATTCTTAGAACTAACATTTGCAAACATTTTTTATGTGTATAGTGTATGTTATCGTCAATAAAGTCTGCCTTGGCGAGATTTCCGCCGGCGAAATGGAAAAGTACCAAAAATTCTACTTTACTACTTCCTTAAGTACGCATCTCATAGATTGTGCTTTACAACACTTTTTAATAGATTCTTTTTCAATACGAACAATTCTTGCTTAAATAGTTTTATAAATATATTTGTCAACAAAATTTCAATTTACGTTTACAATTTAATGTTTATAATCATTATAAATTTAGATATATTTAACAATTGTATTTCTTCTCAGTAACATTCACAGAAGTTAACAGGAATAAATAAAGCCTTCAGTTACAAATAATAATAAATAGAATTTACTGATTTTTTAAAGGAAAGAAGCTTTTTAAAAGGATAGTATAAATACTCATATATATAATATATATATAATGTTGTATGACTTAAATCTTTAGTGCGAATACAAGTTTATATTACGTGCGCAATTGCTGCAAAGTTAGTTATAATAATTATTTCCTAACCGTATGATTAATTGATTATATTATCTCCTAGTTTAATTAAAGTAGAATTATTTTTAAAATGGCATATACTTTAAGTTGAATATTTGAAAGCAAAAGTAATAATGTTTTTAACGGGGACGAGTTAAATCATCACGAAGAATAATTACAATGTAAAAGAAAAATTAAAAATGCATTTTGTTGATCGGAAATTAGTTGATTTTCAAGGGGAACAAACCAACTCCCGGCAATGATCAATAATGATAGAAATACGTAAATATGAAAAGGTTCTTACTCGAGTTAATAATAATTTATTTCCAAACCGTATGATTAATTGATTATATCTCCTAAGTAATTAAAGTAGAATTTTAAAAGTGCTCCATACTGGTAAGTTATTTTGAAAGATGTTTTGAAGAATTTGACAGAAAATGTTAATAATGTTTTAACGGGGACTGGAGTAAATCATCACGAAGAATAATATTACAATTGTAAAAGTAAAATTAAAACATGTAATTATTGTCATTGATCGGAAATTAGTTGACTTTTCAGGGGAACAAACCAACTCCCGTTCAATGACAATAATTGATAGAAATACGTAAATATGAAAGTGTTCGTCTTTCTGAGAAAATTAAAGCCAAACGGCAATTTAGTCAGGCCAAATATTCCGCGAATAGTTGTTACTCAAAGAACTGATTCTCATGAACATTTTAGTCAATTCAATTTGAAGTAAAAATCAATTACTGTAGAGAAATTGTAAAACTCGAGTAATCGTCCCCGACACTATCATCTTTATGTATTGAGTACTAGATTATTGTAGAAATTAAACATTGGAAATTGTCATTTGAAATCGAAATCAAAGTAAAGTGAAATAAACAGAGAAGATTAAAAAAGATAAATAATGCAAACTTTGCAAAAAAACAAAGAGAACATATAAAAATAAATAGAAAATAATATAAATAAGATCAGTGAATGACAGAAGATAAAGGCCAGAAAGGTATTAAGTAACTACATTCTTTCTAGTGGGAGGTGGCAGTGGTCTCTTCGTGTCTGACGCAGAAGTGTAGGGTGTCCGAAAATTCTTAGCGGCAGTAGGGGCTTTGAATTATATCAGTCGGCAAGACGGTTGAAGAAATTTATGGTAGTGGGGGGGACTTGGAATTCTTGAGGGATGTATTTTGTGGAGTTTTTATCTGAGAGAGGACCGTCGTGTTAAGATTTTTTAAAAATACTAGTGAATGGAAATTAATTAATTTCTGGCTAATTGTCGTGTCGCAATGATTAAGAATTTAAGAAAGGAAAAAGGCATTTTCGCTATCCAAGAGCTAGTAGACAGTCTAAAGGCAGGAAATAGGCCCATTTTTTAGTAACAGTATAGTAACAGTATACGTCTGAAGACAATTAGCTTTTTACAATATATACAATTGAGCAATTACACTATATACAAATCTTTCAACTGACAGTCATCCAACTTATACCGCCTTCTCAGGTTTAGGAAAATTATCATATCCCTATCAGTTAAATGATTTAGAGTGAGTATTTAACGCCTGCTCTTTTAAGGCAATGGTTGATAAATTGAAAGGGAATTAGATTATTTTTGAGAATTTTGATAAGGATCCAAAATTTCGCGTTGTGAATCTATTGTATCTGTGCATATAGTTTTTAATTCGTTGTATTTGATTAATTATAGTATTGTTAATTACTTTTTTGGATATGTTGGAGTTCCAATTTATTAATTTGTTAGTATTGAAATTGAAGTTTTGTTTTGTCCAAAAGTAAAATTTTTTTGTAGTTAATGATTTGAAGATCTAGAAAGTCTATGCTATTTTGTGAATTATTAGTTTTATTAAGTTGTAAGACAATTCGGATAAATGTCGGAGTTTTTCAATTTTACCAAAATTATTAATTGTAATAAAGGTCATCAATAAATCTGTAGGTGTGTTTGTAGTAATTTAACTCTTGTGGTTGTAGATTTTTTTGGAAGTTAAATTCTTTGACAAATAAAAAGATTTACAGATCGAGGTGCTGGAATGTAAGCCCATTGGCAATCCTCTGACTTGTTTAAAAAGTTGATTTGAAACTTGATGTAGTTATGAAAAAGTGTGCATTTTAGGTAGGTTTTCCATTTGTCAAGAGTCATGATATTGAGTATATTAGGGAAAGTTTGGTAGATCAAGTAGACTGGTATAGATTTCTTCTAGAGGAAGTGAGGTATATAAGTTTTCAAATCATAGCAGTTATGTTTTGGATGTTAATGGTATGAATGGTATTAATGACAGGAGTGTTATTATGAATGATCCAGCAATAGTTATGATTAGTGTTACAATCATTGAAAATAAATTTACAGATTTTATTAAGTTGAATTGAAAAATAATAGTCTATATTTTTCTTGTAATTATTAGTTCCATTAGCTATAAATCTAAATTTTAATTGGTGTTTATGGAATTTGGGAATCGCCATAAAGATTAGTA